TCACTGGCTTGCCTTGGTACACTCCACACATCCCTGATGTTAAACTCCATAACTCCTGGTTGTTGACACCATGTTCAAAACTTGTTGTCAGGAAGTTTGCCATGAAATCGGCTCCGGCCCCTAAGCACATTCTAAAGACCTAACCATGCCAAGAACAGCAACATCAATACAGTACCTGAAGCATCGCTTGAAGCTTTTCTCCCCGGTGATGAAAGGGCACGTGAGGCCGTTAGCGGCGTCACACTCCGTGTCCAAGGTGCATGGCTTGCCATCCTGAGTTTGGGTTGGGGGGGGGGGAAGAGGGGAAGAGGGAAAGAGGGGAAGAGGGGAAGAGGGGAAGCGGGGAAGAGGGGAAGAGGGGAAGTGGGGGGGTTTTTTGAGTCGACCAAAAGATGAGATGGAAGGTGACGCCGCTCGCAGCGTCACACTCCGTGTCCAAGGTGCATGGCTAGCCATCCTGGCGTTTGGGGGGGTTGGGAGAGGGAGGAGGGGAAGAGGAGGAAGCCACGAGACTGTGAGGAGTGCAAGGCAGGTAAGGGCGGGCTTGCATAGGATTGGCAATTCATGTCAAGAAAGGCTGCCCGCGAGGATCAGTTCGTGTAGTGGATTTGTGGGGGAGACCGAAGTGGGGAGGACGGGTCTCTTGATGGTGGATGGCAGGCTGTGGAACTGCAGATGGGGTTAAACAATGTGGAAGATTTGAGCGATGGCTATGGATATTTATGTGAGTGAGTGGCTTACAATGGTGTTCTTCACGCAACGGCCATATTGAAAGTTGCAGGTCATATTGTGAGCCTTCCGCCTGCATGCGCATAAAGGGGAAATAAAAGATGGAAAAGGGGAATAAACACATAAAGCGGAAATAAAGGATGGAAAAGGGGAATAAACACATAAAGCGGAAATAAAAGATGGAAAGGGGAATAAACGCATAAAGCGGAAACAAAAGATGGAAAAGGGGAATAAACACATAAAGCAGAAATAAAATATGGAAAAGGGGAATAAACACATAAAGCGGAAATAAAATATGGAAAAGGGGAATGCACACATAAAGCGGACGGACATTCAACTCTTGATTATGACAAAAGAGAACGAGAAAGGGATCATAATCTCTTGCGCTCTTGGTCGATCCAAGTCGCGCTACTATTAAGTCATGATGAGCCACCGAGAAAGTTTTTCTGCGAGTTTGCTCTCGGGCGTAACGAGTGCTGCTCTCGGGCGTAACGACTGTTTGCTCTCGGACGCACATTCGTTTTGCACCTTGAACTTCAACACCTTGTGACGTACGAGCTAAAAACAACTGCGATTCGACCGACGAGCTAGGATAACGACGAGCTGACGTCAGAGCCGAACTGACTCCGATTGACTCACTTCAGTGAGTGATGGAGACATTGCTAGTGTTTTTTGAGACGGCTCCAAAGGGAGTTTGAAGTGGCTAGCGTACGCTGCACGTTTCTTACTCAGTACCCTACCCAAACGCTGTATAACCCAATCGAGACCTTTTAAATCCAACATCATGTGACCTAACCGCAATCAAGCCTACGTGGGGGAGGCGCCCTCACGAAATACCAAAAAAAAAAAAAAAAGTTTTGCACGTCCCACGTGACAAGCGGGGTGTGAGAGGCAAACGAAACCTTCTCCCTACGGTGCATTTATTTACATTACACATACAGCGGCTTTCAGTACGTTTCTGCGTAGCTCAGTACGGTATTATTGGTAATCGTTGCAATTTTGAAAAAAATATGCGACCGCGTTCAAGCAGAACGTGCGGTGAACTTCCTCGCGGGTTAGCGGGTTGGTCAATACATTAGTGGCGAAATGGCGATCTATAATGGGCTCGTCTATAATGAGCTCATTCATTGTATGGTAACAATTCATCACAGGTGTTATGATATAGTAAGTGTCAATAAAATATACCGTGAGAATACAATGTCGCTAGTGCAATGAAGGCACGAGGTTAAATAGGGGTTGGCATGCTAGGGCGATAACCTCGGAACGTGGGTAGGTTCGGCAATATGGCGACAATGCCGAGCGCGACTCGGGAAAGGGTTGGGCCGACAATGGAGGCCGAACGTGATGAGTCGAGGAGTTCGGGTGTACGCGCTAGCGTACGACTCAATAAGGAATGGGAATTCCTTAAACTACCCCCCCCCCCTCCTAAACGAGGCCGCGGGCATCGGAAACATTCCGACGCTGATAATACGTTGTTAGAATTGGGTGTGGTTCTATGTCAGCGAGGGGCACCCAGCCGTCATCCTCAGATGTCCGAGAACGCCATCAGACGAGAAAATCCACCATTCGTCGGCTCTGCTGCGTTGTGACGCGATGGCCGAGGATCTTCAAGGGCTCGGTCGTCGGTTCCTGCAGGGGCGTCAGCTGCGGTACGATACGTTGATGTGCCAAATCCGACGAACTGGGGACGTAGGGTCATAGCATGCTGACGTGGAAAGCCAGGTGGTGACGCCAATCCGCCGGGAGTCGGACGTGAGCGGTGACAGGTGTTGCCATATTGGTCACTTGAAAGGGGCCACAGAATCGGGGTCGGAGTTTGCTCAGGATCGGCAGACACAAATTGCGAGTGTCGACTAGTATGAGATCTCCCACTTTGTAAGTAACGTCACGTCGATGACGATCTGCTTGTCGGCTTGCGACCAGGTTGGCTTTCCGGATTGCCTCAGCTGTTTTTTCTTGGGCTGCGAGGATGTCTTCGGCAAATTGCTGGGACCGGGGTATGGGTGTCTCGATGTTTGGTGTAGAGGGTACCACTGGGTTCTGTCCGTAATTGAGGGAAAATGGGGATTGATGGGTTGTTGCGGAAAACGCGTTATTATACGCGAATTCCAGCAGCGGAAGGGATTTCTCCCATGTCTGTGGGTCAGTATAGGTAGTCCGAATGAGTTGCTCCATAGTTTGGTTGACTCGTTCAGTCTGCCTGTCGTGTTAAATTATATATTTGAGATACATATTATGGTAGGCTTCGTACATGTTACTGTATTCTAATGTAGAGGGTACAACCCCCCTTCTTGTATCCCTCTCTCTTCTAATCTCATCCTCTTCTCTCTCGATATTTCTCCTTCCTAAACCTCACGACATTCCATGGCTTCTACTACTACCTACATTCTAGTATTCTAACATGGTACGAGAGCAGGTTGCCCCTCCCGGGCCTGCTCCCCACGCTTCCGCCGCGTTCTCGCCATTTCTGTCTCGTGCTGCCATGGCGGCCGCGTCGTGCGGCTGTGGCGGCGTCGTTGTGCCGCCGGCCGCGTTGTGCTGTCGCGACCGTCTCGACGCGCTGCCGTGGAGTCGCGCTGTCGTGGCGTCGACGTCATGACGTGGCGGCGTCGTCGACGTCGAGCCGTGGCGGTGTGACGGTGCAGTCGTGCTGCCGTGGCGACGTGCTGCCAGCGCGCATACAGCATGGATGGCAACGGCCAGCGCCCCGTCTTAGCGCTGGCCAGCATGCCCGCATGCAGCCAGCACGCCACACGGGGCGGCACGCTCCCGGGCTCTTCTGCTGAATCCCCGCCCCCTTCCGTTGCGTCCCCTCTTCCTCGCCGCAGCCGACAGCTGACTCGCGCTGGCCGTCCCAACGTCGCGGAGCCCGGCCACGCTGCCGAGTGCTGCGAGCTCCGCCGCCACCGCCGCAGCTGGTGCAGCTGGCCACGCTGCCACACGCCGCTGCCGCTGTCGACACTGCCGCCATCGTCGCCGTTGCAGCCGCTGCCCACACTGTCGCCGTCGCCCTGGCTCACGCACCGTGGGGTTGACCATGCGGGAGTCGCCGTCGCTGCTGCTGAGTATGGGGGTGCTAAGGGGTGTGTGGCTTAGTGTGCTGTGTGTGTGGTGGGCTTTCAGCTACCAAGCCTACGGAGTGTGTTAAATTATATATTTGAGATATATATTATGGTAGGCTTGGTAGGTTTTAGTGGATTCTACTGTAGAGGGTACAACCCCCCTTCTTGTATCCCTCTCTCTTCTTATCTCACTCTCTTCTCTCTTGATATTTCTCCTTCCTAAACCTCACGCCATTCCATGGCTTCTACTATTACCTACATTCTAGAATTCTAACACCTCGGTCTGTGGTTGGTAGGCGGAGGAAAACTGTAGTTTGGTGCCAAATTGGTCCCACAGGTGGCGCCAAAATTTCGATGTGAATTTCGGGTCTCGGTCTGAAATAATGGCGGTGGGCAGTCCGTGTAGTCTGATGACGTTGGCGATGAACAGTTGGGCAGTCTGCTCAGCTGTAATTTTCTATTGGCAGGCAATGAAGTGCGCCATTTTCGTGAGTCCGTCAACGACCACGAGGATGGCGTCATTTCCGTTGGGACTGGCCGGCAGTCCTACTACTTAGTCCATTGTGATGTGTTGCCAGGATCTCTCGGGCGGATCCAACGGCTGTAGGAGTCCGGCTGCTCGCTGATGGGATGATTTCATGATTTGGTAGGTGGTGCAGGAGGACACGTACTTGCGCACGTCGTCGGCCGTGTTCGGCCAGTAATATTTGTGCTGCAACGTCTTCATGGTTTTTGACGACTCCGAAATGCCCGGAGGTAGGATTGTCATGGGATTCCTGGATTAGGAGGGTACAAAGTAAATCGTAGCCGGGAACCCAGATGTGGGAAGTGTCGCATTTATTGAAGTAATGTCTGGTGACGGTAGTATGCTGTTGCTGAATGGTGGAGCGGAAGAATGGGTCGATTTCTTAGCCGTGGGTAAATAGTCCGGTAAGGAGTGGGCTGGTCTGGGCGACTAGTATGGCGGCTGTATGGGCAGTGGGTTGGGTCAGGGCATCAGCAATGTTGTTGGCGCCCCGCTTGTAGGTGATGGTGTAGTGGAAGTTTGACTCGAGGAAATCGAGCCATCGGATTTGTCGCGGGTTGAGATTCGGTTGGGCTTGCAGGTACTGGAGGGATTTGTGGTCGGTTCGCACAGTGACGTCAGCGCCTGTCAGGTAGCACCGCCAGGTCTTAAACGCATGGACGATCGCCAACATTTCCTTGTCGTGTACCGGATAATTTTTCTCTGCACCCTACAGCTTCCTTGATTCGTAGGCGACTGGCTGTAATCCGTCGCCAAAATCGTGTAAGAGAACTGCGCCGATGGCGATGTCGCTGGCGTTGGTGATGACTTCGTATAGACGGTCAGGATCGGAGATGCGAAGGACGGGCGTCGACGTGATGGCAATCTTCAGTTGGTCAAATGCAACTTGCTGCTTCTCCTTCCACCAAAAACAATCGTGATCCTTGAGTTGGTCAGTTAGCGGGGCAGATAACCAAGCCATATTAGGGATAAACCGGTGGACGTAATTGTCGAAGCCCAAAAAACTCTGCAGCACCTTGATGTTGCTTGGCGACTTCCATTCCTGTATGGTATTGATTTTCTTGGGGTCGATTTTCACGCCTTTGGTAGAGACGATGTGGCCCAGAAATTCCAACTCCTGCTTAAGAAAGTCACACTTAAACCCTTTGGTGATGAGGCGATTCTTGTGCAGCAGCGTGAAGACTGCATCAAGATCCTTTAAGTGCTGCTCCCTTCTGCGGCCGTAGATTAATCTATCGTCGAGGTAGATGATGACGTATTCATGGTCATTTGGAAGGTCGAGGGCGCGTTTGTGAGGCCAAAAGGCATCACCAGGTACTCGTAGCTTCCGTATCGGGTTCGGAATGCCGTCTTGTGATAATCGTCGCCGGCGGCACGACCCATTTCCTCGTCGCTCCTCTAGCTTCTTCCCCATAGAATTTTGGAGGGCTATAAATTCTTGGCAGTTGCGTCGGATGTGACCCGGCTGGCCACAGTGGTAGCATAGCTCCGTATTTCACGGAGCAATTGCGTAAATATCTACTGCATCCACCCCTATTATCGTGGCACGCTGGTACTGTTCTCGAGGGCAACCTCCTTCGTGATCGAATCAGCGGCTTCGGCGAGCTGGATGTAGTCTTGTAACCGCTTCGCAGGGCGTTGCAGTTTTATCTGGTACTATATTTTGGGCTTCAAGCCGCTCATGTACTTTTCGACCTTCTCCAACCCGTGCATGTAGCCACATATGTCCACCAACGTCAGGAACGACGCGGTGTACTCGGACACAGATCCCAGCTGCTTCCACATGCGAAGAGTTTCGCGTGCCTTGTCTGAGTCAGGAGCATGCTCAAATCGTTTGCGAAGCTCTGCTCACCACGTTGCCCACGTGCGAATGTGGGACGCTCCGAACAACAAATCTGCCTCGTCTTCGTCTCCGAATTCTTCGGACCACTCGTGCTGTCCTTCTGTGCGAGTTGCCGCTGAGTCGACGTTGACCTTCCTGTTAAATTATATATTTTGTTATATAATTGGTAGGCTTGGTGGGTGTTATTTCAACCAACTGTAGAGGGTACAACCCCCCTCCTTGTATGCCTCTCTCTCCTATTCTCAGCTCTCTTTTCTCTCGTCAACTTTCTCTTAGCTAAACCCTCACGCCATTTCTATGGCTCCCCTACCTACCTAGCGTTCTTAGTTTTACATGGTAACAGATCAGTTTCCCCTTCCCGGGCCTGCTCCCCACGCTTCCGCCGCGCACTCCTTCTCTCCCCCTTGCGCTGCCATGGCGGCCGCGTCGTGATGCTGTGGCGGCGTCGTCGTGCTGCGGCCGTCTCGACGCGCTGCCGTGGCGTCGCACCGTCGTGGCGTCGACGTCCAGCCGTGGCGGCGTGACGGCGACGTCGTGCTGCCGTCGGAGCGTCGACGTCCCGCTGTGGCATCGACGCCGCTCTGTGACGGCGTCGTCGGGCTGCAGCCGGCCGCGCAACGCCTGTGGCGCCGTTAGACCTGCCGCCCGCTCGCCAGCCACGGGCGTGATTCTAGACCACCCCCCCCCCCTCCCCCCCCCCCTCCCCCCCCAACTCCCCCTCCTTCCCATGCGTCCCCTCTTCTTTGCCACAGCCGACGCCTGCCTCGCGAGGGTCTTCTCCATCGTCGCGGAGCTTGGCCACGCCACCGAGAGCACGGGGGCCGCTGCAGCCGCCTCTGACGTCGAAGCCGCCGCCGCCGCCGCTGTCGCCACTGGCCTTTTGCCGCCGCACGCCGCCGCCGCCCCCGCTATCGTCACTGCCGCCGTTGCCATCTCACGGGTCGTGGGAGTTGTCCAATTCCAGAGTCATCGCGGCTGCTGCTGGGAATGGGGGGCTAGGTTAGGGGGAGTAGGTGTGTGGGGGTTCATCTACTACCAAGCCTAGGGGGTATGTTAAATTATATATTTTGTTAAATAATTGGTAGGCTTGGTAGGTGTTATTGCAACCAACTGTAGAGGGTACAACCCCCTTCCTTGTATGCCTCTCTCTTATATTCTCAGCTCTCTTTTCTCTCGTCAACTTTCTCCTAGCTAAACCCTGACGCCATTTCTATGGCTTCCCTACCTACCTAGCGTTCTTAGTTTTACACTTCCACCACTGTAAGGCGGCCCCTTGCAACAGTGTAAACGCGTAGCTGATCCGTTTTTTATCGTCTCTGATGCCCGCCGCGTTAAAATAGATATTCATGACGAATATCCACTGTCGCACTGTTGTTGAAAGGAGCGGGTTGCTGATATCTTACACCGCCACTTGTCGAGCGCGGGGTTGTTGCTGCTAATCGTGCCAGCTCCACTCGTGACGGTTGGCTTGCTCACCCACCTCGCTTTGTGCATCGTCGCCCGGCTCCTCTGGACGCCTCTCCTGCGCCTGACAAAGTCGCTGGTTCTCGTCGCGGAGGTCGTTGACGACGCTTGTCAAATTCTTCAACTGCTCCTTTAATGCTTGCAGGTCCACATTTTCATGGGCAGGATTCGCAGCAGTCGAGGTGGACTGTCCCTCAACTGTCGAGTCTACCGGGGCCATGGCGGCCAGGACGGGGCAGGAGCTAGCGTACACGCTGTAGTTGTTGACGTAAAAATATTTACGATCCAAGACAACTGCTGTGGAGCTGTGCTAATCCTCTCTGACCACCCTTAACTAAATAAATGGGACAACGGAAGGTTCCTGAAAAGGTCGGGCTCTGATACCAGCTGTTATGATATAGTTACTGTCAATGAAATATAACGTGAGAATGCAATGCCGTTATTGCAATGAAGGCACGAGGTTATATAGGGGTTGGCGTGCTAGGGCGATAACCTCGGAAAGTGGGTAGGTTCGGCAATGTGGCGACAGTGCCGGACGCGACTCGGGAAAGGGTTGGGCCTACAATTGAGGCCGAACGTGACGAGTCGAGGAGTTCGGGTGTACGCGCTAGCGTACGACTCAGTAAGGACTGGAAATTCCTTACAACAGGGGTACAAATTATGGCCATTGGACGAATAAAAAACAACTTCGGATCACTTTTATGAAAGTAAACTTTGGGATGAATCATGTATATGGAAATACATGTTAGCAAATGATTGGTGTGAATCATAGAAACGGATAAAGAATCAGTCACCGTTGTGTTGGTTGCTTCTTAAAACACATCCACCCATCTTTTTGGAGCAAGTAAAGAACTCGTGTACAGTCAACTTTATACGCACAAAGTCGCGAATGCTATGGAGTCCAGGGCTCTCCTATTACCGCCACCCATTCTCCAAAACAAATCCCAAGGGCCACTGCGATTGGCGCTCGCATCTTCAGCCTGGGTTTCATGTGCTCTGGCCTGGCAGTGTTGCTTCAGTTCAGCAGAACTCCCAGGGCTCGCCTCGAAGTTCGAACCGTCCAACCGACCGCAGCACCCAAGGCGACTGTTGTTTCAGGAAGCTGCATTTCTTCGCAGGCAAAAATTGGCAGAAATTGCTGTTGCTAAGATAGTGGGCGAAATTCCAGCATTCCAGCGTTCCAGCGTGCGTAGTTTATTCCGTTCTGTTCTATTTGGGGAACCTTTGTCGTGTGGCTTGGCCGGAGCATTGGTTTGTGTGTAGTCCTTGGACGAGCCCGTGATTGTTATTAGTTGTTATGTTATTTCCTCGCTGCTGTAATGGCGCCCCCGTGAGCAGCAAGGTCTCGGTCCCCGCGACGGCGTAGCGGTTCAGTGAACAATACCACATTTAACCACCAAAATTATACAATCTCGCGGGTCTGTTCGGGTTTTTTTTTTTTTTTTTTTGTGTGTGTGTAGAAAACCGAGTCCTCATTTCTGTCCTGACAAGTTTTACTCAACGTAACGCGATAGCTCCAGTTAGTCGCTCCTCCGTACAATGTGTTGCTGCTTCCGTCTGGCTAAGTAAACGTACCTCCAGCGCTCCGCCATTCCGGCCTTTCCGGCTTTTCCGGCTTCCTCAGCGTCCCGCAAACACGTACATCTAGACTTACATCCTGGCTTTTAGCTTACAGCTGGCATCGACGATATACTTCTAAGTCGACTATAGCCTCCGGCTTCATTTGTCTTACATTTCATAATGTCGTGGATCCGGTCGAATCTGGCGAAGGTCGGGACGTTCGCCGGGTCGGTGGTGCAGAAAGCGGGGGATGCCGTGGAGCGAGGCGCCAAGCTGGTGTACGAGCAGGCGGAGAGCGCAGTGGTGAGTCAACGGTCTTATTTTCCTTGATAAGGGTGGGGAAATTCGGCAGGTTGGGGATGCAGGAAGCCGGGGTTGCCGTGGAGCGAGGCGCCAAGATGGTGTACGAGCAGGCGAAGAGCGCAGTGGTGAGTTGAGCAGCCTCATATTTGTTGCTTGGGGTGGGGATATTCGCCCGGGCGGTGGTGCAGAAAGCCCGGGATGCCGTGGAGCGAGGCACCAAGACGGTGTACGAGCAGGCGGAGAGCGCAGTGGTGAGTCAACGGCCTTATTTTTCTTGATTAGGGTGGGGAATTCCGGCAGGTTGGGGATGCAGGAAGCCGGGGTTGCCGTGGAGCGAGGCGCCAAGATGGTGTACGAGCAGGCGAAGAGCGCAGTGGTGAGTTGAGCAGCCTCATATTTGTTGCTTGGGGTGGGGATATTCGCCCGGGCGGTGGTGCAGAAAGCCCGGGATGCCGTGGAGCGAGGCACCAAGACGGTGTACGAGCAGGCGGAGAGCGCAGTGGTGAGTCAACGGTCTTATTTTTCTTGATTAGGGTGGGGAATTCCGGCAGGTTGGGAATGCAGGAAGCCGGGGATGCCGAGGAGCGAGGCGCCAAGGGGGTGTACGAGCAGGCGGAGAGCGCAGCGGTGAGTTGATGGTCGCATCTTTCCTGCTAGGGCGGGACATTAGTCCTGTCGTTGGTTGAGCAAGCTGGGAGCGAGGAGCCAAGCTGGTGTACGAGCAGGCGGAGAGCGCAGTGGTGAGTCAACGGTCTTATTTTCCTTGAACCTATTCCTTGAGCAGGCGGAGAGCGCAGTGGTGAGTAAAACAAAGAATCGCGCATTCCAGAATCGGGGTTCTTGAACCTATTCTCCCACCAGCCCTCCCGTTCACACCCCTGATCCATTTTCCCTCCACCCCCGTCTTCAGGTGGGTCGGCCGCACAACAGTTTCCGACACGCCATACGGCGGATAGAGGAGGTGTCGTCCCTCGCACGCGGCAGCGAGCGGAAAGAAGCGTTGGCTCGCTGGCTGGCCGCGCTCTCAGACATCCAGCAGGAGACCGAACGGCTGCAGGCGCAGTTCCAGAGAAGGAAGAAGAAGCAGGAGAAGCAGGAGAAGCAGGAGAAGCAGGAGAAGCAGGAGAAGTGGGAGAAGCAGGAGCAGAAGAAGCAGGGGGAGGTGACAACTGTGTCAGCTGCTAATGATGGTGCCGGTGCTTCTGCCTTGAGCTCAGAACGAGAAAAGACGGAAGCAGCAGGAACGGAGGGGGGTGAGGCACACCCAGAGGCTGTAGCCGATGCAAAGGGAGCAGCGGCTGGTACAGTTGGCGGTGAAGGCACAGATGACAGGGCTAAGGCTGGAGGGGAAGGGAAAGGTGTTGGGGAGGCAGGAATATCAGAGGAGGCTGTAATGGAGGACGGGCGAGTGACGGTAGATGGAGCTGACGGGAAAGCAGATTCAGGAGCAGCATCCGATGCAGTCTCAGGGGCATCACCAGCAGCACCGTCAAAGGATGGGATTGTAGGGGATGGCGCAGCAGCAGAAGCAAGCACCAAACCAGCTGAAACAGCCGAAACCGCAGCAGCAGAAGCAGAGGAGGTATCATCGATAGGAGATGGATCGTCGCAGGATGGGTCAGCCTATTCACTATCACGTTCGGGATCAACAGGACGAGCTTCCATGGTGAGTAAAGAAATGCTCTGGGGTGCAGTGCGGTCCAATGCGGTATTTGAGTCGTCTCAAAAGCAGGCTCATCGATAGGAGATGGATCGTCGCAGGATGGGTCAGCCTATTCACTACCACGTTCGGGATCAACAGGACGAGCTTCCATGGTGAGTAAAGCAATGCTCTGGAGTGCAGTGCGGTCCAATGCGGTTTTTGAGTCGACTCAAAAGCAGACTCATCGATAGGGGATGGATCGTCGCAGGATGGGTCAGCCCATTCGCAACCACGTTCGGGATCAACAGGACGAGCTTCCATGGTAGGTGAAGCAATGTTCTGGAGTACGGTCTGGTCCAATGCGGTTCAGTGCCAACCCTTTCCCCCATTCTCGCTCTGCCCCCTTCCCCCTCCCCTCCCTTCCTCCCTCTCCCCCCTACGCCACCCATCCCAGGTTCTCTTCTATGATCCTGACGCCGGCAACGAGGCTCTTAACTTCAGGGACGTGTTTCTGCGCTCTAGTGCTCTGGAGCACATAGTGGCGTCGGTGGTGATGGAGCCGGGGGACGACGAGGAGATGCACCTGCTGCGAGGGCTGCTTGGGTAAGGAATAGGGAGCAGGAGTTGTCCTGCATGTGCGTGCTCTGGAGCACAGAGAAGTTGGAGAGCTTCAGGTGACCTTCAACAAGTGAGCCGCTCACTGTGAGCATGTGCTGAAGCACAGAGTGGCGTCGGTGGTGGTGGAAGCTGCTGAGGGGGCTGCATGAGTAAGAGGCGGGAAGGGTGAGCATCATGTGGAAAGGACGAATGGTACTCCAAAACGCAATCTCTCCTTAACCCAGCATTGAATCTCTCCAAAGACGAGCCCCTGCATCTCGTGGTCTTATGCACCCCTCCATGCCTCTCCATTCCTTTTCATTCCCCGCTGCACCCCTCTGCACCCCACTCCACCCCTCTCCACCCGTCCCAGCCTCTGTCTGGCCCTCTCCTCCTCCCAGTGCGACGAGCTACTCTCCGCTGTTAAGTCACTCGGCTCCTCCCTCTCTGCTTACTCCGAACTCAAGGTGCGATACACTTGTTCAGGTATTTTGGACGGGTGGATAGGGGTGAGAAGGAGTGGTGAAGGGTGGGGAAGGGCGGGGATGGGTGGGAATGGCATGTGGGAAGCAAATTGAAAAGAGGACAGATCACGATTACAGGGGGGTGGGTGCAGAGAGCAGTGGGGCATTTTAAAGGAAAGGCTGATGCACCCCCTGTATACCTACCGTTGTTAGCTGCACTGCACTCAACTTCTCTCGTGACTCGTCCCCTACTCTCTCCCTTTATATAGACCCTCTTCCTCGTGTCTTCACAGTCTGCTTTCTTCGGCCATTTTACCACTCTCCACAGCAGTCCCTCGGGCTTCTACCAGCTTTGCTGTCCATCACCTACTCCTCCCCTCCCCTCTCCTCCCCTCCCCCCCAACCGTCAATTGACGATTTCGTGGGGATGATGGCTGCTCCCTTCTGCTCCTGTCCCCTGTACCGCTTTCCCTCACCTGCTGCTTTCCCCCACCTCTTCGTCCCCCCCCCCGCCCCCCCCCAGCTGTCCAGTGAGGACTTGGCAGCGATGGTGGCAGAAGCAATCACAGGGCTGAAGGTCAACCCGGAGATTGAAAGGTGTGTGGCGGGATGGGATGTGGTTTGAAGGGATAGTGGCAGAAGCAATCACAGGGCTGAAGGTCAACCCGGAGATTGAAAGGAGTGTGGCGGGATGGGATGTGGTTTGAAGAGATGGTGGCAGAAGCAATCACAGGGCTGAAGTTCAACCCTGAGATTGCAAGGTGTGTGGCGGGATGGGATGTGGTTTTTATTGCGGGCAGCACGGTACGGGGCTAGTGGTGTCGCGTGTATAGGAGGGGATGGTGGCTGAAGCAATCACAGGGCTGAAGGCCAACCCGGAAAAAGGCATGAGACTCCCGTTTTCTTTGGGGATAATGGGGCTGGAGGTTCACCCGGAGATTGAGCGATGTGTGGCGGGACGGGGCTTGGGATTGTAACGGGAAAAGGCATGAGACTCCCGTTTTTTGGGGGGGAACTGGGGCTGAAGGTCAACCCTGAGATTGAACGGTGTGTGGCAGGATGGATGGGGCTTGGGAGTGAATCACATAGGAACGAGACTCACGTCTTTTTGGGGAGAATGGCTCTGAAGGCCAAACTTCCTTTCTCATGACCTGGCGCACCACAGTGTCCTTTTTTTCATATCCCCGCAGGGTTGAAATTAGTCATGCCGGCCGGCTGCATAATGCATTTAGAGTCGACTCATAATGTTCTCCGTTGGCGTTTAATTTGAGTGGACTCAGAATACAATGCACCATCCCTTTCTCTCCTCCTTGCGCCACTCACTCTCTTCCCCCAGGGTTGAGCTGGAGTCATGCCGGCTACAGCAGCTGATTATCGAAGCTGCTTCTGCTGCTGCCTCTGCACCTGCTGCGCACCAGCGCTCCGCCTCCTTCTCTGCTGCTTTTGATGCTGACGACCTGGCTATTGACGGCCCTGCTGCTGCCGATGCCACTTCTGCTGCTGATGCCACTGCTGCTGCCAATGCCACTGCTGCTGCTGATGGTGCTCCTGCTGCTGATGCCACTGCTGCCAGTGGTAGCGCCGATGGGGATGGTGGTAGCTCCACTGGCTCAGGCACGGGAGCCAAACCTGTCGACTCTGCTGCTGACACAGAGGCTGAAGGTGGGGAAGGGACGCTGCTGCAGCAGGAGAAAGAGCAGGAGGGGGAGGAGCAGAAAGGAGAGGCAGAAGGGAGTTTACCAGAGGAAGTCAAGGAGGCTGCAGACAATGCAAGCAAGGGCAACCAGGCAACAGCACAGGCAACAGCACACGCAACATCACATGCCACAGAACTTGCAGCAACGCATGCAAAGGAAGCTGTAACGCACGTGAACGAGGTGGTAACCGCACGGTCACGCGACGCGCTGCGCCTAGGGCTGCGTCTGCTCGCCCTAGAGAAGAAAAAGGAAGTGCTTCTCCAGCTGGGGGACACGCCAGGGGACAGGGCGCTGAAGGTGGAGAGGGTGAGCAGCCTGGCAGCGGAGCTGAGTGAGAGCATGGAGGGGCTCAAGAGGAAGGCGGAGGAGTGCCGGCAGCAGAGGCAGGAGGCGCTGGCGTACCGATCGACCAAGTCGCAAGAAGCACGGGAGGCGGAGAAGGTGAGCTATAGGGTTTTTTTTCTTCTTCTTTTGGGTATTCTTTCTCTCTCACTGTTCTAGGAATAAAGGGGGAAAACAGATGGCCCTTTGATGCAGCTGGGGGACACGCCAGGGGACAGGGCGCTGAAGGTGGAGAGAGTGAGCAGCCTGGCAGCGGAGCTGAGCGAGAGCATGGAGGGGCTCAAGAGGAAGGCTGAGGAGTGCCGGCAGCAGAAGCAGGAGGCGCTGGCGTACCGATCGACCAAGTCGCAAGAGGCACGGGAGGCAGAGAAGGTGAGCGGTAGGGGTGTCCTTCTTGCCCTTTTTCTCTGTGCCAGGCGAGAGGCAGAGAAGATGAGTGGAAGGTGTAGGAAAGCGGAAAGGGTTGGATGAGCCGACTCTTGCCTTCGCCCCTCCCTTCAACCCTTTCTTCGCCTGTTCCTTTACCCCTTCCCTAACCCCTCTCCCTCGCCATCTACTCCTATTGGAGGCGCAGCAAGTGCAGACGTGCAAGGAGGGGCTGGAGAAGGAGCTGGAGGAGGAGCTGAGGAGGCTGTACCCCTTCCTCGCATGATCATACCCCTCCCCCCTCCCCCTTCCCCCCCCTCTCCCCCTTATGCACAAACCAGCTGCTTCTGTCGGAGGCGCAGCAGGTGCAGAAGCGCAAGGAGGAGCTGGAGGAGGAGCTGGAGGAGGAGCAACAAATCCGGCTTCCTTCCCTACTTTCTCCCCGCCACCCCCCTTCCTCACCAGCTGCTGCTATCAGAGGCGCAGCAGGTGCAGAAGCGCAAGGAGGAGTTGGAGGAGGAGCTGAGGCGGGTGCAGGCGGCGCTGGACGGCGTGAATCGGCGGCTGGTGAAGCTGGAGGAGGAGAAGGTGCTCTTCTCGCAGGCCAGCTCTGGGATCGAGGCCCACCTTGCCTCAGAGGTAAGAGCTCAGAGGTAAGAGCTCAGAGGTAAGAGCTCAGAGGTAAGAGCTCAGAGGTAAGAGCTCAGAGGTAAGAGCTCAGAGGTAAGAGCTCAGAGGTAAGAGCTCAGAGGTAAGAGCTCAGAGGTAAGAGCTCAGAGGTAAGAGCTCAGAGGTAAGAGCTCAGAGGTAAGAGCTCAGAGGTAAGAGCTCAGAGGTAAGAGCTCAGAGGTAAGAGCTCAGAGGTAAGAGCTCAGAGGTAAGAGCTCAGAGGTAAGAGCTCAGAGGTAAGAGCTCAGAGGTAAGAGCTCAGAGGTAAGAGCTCAGAGGTAAGAGCTCAGAGGTATGCTCAGCTCAGCTGCCTAAGCTTGCTGTGAAGTGGCCCACGAATCAGCGGCTGGTGAAACTGGGGGAGGAGAAGGTGCTCTTCTCGCAGGCCAGCAGCGGCATTGAGGCGCACCTTGCTTCAGAGGTGAGCGTTGATTGAGGCGCAGCACCTGGCTTCAGAGGTACGCATGGGTGCTTAACCACCTCGAGAATAGGTTTCTCCGGACTCGGCAGCTGGTGAAGCTGGAGGAGGAGAAGAAGCTGTTTGTGCAGGCCAGCAGCGGCATTGAGGCGCACCTTGCTTCAGAGGTAGGTATGGATTCAGAGCTGGGACATGAGGAGGAGGACGCCAAGCCAAGGCGCTAATGGAGTCGCTCCTGCAGGAGTCATATGCGCCTGTTTCCCAGCCTCGTTATTCCCACACCCCCCTATTTGAACCAACAGGAGGAATCCCTCACGCACTCCCTGTTCGAGCATGGGGAGGACTCCCAAGGCCCTGGAGGAGTGGAAGCAGTTTCTGCAGCAGCCGCAAGTGTCCCTTAGCCGCTGTTCTCATCACAGGCCCCCCTGTTTCAACTAACAGGTCGAATCTCTGACTCACTCTCTGTTCGAGCATGGGGAGGACTCCAAGGCATGCAAGAGTGGAAGCAGTTCCTTCTTGCAGCAGTCGAGTGTGTGTCCCTTAGCTGCTATTCCCACTCGCCCCCATTTTAACTCCAGGAAGAATCTCTGTCCCACTCCCTATTCGAGCATGGGGAGGATACCAAGGCGCTGAAGGGGTGGAAGCAGTTCCTGCAGCAAAGAGTGTGTGTCCCTCCCTAGCCACTATTCCCGCTCACCCCTGTATCAAACAACAGAAGGAGTCCCTCACGCACTCCCTATTCGAGCACGGGGAGGACTCCAAGGCGCTGGAGGGGTGGAAGAGCTTCTTACAGCAGTCGAGTGTGTGTCCCGCTATTCCCACTCACCCCTATTTCAACACCAGGAAGAATCTCTGTCCCGCTCCCTATTCGAGCACGGGGAGGACGCCAAGGCGCTGGAGGAGTGGAAGAGCTTCCTACAGCAGTCGAGTGTGTCTCTCTTACCCACGATCTAGTATTCCCTCGAACTCATTCCCTTAACAACAGGAGGAGTCCCTCACTCACTCCCTGTTCGAGCACGGGGAGGACGCCAAGGCGCTGGAGGGGTGGAAGAGCTTCCTACAGCAGTCATGGCAGCTGCAGCAGGCGTGTGTGGAGGCGAGGGAGAGGCAGCTCAGGGACGAACTGAGCGAGCGCAAGGGCAAGTTGTGGGCTCTCGCACAGGGGCACGTGCGGCTGTGCAAGGTAGGTTGCAGTCAGTGTATAGAGTAGGAGGTGCCTCTGCAATAGTGCAGCAGGCGTACGTGGAGGCGAGGGAGAGGCAGCTCAGGGACGAGCTGAGAGAGCGCGCAAGGCCAAGCTGTGGTCGCTAGCTCAGGGGCACATGCGCCTGTGCAAGGTAGGACATTGGACACAGGGGCACGTGTGACGGTGTATTGTGAGTCGCTCACACATCTGTCATCTGCGGAATCAATTCGCAATCAAACTGCTGAAATTTTTCACCCAAGAATGGGCTGTGGCTGTGCACTTCGAGAGTAGGGGCTTTGGCTGTGCACTTCGCCCTAGTACCACAATAACCGTGTGCGTGTATTCTTTCTTCTGTCTCTCGATCCCGTCTTTCCTTCCCTTCCTTCTTCTCCCCTTGGCTTGTTGCTCCTCCTGTCGCCCGCCCATCACCAGTCTGAGCTGCAAGCGTTTGGGCAGTCGGCCAGGTCCATAGTGGAGCGACTCAAAGGGATCAAAGCGAAGAGGTGAGTGCGGGAGCATGCCAACAAGGTAGGGTGAGTGCCGGATCGTATCAAATAGGGGGCAACGAGCTGGAAGCGTTTGGGCAGTTGGCCAAGTCCGTAGTGGAGCGAGTCAAGAGGATCAAAGCTAAGAGGTGAGGATGGTATACGTGTGAAAGGGTGAGACTGGTATGGTAGTACAGTGAGTAGGAATGGAAGATGCAGATATGTCTGGCCAGTGTGAACACCAGCGGGACTGGTATACCTCTTTCCTTGCTGTCCTCTCCCCTATTCCCTCCCTCCCCTCCCGTCAACACCAGGCAGCAGGCGGAGAAGGAGGGTAGAGACGGGGCAGTGTGACATATCTTTCCTTGCTACACCCTCCCCCCTCCCTCCCCTCCCTCCACTCCCTCCCCTCCCTCTGCTCCCGTTCCACTCCCATTCCGCAACAACCCCAGGGAGCAGGCGGAGAAGGAGGGTAAAGACGGGGCAGTGGCCGACAGCAAGCACCGGCGGCTGCAGTGGGAGGAGCGATTCATGGCAGCTGAGATACAGGTGGGTGCAGTGCGGTGCAGCGGGAATCAGGAGAGGTTGTATTTGCACTCGCCCAATCTTCGAATTAATGTTGAAGCTCGTTTGGCCATCATCCATCAACCACGCATGTGCCATCCGTGTGCCATCCACATGCCATCCACGTGCCATCCACGTGCCATCCACATGCCATCCACATGCCATCCACATGCCATCCACATGCCATCCACATGCCATCCATATGCCATCCACATGCCATCCATATGCCATCCATGTGCCATCCACGTACCATCCACGTGCCATCCACGTGCCATCCACGTGCCATCCACGTGCCATCCACGTGCCATCCACGTGCCATCCACGTGTCATCCAAGTGCCATCCATGTGCCATCCATGTGCCAGCCACGTGCCATCTGTTAGAGATAGGTTGCAATTCGGTTGGCACAACTTTGTGTTGGCACTTTGTTGGTTTTAGGGATACACAAATTTGTTAGGTTGGGTGTAGCTATGTTTTCATCCCCAACCTATCCCAACCCAATCCATCCCAAATCCCCACGATTTGGGAGGATTCCCTTGGGATTCCCTTCGATTCTCCCTTATCCCTTCCCATCCTCTCCGATGCTCGATACTTAAGGATGTATGCTCTTGCTCATTTCAATCAATGAAGTTCTCAGTTTCTGATATGGTATCAGAGCTCGTTTCCGCCTAAGCGGCTCTTGATCCTCTCGCTCCGTTGGAGCTTAGCATTTGTCTTACGACGCAAAGCTTTTCTAGTCGCCTCAACTCAGCGCGGCGCTTCTCTTCGGGCTGACGCCCGTCGCTCCGCATCTGCTTGTCGCATTTGATCGGGCTGAGCCCGTCGCCCCGCATCTGCTCGTCGCATCTGATCGGGCTGAGCCCGTCGCCCTGCATCTGCTCGTCGCACCTGATTGGGCTGAGCCCGTCGCCCCGCATCTGCTCGTCGCACCTGATCGGGCTGAGTCCGTTGCCCCGCATCTGCTCGTCGCACTTGATCGGGCTGAGCCCGTCGCCCCGCATCTGCTCATCGAAGCTGGATGCGCTGTCGCCTGTCGCCCTTGCAACAGCGGGGGGGGTGCAGCGGCGAAGCGGACAAGGGGGCAGCGGCGAAGCGGAAAGGGGGCAGCGGCGAAGCGGAAAAGGGAAAGGGGGGGTGGTCGCGGAGCAGCGGGATTGCAGCAGCATATCGAGAATTTGTATAGATTTCGGCGATCAGATTTTCTTCTTACTCGGCCATTTTCGCTCCTCGAGCATTGAAAATCCGCAAAAGAAAATCTGGTTTTTAAGAGCTGCGCTACGCGCGGAGAAAAGGTCCTTATAGCATCATGGCGTACCCTTCCGCGTCTCTCTCAAACCCGATCACCCCCTTGCACCTCGACCCAAATGGCTCAAGCCCTAACTTCAAGGAGTGGAGCTATGAAGTTGCTAAGCATCTCTTAAGCCGCAAGATTGAGGGGATTTGCCTCACGGATGTCCTCCTTAATCGCGGCAAAGAAAAGATGCCGGTCCTTCCCAAGAAACTCTCGGCCACGGCCATAGAGGAAGAGTCAAAAGCGCATGAGGAATCCATGTCCAAGTATGAGGAATCTTATAGCGTGTGGGAGCAAGCCGACGCCGCTATCATTGGCGTCTTCGTCGGCACTACCCCTTCCGAGCTCGTCAAAACTTACCATAACTACCCCTCTGCGCACGCCATTTGAGAGTACCTCAACGACCGCTTCCTCAACAAAACCGCTGTAGGGGTGGCGATCCTCATACCCCGCATGTTTCAAGTGCGTCTGGAGGAGTGCCCTGGAATGACAGATTACGTCGCTGAGATTCAAGGGATTCATCAGGAGCTGAAGCAACTCGGCATTGTCTTCCCAGACCAAGCCCCTGCAGCAGCTCTGCTTGTTGGGCTAACCCCCTCTTACAATGTCACCCGCTCCATGCTTCTCCATCTTCCGCCAGAAGAGCTAACCTTTGCCAAAGTCTCTTCCGCACTTCTCTCTGCTGAAAAAGACAACACTGCGCAGGCTCGTGCAAATGCGCTTCGCGCTCCTGTCCCAGCTCCAGCATCGCGTCCCAATCCGCCACCCACTCGTAACCGCTACCCACCCTGTCCTTACATCATCAAGATGGGACCCCGTGTGGGTCAGGTGTGCGGCGGCACCAATCACCCGCTCGCCAGCTGCTTCAAGAAGAAGGACGACGATTGGTTAGCCAAGAATGGTATCAACTCCAAGCCGCCCAACTGGCTTCGCATGCGCCAGCTCAACCATGTTGAGGCACAGGATAGTCAGGACTCAGCCGTTCATGCCCCTAGTCCCGATGTTCGTCTGAACTTGTTGTTCCCTGGCCTTCCCATGATCAATGAAACCAGTTCCCAGAATTCGGCGTCTCCACAAACACCATCTAAACCACTTGAATTTGTCCTAGACAGCTGTGCAACCCACACAGTCCTCCGAGACAAAGAGTCTTTCAAACCATACCAAGCACCCATTCCTCTCCTAGGCGCAGACTCCAGCTTCACAACTGTCGCCCATGGTTCCTCCACTCTTCCATGCCCAGCCTTCCCATCTGGCACAGTCACTGGCATATGCGTGCCCACTCTTCGGCACAACTTACTTGCACAACATGAGATTCAACAAGCAGGGGTAACCACTATCTTCCCAGCTCATTCCAATCATTGTGATCTCCTTGATCCCACCAACAATGCCCTCCTTGCACGCTTCACACTGACCGTCAACCACCTCTACACACTCCAAGTACCTCCATCTTCCACAGAAGCACACTCTACCTCCACCACATCATCGTGCTCCTGCCGTCTACTCACCGACCCAACCATTCTTTACCACCATCGTCTCGGGCATCCCAACTTCCGCATGCTGTCCGAGCTTGCGTCTAAGAAGTTGCTTCTTCACCTGCCCGACACACTTCCTCCACCCGCCACTTCTCCCGCTCCTCCATGCTTGGACTGCGCGCAAAGCAAACTACGCCAGCTACCTCACCCTTCCTCGCCCTCCGCTGCAGCCGCCCCGCTTGACCTCGTCCACATGGACGTCTGGGGCCCAGCTCCACTACGCTCTCGTGGCGGGCATTCTTACTTCCTAGTGCTCGTTGACGATCACTCTCGCTATGCGTCCGTCCACCTCCTCTCCTCCAAAGCAATTGTTCCAGATGTCGTCATCGCATGGGTTCGAGAAGCCCAAAATCATTTCCGCACTTCAGTCAAGTGCCTCCATTCCGATGGCGGTGGCGAATTTCGAAACCATTCCCTTCAAGCGTTCTGTGCCTCCCAAGGCACTCTCCAGACCTTCACCCTTCCCCACAGTCCGCAGCAGAATGGCATTGCTGAAAGTCGCAATCGCACTCTCGTGCAAATCGCTCGCTGTCTTCTCACTCACGCTGGTGCACCACCTTCACTTTGGAGTTACGCCCTCCTTCATGCCACGCTGCTGTACAACCTTCACCCTCACCCTCTTCGTCCTGCCATCACTCCCGCTGAACTGTGGACCGGCACCAAGCCCAGTGCACGTCCTCTCCGCGTATGGGGGTGTACCGCTTATGTCCTTCTCAACCCTCAGGAACATCGCACCCATGGCGGCAAATTTGCACCAAAAGCTCAACCCTGTGTCTACCTCGGCCACAACCTGGACTCTCCCGATTACCTTTTCCTCAATCCCTCCACCAATCAGCTGATTCGTAGCCGCGATGTCACCTTTGACGAGAGTCGCCCTTTTTACCTCTCTTCACCACCCCCCACCGCTCCACCTTCGCTTGTGTGGGCCGATTCTGATACTTCACCCTCTCCACCTCCTCCCTCTGCCGCTCCTCCTGCGGCCCCCTCCCTCTCACCTCCCCCATCTCCTTCCACTCTCTCTCACCCCTCTTCGCCCACTGGCTCAGTTGCCCGTTCACCTCCGCCCGCGCCTGCACCTCCCCCTGCACCCGCTCCTGCAGCTGCCCCTCCGCCTCCCTCTCCTTATGCGCCTCCCCCTGCCCTTGCACCTCCATCCCCGCCTTCACCTTCGCTTCCGCCTCCAACCTCCACCTCTCCTCCCGCCTCGCCCATCACCTATCGTCGCTGTGAGAGTACGACCCCGTTACACCAATTTTCCCTTTCCATATTTCCTTTCTATTTCATTCCTCTTTTTATCCTCATTCATTTGGTCTTTATCTCATCTAATTTGGTTTCCTATTCCTCATTTTCCATTATCCTTTGGTTTATCCTGTTATTATAATTATATCACCGACCAGGCTCGGGATGTACTGGCGCGCTATATCTAGCGTAATCCTGCCGTAATCCCTTAAAGCCAATAGCCTCGCGTGGCTATACGCATGGTGATTCTATATTCTAGAAGGGTCTATTCCCTTTGGATAGGATAAACCTGGTTACCTGATGTAATCTGGAAGTATAAAAGCACCTTGTACTGAATGATAGTACAACATTGAGCAAACCTTTCCTCGGGACATTCGATCCTGTGACACTTGGTAATCAGAGCCAAGGTTTCAGCTCAACGCTTAACCGCTGGGCCCCCAGGAGCACGCGGAGGATGGAGTCGAAACTTCAATTCCTGTAAGTACAATGCACTTTCATTTAAGTTTCGACGTTCCTCTCGCAGTTGCACCTGGGGTCCCCTTCGAAGGCGAGACGCCTCGCCAACCGTTCGATGGACTGCATCGACGGTGCCGATTTTTCGCGGGGGCAAACGGCCTCGACCTGGCGAGCGCGTCAGTTCCGGCGGAACACTCCCTGCGACATTCGGAGAAGTTCGCAGTTCGCGACGACACTTGGAGTTGCGCGGAAATCTGCCCAGCTGCGACCAAAGACATCCGTCCGATGGGGATTCGACGCTTCAGATCGACCGAGGCGAAAACGAAATCCTGCTGAGCGAGTTCGAGTTTCGGCGCGAATGGGAACGGGACCTCGCAAGCCGCGAAATTCTTCGGAGCGTTGGATCGATCGACAGCCGACATCGACGACCGAAAATTGCTGCAGGAAACGAGTCGACCCGTGCACCGAAAGCCGCTAAACGCGACTCAGGAATGTCTTCAGATTGCTTGGAGTTTGGACCGTCGGATCGACTTCTACTTCAACGGACGAGATGGAGCGCGACTTCTGCACAAAGGGAGATTGACGAAGAGAACCAAAAATCAGCCGCCTTCGACACCGTCGACAACATCTGAACAACCAAATTCGAATTCCTTCATTTGGTGACGAATTTGGCGCGTAAATCATCTGCAGAGTCAGAAATCTGCCGAAGAATTACCTACTTGGTAATAGCTGCAAGCAGAAAAATGACAGGAGAACGTGGATCGTCGGATTGGTGCGGAATCAACGGCACGAATGCAGCGGAGACTACACTATGGGAAAACATCACGATGGAGACAATATTCGTGACCAGCGACTGCACAATCGACGAATCTTCTGACTGATGTCGACAACGATCGAGTTATTTTGACGAAGTCATCTTCGTTAAAAATGGATCGACATCAACACACCGGATCTTCACCCAGGAAAATCAATGGAGCTGCGTGAAGACATGTTCTCCATCCACGAGACACTTCTTCATACAAATTGATCGACAAGCTATGGGATTGCAGAGAAGTAGCCGTTTTCTCTTGCAATGCTCCCAAGTTCAAGTTGCTGCGAAGGAGCAGATTTCGCACGCAACCTTGACGCAGTGAACCCGTCTCGTCAAGGCCAGCGAGACAATATTTCGTAACAGGAGCTGAACGATTCGTCTTCATCAAGAATCTCAGCCATCCGAAGTGATTGATTGGAGCAGTCTCAACATCGACCTCACGAGGCGACACACCAATCATGCGTCGCGATTCCAGGTGTTAATGACCTGCGTGGAAGAAAATTCCGTGCATGTCACGATGCTTGACAGATTGAGGAGTAATTAACCTCTAATCCGGCAAGTACTCGTTCACTAGCGACCCTACGGCACATGCATTGGAGGCGATTCTACCAGAAGCCGAAGCGTTACAAGCACCAGCGTAACTTCGACGATGCAGGAGAACGTCAAGCAACACGAGGTGTCAACAAATGAGGGAGATGCGGACTACTACAACACAATTACGCGCTCTACCGACCGTACATCGGAGGCACGGATGAGCATACCAGGAATTGCTACCCGTGGATACATTGAGGGGAGAAGCAAGTTTCTCTTCATACCCTCAAATGAAACAATCACCGGCAGCAATGGAGCAACACATGTGTACTAATGTGCACGTGTTCCTGGTAGTTACGCCTGTTACACCCATCAGGAACACTCTACTGGGAAGAGGGAGTTGATGGATTCTCCTTCAACCGGTACGAGTTGAGAGAATTCTCTGCAGCAGCTGCCGCCGTCGCCATCGTCGCAACCGCCGCCGCCGCCGCAGCAGAAGACTCGACACAACAGTCATATCCAAACCCTGATGGATAATTCTCCGCTCAATGGAGAAAACGCTGGATTATATTCCAGTAGATCGTAAAGTCCTGGTCAGGCACAGTACTATGATTTCCAGCTAGTGGGAAGGAGATACCACTATGCGAGGAAACAAAATGGCAATGCCATACACCCTCAAGAGCGGAAGATATTTGCTCTTATGAGGATGGGAGGACCACGGTACTCTACCGGTATACAAGTCCTCATGGCCTATGGCTTTCCTTAAAGTCATAAAACCTGCGTCACAACCAATCCATCACCAGCACCAACTCCACGGAAGCAGATAGGCGTGGAATGGAGCGCCGACGCCACTCCGGACAGTGGACTCCGCGTATCTCCAACAACACCCCTGTTTGCCGAAATGGAGCAGACTTCAACATTAATGCTGAGTAGCCGAGACGTCTTCGACTGCAACGCTACTTCAAGGACAGTGGCAAAATAAGACAACACATGATGGCACCAGAAGACCTATCCCAATATGTGCGCCCAGACACCGATGCCTACCGATGGCCTCCGTGCTAAACTGGAAGCGCATAAGGTCATACTGGATTGGCTGTCAGCAATGCCAATTTTGAAATGGGAGAGGATTATTTGGGAATAACCCCTCACAGTGGGATATCTATGCAGCAGAGATTCCTTGCTTGAGCAACCACCGAGGGAAACTACTTTGGCGCCGATTCTGGAAGTTACCAGCTCCGCGTTGTGGTACCAACCCCTCGCATGGTTTTGAAGACAAGGGATACACTGAGCAGCACTATACACACGCTGTTGTACTCAAGGTAGTGTGACTCGCAGATCGCGTGGTGGACAGGGTTACTACTAGTGATTATGCTCTCCATTCTGCAGCACTACGATGCCGAGTGGGTACGACTCGCGACAACACTACGGCATGGACCAGCATTCGACAGAAGCTGCATGTAACGGATACAACACTGCTACAGAAGCAGTACTACGACACAACTGCCATACCACCAACACTTGGTGATCTTCACACGTGGACCAGATGCGGGTAACAGCATGCACAGATCGGACAACATAGCCACTCATCTGCAGGTTACAGCATACTGTTCCAACCATTCACATCTCCAACTCCGACTTGCATCTGCCCGTCCTGGAGTTTGCCTACAAGTATGCTCCTGACGCCGCTACTGGACAGACGCTGTACTTCGTCTGTTACGGACGCCACCCCGATCACACCACAACAGCTAACCATACCAGCCACAGTCCAACTGGCTTCCGATTTCATCGCCATCGTCCACCATCTTGTACATCGACCACACAAGCGCCCTCTTGGACATCCAACATCAGCACAAGCACTTGGCAACTCATCACTACCCTTCTCGAGACCATAATCTCGACATCTGCCATCTTCTATCCAAGCGTCAACCTTGCTTCTGCGGGTCTATCATCGTTGAAGCAAGGGTTACTTCATTCACCTTCCGCTTCCGCCTACCAGCCACTTGGAAGATCCATAAACCTTCCATACCAGCTTCTTAAACCCTATCAAGACCACACCCGTTCTACACCGAATGCCAACCACCGTCATCGCCCGTGTTCATCCACGACATGCGACAACTACGTGCTTGGACACCGTCGTCATCGGAATGGCACTCTGGAGCTTCTTCTTTGGTGGAAGGGTTCTGATCCTTCTGAGGCTGCGTCTCTGATACGACATGGATAACGCCCGTCGTCCTCTTCGCGACTACCTTGTCAAGCAGGGTGTTACGTCTACCACCCAGCTTTGAGGGGGGGAAGTGTGAGAGTACGACCCCGTTACACCAATTTTCCCTTTCCATATTTCCTTTCTATTTCATTCCTCTTTTTATCCTCATTCATTTGGTCTTTATCTCATCTAATTTGGTTTCCTATTCCTCATTTTCCATTATCCTTTGGTTTATCCTGTTATTATAATTATATCACCGACCAGGCTCGGGATGTACTGGCGCGCTATATCTAGCGTAATCCTGCCGTAATCCCTTAAAGCCAATAGCCTCGCGTGGCTATACGCATGGTGATTCTATATTCTAGAAGGGTCTATTCCCTTTGGATAGGATAAACCTGGTTACCTGATGTAATCTGGAAGTATAAAAGCACCTTGTACTGAATGATAGTACAACATTGAGCAAACCTTTCCTCGGGACATTCGATCCTGTGACAGTCGCCGCCGCCACGGACGCTCTTATGTCGACGTCCCACCTGCTCCCCCGCCACCTCCCTCCTCTCCTGTCCCTATTGCTCACCCCACCCGCTCTCATCGTCCCGCTCCGCCTCTCGCCCTCTCTGTTCGCATCTCCCTCAATCCGCTTCCTCCTGCCGGGGGTGCATCCATGCCTGGCCTCTTGGAAGATAGGCATGAGGATCTGATCGAGATCAATGCTGCCATCCGTCAGCTCTGTCATCTTTTCCTCGATCTTGCCGACTCTCCAACTCTTAACTTCTCGGAAAATCCATCCATCCCGACCCCGAACTCCTATAATGAAGCCATCTCTGGACCACACTCCGCCCAGTGGCTCGCAGCCATGATCGCGGAGTGTGAAGCATTCATTCGCAACAACTCTTTCACGGACGTCTCTCCTCCGCGAGGAGTTAACATTGTCCGTGGCAAGTGGGTTTTTCGCGTCAAGCAGCTGCCTGGCGAACTCCCAGTCTTCAAGGCGCGATACTGCGCAAAAGGATTCGCGCAGAAGAAGGGCCTGGACTTCTTCGACACATTCTCTCCCACAGCCAAACTGCCCACGTTTCGGACCCTGCTGGACATCGCTGCTCGATGCAACTTTGACGTTCACTCCATGGACGTCTCTGCTGCATTTCTCCAAGGGGATCTCCCCGAGGACATCTACATGGAACGTCCTCAAGGATTTCCCTTACCCTTTCCACCTAGCACGGTCTGGAAGCTGAATCGACCAGTCTATGGGTTGAAGCAGGCTCCTCAGGAATGGCACAAGAAGCTGAAGGCAACCCTCGAGTCACTCGACTTCCACCCCTCCTCAGCCGATCCGAGTCTCTTCATTCGCAAGAACGAGAACCCGTTCTTCATTCTCGTCTACGTTGACGATATGATTCTCGTCTCCAAGAACTCCGATCAGCTGGCAGCTGTTAAGCAAGCTCTTGGGGACGCTCTCGCCATGAAGGACCTCGGGGAACTCAAGAACTACCTTGGGATGGAAATCTCGCGGTATCGCGAAGCTCGAACCATCACTCTCTCTCGGTTGGCACAACTTTGTGTTGGCACTTTGTTGGTTTTAGGGATACACAAATTTGTTAGGTTAGGTGTAGCTATGTTTTCATCCCCAACCTATCCCAACCCAATCCATCCCAAATCCCCACGATTTGGGAGTATTCCCTTGGGATTCCCTTCGATTCTCCCTTATCCCTTCCCATCCTCTCCGATGCTCGGTACTTAAGGATGTATGCTCTTGCTCATTTCAATCAATCAAGTTCTCAGTTTCTGATACCATCCACATGGCATCCACGTGCCATCCACGTGCCATCCACGTGCCATCCATGTGCCATCCATCGTGCACCCTCCCATGTCCTCACGATTGCTCTCTTCAGGTGAAACGGTGCATTGGAGAGTCAGAGATAGCGATGCGGGAGATCAGAGCTTGGTTGGACACTCTCTCCCCCAGGTAACGCCTTCCTTTGCCGCGTGGGCCCTTTGTCTGAATTTGGACAACCCTTCCCTGACACACCCTTCTCTCGCAAATTGTGGCTGTGCAATACACCTTCCACCCAAGTCTAATTCCCTCAATCACTAACCCCCTCTCCCCCTACTTGTGCCTGCCCACTCATCCTTCATTGGAATAACCATATTTACATGAGAGAAAACCATCTTCCCGCAATCACTCCGCAATCACTCCGCTTTCCATCCTGCTACCATGGATAACCCTAATCGCGCGTGACTCCCACCCACAAATTCCACCCACAACTCCCACCACACCTTTCCAGCGACAATGCTCCCAAGCAAGCCGAAATGCGCTGTTCTCTCGCCGAACTAGAGTCCTTGGTAGCTTCTGTCCGAGCCTTCGACCGCCCGAGCCTTTCTCTGGACCACCCAACAGTGCTCCGGGTGCAGAGGCTCGGCAAGTCCCCTGATGCGTGGGCCTCTGCCGAAGCTGCCGGCAAAGGTTCAGCCTTCCCTGGTACGGTTGTGGTGGGCCCTCTCTCAGGGCGTACTGATGCAGGCTCAGCTGCTAGTTATGCTTCAGGTGGTGGTGGTGGTGATGGTGGTGGTGGTGGTGGTGGTGGTGGTGGTGGTGGTGCTGCTGCTGCTGCTGCTGCTGCTACTGCTGCTGCTGCTGCTGCTGCTGCTAGTGCAGTTGGTGGTACGGCTGCCAGTGTTTCTGGCACCAGTGATAGCATACCGGCAGCAGGAGCAGCAGTGGGAAGACCAGAAGTTGCTGCTGCAGCAGTAGCACAGGAAGCTGCCTCTACAGACTCAGCTAAATTGCTGAAGAAACCAGCACTTGTTATTGGAGGATCAGCAGCCGCAGGGGCAGGTGGGGCGGTACCAACAGGAACAGAGGAGAATGTTCCCCCTACCCCGTTTGTGATTTCGGGCGGGATTCGTCGTCCTGTGGCTCCAGGGTTCAAGGATAATCAAGGCACGTCAAAACTGCCGCCCACAGGTGGGAGTGGTTCAGTGTAGGGCAAGTCGAGCAAGGAGAGTAAGGAGAGCAAGCGGAGTAAGAGTGGAGGAATGGCCGAAGGGGAAGATTCCTGTGCGGCAGTTGATGGAAGTGGTGCAGAGTTGTAGTGCATGGCACGGCTCAATCAAAAAATTCTTCACCCTAGAGGTCGATGTGATGATTGCCAGCCAGGTGGTTGGTAGCAGTCAAGCTACCTCGTAGCAATCATATCCGAAGAATACATATTCAAAGAGATATACTTACCAGTATCTAGATGTCCACAGTATGTATTATGTAGTCACTTACCGTAATCCCCCGGATATAACACCCGCCGAAATTAAGCACCCCCTGAGTGTTCTATTCGGGGAGGGTGTTCTATTGAAGAATCCGCAATTATACACCCTCTTTTTGAGGGTTCCAGGAGAGCACCCCCCTTTACCATTTTAGCCCTTCTAAGCCTTGCAACTCCTGGAGCAAATACCGTTTTTTCATGCGATTTCATGGTGAGCACGACCATTACGCAAAAGTTCAATTTTACCGAGGCACACGGCGGGATTCTCCGGTACTGAAAATGACGGGGTGAAACAAATCATTACCTGGAAAAGCGTAGTGACCGATAAATTTCGTTTCATTTGTGCGAGAGACTTGTTATGACTGGTTGACAAGCCTCGCAATTTTCGCCAAGCCTATTACGAGAGTCGCCAACCCCTCAATCTCACTTCTCCAACCTGACACTCCTGATATTCAGGAGCAAACACCGATCTGGGGGTATTATGAACCTCGAGAAAACGTACGCCTTTTCAGCTGGAACTTGGATGGTTGAAATCGCCATGAAATGCTGAGTCTAATGCACATCTAAAAAATTCTGTCCTCAAATATAACACCAGGGTGCTATAGCCTAACGCGAAATAAAGTACCCACCCCCCTGATTTTGCATGAATTTTGTATTATACCCGGGGTGTTATATCCGGGGGATTACAGTATATGATTCAGAGATTGCATCACCATCACAGCTCTTGCTACATGGCATACGGTAATAATGGAAACTCAGATCTGCGCTGGTGCCTAAGAGACAAGTGCGCAAACATGCCCATGTTCCAGCACATTGCACTTGATTGTTTTCTAAACAGGGCAGATTACAGGAGCTAGGTTCTCCTTGACAAAAGACCCAAAAAACAAGAGTGCAAGGAAGAGGCCACAAGGCGGAGGCCCGTCATTGCTTCTAACGACCCCCACACAAAAAGACAGGAGGAAACGACCAGCTCAGGACAAGAAATCGACCAGGCAGCACCTAAGAGGACTAAGGAATGCATACATCCCCGATACATGCATCCCCAATGATCTGCCACTAAGGCAGACACTCATCCCCCTCCCCAGTAGCCTCCCTAAAGGGCACCCAGATCTCGTTCACCCGGCCAATCAGCTCAAACGGGGAGTTATACTCCGCAATGCTGTACGCCTCCCCTCCCACCGCCGCTGTAACATTCGCCCACGCCGTATTCGCCAGGCTGTCGCCGAGAGTCGCCGCCTCCTGCGCGACGTTGAAATCCGTCGCGAATCCCGAGAACGTTCGCACGGCGACGCAGAGCGACGGCACGCGACGGATGTGCAGGTTAAGCGCGGAAGCGGGTTTCGGGGGATTCGCGGCGAAGCTCTTCGGGACGAGGAAGCGGACGAGGAAGGTGGAAGCACAAAACGGTCCGCCGGAGGGTTTGATGGTTGTGAGCACTGGAGCCGTCATGGGGATAGTGACGCCATCGTCGTTGCGACCCTGAATGTACTGGAAGAGCCTGAGGGAAGGAGCGAGGCGAGAGCATCGAAAACAAGAGGGAGAAAACGGTTTTAAGGATTGGTTTTCTTATGATGTCAGACGTTAAAAGCTCGTAGACGTTGGGCAGATCAGAGTTGGAAAGGATCTATAAGTATCGATGAATCTCGTAATTCTTTTTTCCAGGTACCTGTGGAAGCCGGCATAAACGGCCTTCTTAAAAGACACCTCGTTAATAGGGTCCGTCTCGGCCCACACCGCGCTCCTGTAACGACGAATCTGGAAATCCGACTCCTCGTGCACCAGCTCGTACGGCGGACATTCGATGGACTTGCACGAAGGCGACGCGGAGGGACCGTCCTGCGGCCGCTCGGGGAGGAAGATCTTGGAGAGACCGAGGCGAAGCGAGCCAGCAGCGTTGAACGCGGAGGATGTAGGGACTTGAATGGCGGCCAAGGCTAGAAAGACGGTGAGAAGAACGAAAGGCGAGACGCGAGCCATTGGAACGGACGAGACGAGGAGAGGAGCTTCAAACGCGAAGAAAGCAGGTAATATGCAGAACTGGTGGACACAGGAAGGGGAATATAGGCTCCTCTGTATGTGCTGCGCCTCGGCGTCTGAAGCCTGCTGCTCACTTGGCCGTCGGCTACGTCTGAGTGCTCCTCGGAAATTCCGCACCAGTGCAACACGCTGACATGTGGTATGGTCCACTCACTCTTATTGCACACATGCATGAGCAGCAGCGTGCTTGTATTGTAGTGGTCGTACTCCTCCTGATGGTGCATGAAAGATCTGGAAGGCTCGGATTCCGAGAAAGGGATGGAGAAGATGAGATGTGGGCGACAATGCGCGACGTGGTTGGAGCATTTGCGAAACGATCCATCAGTCCGGTTCAGTGGGAAAACGGGATTTTTCATTCGCTTGTAACTTCCGACTGTTGTCGTCGTCGTCGCCGAGGTGCTGTCTGCAGTTCGAGGGTGTGTGCTGGACTGGGAACGGGAGTCGGTGATTGGTCGTGGTCGAGCGTCAAGAGTGCTGCCCGAGAAGACATAACGCAGACGTGGCAAAGGATGTCTGTGTAGGTTTTGGTGATATTTGTGCAGTGTTTTGGTATTGAGGGGGTTCGATTGGCCGTGCCTTCATCCAGTGCCTGCCACACGAACACTGGCGAACCAAAAAGCCAAACATCCACCCTAGAGCAAACATCAATACGCATCACTAGTGAGAACCTGTTCTGTTTTGCAACCGCATATAGGATTATCAAAGGGAGGAGGATTTGGAGACAATCATAAGGTTTTGAAGGATAAGCTGTTCTCACTGTATAAGGGTGCGTCTGAAGTATATAACGATGCTGCATGTGGCGGATATTTTGACGAGATCGTCCCAAACCTTGAATTTGATAGTGAAACTTTTCGCGAACCTGTTGAAAGGTTCGCGTCGCACGTCCAACGACCACCGTCTCTTCCCCCTCCACCCAAGCTCCCCATTTACCCCACGCCAAGTCTCCGCATGACTGTCTGTGCCACCAATCCCGAAACAGCGTCGCGATTGGCCTAACTTTTCCCCCCTCGCGCACTTCTCAAACTCAATCCCCATCTCCCGCATGCCCACTGTCCATGCCTCAGTTTTTCCTCCCCAACCCCCACCCCTCACCCCCCACCTCAAGCTGCAGGCTTCCGCGCTCAACCAGTCGCGGGGGGTAGGGTGTTGGGGCCATCGGCATTCTACCTGCCCGCCCGCGGAAGTGTCTGGACGTTGTGTTGGTGACCGCGCATCTGCTTCACCTCTCCTCCCGCATCTCCCGCTCTTCCTTCCCCCCTCCTTTTTCCTCCCCCCATGACCCCACTTCCTCTCCTGCCTTGCAGTGCACGTAGCGCCGGCGGGTGGCTTTGTTTCCCTGGCACATAATTGCCTTGGGAATTGTTTCTCTAGGAAATTGTCATTGCCGCATAATTGTCTCCTTTCAAACACGGCTCTGCCTCACCGCTCTGCTTAGCTATATATTTCCCAGAAGTGATTGTTATCAAACGCTCACGCTGCTGGTTCGTCTCCTGTTACCTCTTACACATTACACATTACACGTACACCTTAGTTCCTATTTATCGTCGTTTCAGTCCTGCGCGCTCCCGACCGGCCCACTATTCTAGTCAGTTCGGTGGTTTCCTTATTTCACCAAGCCCGTACTCGAGTGTACTATCAGAGCCAAAATCTACAAGTTGGTCGGAGGAAGGAGTATAGCAATAGCAGATTAAAACTGATCTTCAAATCTCCGAATGGCAGAGCCCAGTGGTCCTGGTCTTCTCGCTCCGCCTAAGTCCCTTCCCGGTGGCTCTAGCGCACCGCCTATCAGAAAACCAGTCATAGCGGAGGAGAGAAAGGCCAAGGTGAGCAAGTCCGTCTCTCTTTTCTACGTTTCAGCTTTCGTGGCTCCAGCTTCGGTGCTCCTCTTCTTGGTGCTCCTTAGTCGGTCTCTCAGCCGACCGGTATTGTCACATAAAGGCCATAATCCTCTCGTCGTCGGTCTCTTGTCTTCCCCTTCGTAACGATCACGCCTGACCTCCCTATTTTCACGGCTGGTTTATTTTTATTTTCCGCTCAACACCCTCCTGTCTCCTCGAAACAGGGTACAATCCCGCAATTCGGCCAGTTTGGTGACAACAACGTTGGGTACACGGGTGTGTTCGCGGTGAAGAAGCAACAACGAAGACAAGGCGACGACGACTTGTTTCCGGAGCCTCAGCCGATGGGAACATTCGACCAGCCTGCAGCTCCGGCCGCCGCACCCCCTGTAAGTTGCCATTCTCCCTTCTCCCAAAATTAACCAACTCATAAGATGTTATTCCATCCATTCGTTATGTGACTGGAGTCGACGGCTGGGAGTTTCGTGCTTTTACCAACATTTGACCAGCCCGCAGCTCCGACGGCCGCCCCCCCTGTAAGTTGCTATTCTCCCTTTTTTCCTTCCGATCAATCCATAAGGTGACACCCGATCCATTCGTTATGGGATTGCGCGCGGAGGCTTGGAGAATCGTGTTTTTTGCGACATCCTGCCACTTGCTCGTTCCCTTTTTAAGCAAAGGGGAGCTGCGAATTCGCAAGGGCGAAGGGCTGAGCATGCTTTACGTGGAGTCATTTTAAAAACTTCTTAAGAATGACTCCACTGATTTGCTAACGGCGAAGGGCCGAACACGCTAAACCTGCTCTAGGCGTGTCCGCCAACGGCCTGAGTAGTCCTGGTCGTGGCAGTGCTTAACGAGGTTTGTTTGTTCAACAATGGAGAGAGCAACGCGAATCAGAAAACAGGTCGTACTCTGGCTGATGAACCGGCTTCAGCGAGTTCAAATATGAGCTTTGTACTACACAGAAACAGCTGCATGTTTCCAAGACCATGAAACCGCTGTGAAGGAAACAATGACATGAACTGTAGCAAGGCAAAATGGCAGAGCCTGCTCATGTCTAACAAACGGTAGAGTACTCGTTAAGGGAATCAGACCACCCTTTCCCCCCAGCTGTTTCGGGAGAACGAGAGGGCAGGACTGCTGGTTCCAGTATTGCTGGGTTCCGTGTCTACGATATGTATTTTTTTGAAAGTGTGTAACACTTTCTAAAAATGTGTATTGTGAAAGTGTAGCGAGGGTCAACGCAGCAAAGGCAGCGTCGAAGCGCTACTCACCCTTTTTTGCTTACAAAAGAGGGACGTGAGGCCATTCGGCCTCACCCACGTTCTTCATTTCTAGTTTCTCTAGTTCAATTTCCCCGTCCACCCACCCTCTTGTGTGTGTAGTTCTTTGTTGGACCAGATGAAATGAAGCACGCTGCCTTTACAAGAGGACCTAAGCAAACTTTCACAATTGAAAGTTCAACGTGTCAGGTGTTAGGAGCGTTTCCGGAGTGTCGAGGTGGTGAACACGAATCCTGCTGGTTTGGTGGTGTTCACCACTAAAGGATCACCGTGGTTGCCAAACAAGGTGTATCATCAGTGTTAGTGTTACACTGCATCGCTGCATCGTTGGTCCTTTATGAACCAGTGGTAGTGTCTGCGTTCTTAAAACATGCTCTGTGTTCTCTGTCACCCCCCTCATCTCCTGTTCCACACTTGCTAGATGAACCAGTCCCGTCCCTCTCTCTATCAATGTTTCTTCTACAGAACCCTCATTCTGCGCACCTGCTTCGTTCCCATCCCGTGTTTCCGTCTACAGGCTGACTCGCCTCAACAAGGTTGCTGCTCCATTCTATGAGCAATGTCTGCCTCTCAGGCATTGCAACTTCTGCCTTTCAACGACCACAATCATCTTATTTTCGTGCTCTGCGCTTTTTCTGCTCGTAAGATCCTTTGCGGGGTGCTGCTGTATGGCGTTTTGGCGTGATATTAGAATTAGATATGCCTCAACTAGTACTGTAGACCAGCTGGTGAATGGGGGGGTGTTGCAGAATTTCCAGCAGAGCTGTGAATAGCAGGCCTGCCTCACCGTTTTGCTTTAGTACTGATGTACACAGTGAGCAGTAGTTTGTTCCCTTAGGCTTTTGTTTTGCAAGGTTGTTCGAACTTGGTTGTGTAGGAGGCACTACTATAAACCGCTTGTAGTATAGACGGTTGTTCTCTACTCTTTGCTTGCAAAGGATAGCCAGGTAACGGAGCACGTGAACCGAGCACCTCAAATGCCGCGTGTATAGTCGCACATTTCCCGCGTGACGTGAGGAACAGTCTCAGGTGGGTGCAACAAGACAAAGGTGGTTCACGACACTTCTGTCGTTTTTGTAATTATCCCCGTTACTGATGCCGCTTCGCTTCTGTACCAACTCGGGTCAGTGTGACTATTGGCTGCTTGGGCTCCACTGGGCCACTAAACCTAAATGAAGAGGCATCTCCCTTGTCACGACTCACGATTCACGCGATACGGTCTTGGACTTCTGTCTATCGCAATCGCAACCTGTACGTCGCAAAAAGTTCGCATTAACTCGATGACGGCAAGAAAAGGACATCTACGACAATCGCAAGTACAGAGCCTTTTCGCGAAAACGTGGAGCGAAAACATTCGTGGAGCTTTCGCGACAGGGAGATCAAAGCACTGGAGTTGTCTCGTCGCCCCGAGATTACTGCGTACAGAATAATACTGAAGCTCCTGACAGATTGAGAGACAAGACTACCTACCACACCAGGCAGCAGACACTCCCAGCAAACCCATGGGACTACAGTCCTGCTTCCAGGACCTCTAGGGTTGACCCTGATGCAACATAGCTCACGGATAGATTTTCGTATAGTAGTCTCGAGACGCATTGAGTTAGCTCAGGGAAGGGACTGAAAGTTGTACGTTCATGCGAGCACCCAGCGTCGTTCAGAGGACGCTGAAACCGCTTCCAGTCCCTAGTATTCTGATTTTCTCGTGCACTTAATTAAGTTATTTCCTCTCAGCATAGGAACCACCCTCCCTCGCTTTGCTCCTCTCTGTGCTTAAATGTCGTAGATATCGGACTAGCCTTCCCGTGGCTTTGGCCGGCTTATCCTGGCGAGCGGAAATGGCGTCGAGGCGGCTTTCGTGCTTACTTGCCATTCTTGTCGTCACCAGCGTCACTAAAAGTGCGTATGCTATTTTAAATACATCAGGCGAATCTCGCGCGACTTCAGCTGACTCGTCTCGCGCGCGTCTTCTTGTAACGCGTACCCGTACTTAGCTCTTGCCTCCCTTTCCCCCCATTCTCGACGCCCGACTCAGTTCGCTCGCCTCAATCCCTGGTAAGCACGCGACTTTCTTCTGTTGCTTCCTAAGGCCGTGCCTGCGACGCTTTTTAGAGCCGTGCCTGCGACGCTACTCGAAGCGAAATGCCGCATGCTGCTTCTGGCGCTCCTTATGGCATCCCCTCGGGTACTCCTGCAGTCGATAGTCAGTTGGGTGACGTACGCTCTATGCCTCGAACGCACCCGGGTGTTCAAACAGAGAGACTTGGGTATTCACACAGAGGCACCCGGGTATTGAAACAGAAACACCCTGGTGGCTTCTCGACGGCTCAGAGTTCTCCACCTTCTAAGGAGAGAATGGGAGAGGAAAAGGAGGAAAGAGTAGGGCCATGCCGTTGCCTGAGTCGGCACAGTAGCGGTTGACTTTTGAGTCGACTCAGAAGTCACCTCGAGGGAAAAGGAGGAAAGAGTAGGGCCATGCCGTTGCCTGTGAGAGTTTTTTTTAGAATTCTCAAAGGAAGAAAGAGGGGAGTGGGGCCATGCCGGTGCCTGAGTCGGCACGGTAGCGATTGACGGCAGAGTAGCGCTTGACGGGACATCAACGGTTGACGGCGCAGTAACGGTTGACGGCACTGTAACGGTTGACGGCGCAGTAACGGTTGACGGCGCAGTAACGGTTGACGGCACAGTAACGGTTGACGGCACAGTAATGGCTGACGGCGCAGTAACGGTTGACGGCACAGTAACGGTTGACGGCACAGTAATGGCTGACGGCGCAGTAACGGTTGACGGTGAAGTAACGGTTGACGGCGCAGTAACGGTTGACGGCACAGTAATGGCTGACGGCGCAGTAACGGTTGACGGTGCAGTAACGGTTGACGGCGCAGTAACGGTGGACGGCACAGTTGCGGTTGACGATGCATCAAATCCTGTTCGTTTCGATCGTTCCCCGACCGCCATATCAGGCCCATTTCCCCCCCTCTCTGGCGTCTTATGACCTCATTCAGCACACTCGCGCCCTCCCCTTTACCAACGCTCTTCCACCCATGCTAGTTTTGAAGCGCCTCAAAACTAGACTCCTTCCAATGCTTTTATCACGCTCCTCTCTTGCGTCTCTTTTGACCTCATTCAACACACTCTTGCCTTCAACTTACCAATGACCTTCCTCCCACGCTCTACGTCGCCTAGTCTGAGACGTCTCAACACCTCTCTCCCCTCTTCCCCCCCTCCCCTCCCCTCCTCCCCTTCTCCCCACCTGCCTCGCCTCCCCTGTTGCCAGCAGCATCGTCGCAGCAGACCCCCCATCGTGCACCAATATCGCCACGCTCTACGTCGCCTAGTCTGAGACGCCTCACCCCCCCCCTCTCCTTCCCCCTTCTCTCTCCTTCCCCCTTCTCTCTCCTGCCCCCTTCTCTCTCCTCCCCCCTTCTCTCCTCCCCCCCCTTTCCTGCCAGCAGCATCGTCGCAGCAGATCCCCCCGTCGTGCACCTCTCTCGCCACCGTCTTCGTCAGACGGCTCATCCCTTCTCCCCCCTCCCCCCCTCTCCCCCCCCATCTTCCCCCCCCTCTCCCCCCCCCCCCCCCCCCCCCCCCCTTCTTCCCGCCTGCAGCATCGTCGCAGCAGATCCCCCCGTCGTGCACCTCCCTCGCCACCGTCTTCGTTGCCAGCACTGGCAGAGACACCGGCTGCTGCGACTCCGAGACCGCTCCCTGTGGTACGCTTCTTCCTCCTTTCCCCCACCCCTTCTCCCCCACCTTCCCCCCTCCCTCCTCCCCGTGCCTTTGTCCCTGTGCTTTGCACCTTGGTTTGTTATTCTCCCTGTTTGAGTCGCCCGCCTCGGTAGCACTGGCAGCGGCATCGGCTGCTGCGACTCCAAGACCGCTCCCTGCGGTACACTGCGTCCCTTGCCCGCCCTTACCCGCCCTTGCCCGCCCTTGTCCGACCTTACCCGCCCTTGTCCGCCCTTGTCCGCCCTTGCCCGCCCTTGCCCGCCCTTGTCCACCCTTGTCCGCCCTTACCCGCCCTTGTCCGCCCTTGTCCACCCTTGCCCGCCCTTGCCCGCCCTTGTCCACCCTTGTCCGCCCTTACCCGCCCTTGTCCGCCCTTACCTGCCCTTGTCCGCCCTTGCCCGCCCTTGCCCGGCCTTGCCCGGCCTTGCCCGCCCTTGTCCCTGTCTTCCTTTTTCCAGCTCCGTCCGCCAATCTTCCTCCTCCTCCACACGCCCCTCTCCTTCCCTTGCACTCTCGGCCTCACCTCCCACCTTTGCCCTCGCTCTCACCCTCCCCCATGTTCCCCACCCTCCCGCCCATCCCTCACTTCCCCTCATCCCCTTCCTCCCTCCGCCCCCCTCCGCCCCCCTCCGTTCCCCTTCCCCACCCGCCCTTCCCCCACTCCGCAGCCACGCTGCAAGCAGCGGTCGCCAGGGCTGCGCCATCCGCAACCATCACCCTCCTCCCGCCCCCCGCCGGCTCTCCCCAATCCGCTATCAGATCTTCGCCGACCAAATCCGCCGTGCAGCTGGGCGGCAGATCTCTCACCATCACCGGCGCGCCGCCCGCCTCCGCCCCAGCTTCCCCCACAGCAATCACACTGGATTGCAGCGGCGGTCCGTGCCTGAACGCCACGTGTGCTGGTGCGGGGTGCGGTGCGGGGACTAAGGTGGTGCTGACGCTGGCACTGTTCACGCTGACCAATGGCGTGTCGGACGACTCGGGAGGTTGCGTGGATGTCCGGGGGCAGGGCCTTGTCGTCAAGTGAGTATCCAAGAAGCATTCCACCCCCCCCCCCCCCCCACCCTCCCACCACACCGATTAGAATTACAACATACACTAAAACAACCCCCCCACCCCCACCCCCCCATTCTTTCCCCTCCTCTCCTCCCTCCCCCGCTCCTTCCCCAACCGAACAGCAACGTGGCTTTCACCCGCTGCACTGCAGCCAACATGGGGGGAGCCATCTCAGTGCAGGGGGCAGGCGCACAACTTCTTCCTCAACCCCAATCCTCCCCCCCTCCTCCTCCCCTCCCCTACCCCCCGCTCCCATGCCTCCCCCCCAAACAGCAACGTGGCTTTCACCCGCTGCGCTGCAGCCAACCTAGGAGGCGCCATCTCAGTGCAGGGGGCAGGCGCGCCACAACACATCTTCTTCCTCAACCCCAATCCTCTCCCCCTCCTCCTCCCCTCCCGTATCCCGTGCTCCCCCCCCTCCCCTTCGCCCCCCCCCCCCCCCCCCCCCCCCCCCCCCCGAACAGCAACATGGCTTTCACCCGCTGCACTGCAACCAACCTAGGGGGAGGCATCTCAGTGCAGGGGGCAGGCGCGTCTCTCGCCCTCTCGTCCTCCTCCTTCGCTGCCTGCTCCGCCCCTGGCTCCGACCTCACCTACATGTACAACTCGGGGGGCGGCGCCCTCAGCGTTACTGGTCCTGCCACACCTGCCACCGCGGGCGGTTCTGGTGCAGGTGCTTCTGGTGCGGGTGCAGCTGCTGCAGGGGGAGGGCTGGTGCAGGCGCAGCTGACGGGTGTGACTGTAACGAGGTGCAGCTCGGAGAATGGGGCGGGAGGGGGGCTGCTGTTTAAGGGGGCGAAGGTGGAGGTGAATGGAGGGACGCTGTCGGGGTGCCGGGCGTTGTTTGGCGCGGCGATTGGGTCGATGTACTCGGATGTGGCCATGGAAGGGGTGACGGTTGTCGATGGCCTGGTGAGTTGCAGATTTTTTGTGAGGGTGATTGCATGGTGGGTTGTTGGAGGGGGGGGGGGGTGGGCTGTTGATGAGGGGGTGCCAGGCGTTCTTTGGCACGGCCATTGGATCGATGTACTCGGATGTGGCCATGGAAGGGGTGACGGTCGTCAATGGCCTGGTGAGTTGCTGATTACCGGTGAGAGGGTGGTAGTGTGATGGTGTGGGGGCTGAAAAGGAGGGGGTGCCGGGTGTATTCTGGCAGGGCCATTGGGTTGATGCACTCGGATGTGGCCATGGAAGGAGTGACGGTTGTCAATGGACTGGTGAGTTGAAGGGGGTGCTGGCAGTGTGACGCTGTACTTGCTTTTTGAGTTCACTCAAAAATCACTTTCTCGGATGTGGCCATGGAAGGAGTGACGGTTGTCAATGGACTGGTGAGTTGAAGGGGGTGCTGGCAGTGTGACGCTGTACTTGATGTATGCTGTACTTGATTTTTGCTGTACTTAATCTTTGCTGTTCTCGATTTATGCTGTACTTGATTTTTGAGTTTACTCTGGTGTGGCCATGGAAGGAGTGACTGTTGTCAATGGAACGGTGAGTTGAAGGGGGTGGCGGCGAAAGGCGGTTATTGGCGCGGGGCCATAGCCGATGCGGTCTTCCTCACCCTCTCTCTTCCTCCTCCTTTTCTCCTCCTTTTCCTCTGTTTACGCTGTGAGTAGCTGGGCCGTAGCCGTGGTAGGTAGGCTCCTCCTCCTGCTCCCTCTTTAGGGTTTGCAAAAAGTGCCACCTTATTCCTTCCCTTGTCTTCTCCTCCCCACCTCCCTCCAGGGCGTGATTGGTGGGGCAATAGCGGACGAGGGCTCCTCCTCCTTCTCCCTCTCCTCCTCCTCGCTCTCTGCCTCCTCCTCCAATGGCACGCTGCCAGCTGGCGTGTACACGTCCGGCTTCGGCTTTGGGGGGTGTCTGGCGCTCAATGCCACCCAGACGGTGACAGTCACATCCGTTAGTGCCACCAAGTGTGTGACGGACTACGAGGGCGGAGCTGCGTGGGTGTTCACGGTGGCTCAGGTGCGTGCGACTGCTGTTTGCAGAATGTTGGTTACATACGTTAGTGCGACTTATACGCGGGCCCCACAGTCACATCCGTATGTGGGGCCCCAAGTGTGTGACGGATTACGAGGGCGGAGCTGCGTGGGTGTACACAGTCGCCTAGGCCAGGGATGTGTGTGTGTGTGTGTGACCAGGGAGGTGTGTGTTTGTGTGTGTGTGACCAGGGAGGGGTGTGCGTGTGTGAGTGACTCAATGATTTTGCAGGGTATTTTTTAGAATTCTCAAAAACACCCTGCGGTGTTGGGAGTTGCAGCATCGTAGTGTGTGATTCACGTGCAAATGTTCATTTCACATGCTATGTTCCATATCACATGCAGCTGTTCATTTCATATACTAATCTTGTCACTCACCACATCCCTCCCCCCTTCCGCCACCCCCGTTCCACCCAATCTGTGCAGGCGACTCTCGCCAACTGCACCCTCGCTGACAGCCACGCCACCTATCTAGGAGACGGCCTATCCGCCCCTCCTTGTTTCCCTTTCCCCTTCTTACCGCCTGCACCCCTCCGTCCGCTCGCCAACCCCCCCCCCGCTCCCCCCATCCCTCTCCCCTTCCGTGCAGGCGACTCTCACCAACTGCACCCTCGCTGACAGTTACGCCACCTTCCTAGGAGGCGGCCTATCCGTGACGGGCGGCATTCTCCTAATCTCTAACAGCACCATCGCCCGCAACGTCATGGACTACACCCTTACCTCCTCGCCTGGGGGCGCCGGCCTATCACTGGCTGCCACGTCAGCGCGCGTGGAGGGAACAGTGATTGCGGATAACATTGGGATTACTGCTGGGGACGCGGCGTACATTGATGGGTACGGTGGCGGGGTGTATATCGGGCAGGATGGCGACCCGGTGGTAACCACACAGGAGTTTGACTCGTGCACCTTCTCCGGCAACCAGGTGCGTCTTTCTTTCCCGTCTCCTGGTCCCTTCATGTCTGGTGGACTGCTAAAGGAGTCTATCTTTGAGGCGCCTAAAAAATAGACTCCTCACCCTTTATGTGTGGTGGACTGCTATGGGAGTCTATTTTTGAGGCGCCTCAAAAATAGACTCCTCACCCTTCACTTGTGGTGGACTGCTATGGGAGTCTATTTTTGAGGCGCCTCAAAAATAGACTCCTCACCCTTTATGTGTGGTGGAATGCTATGGGAGTCTATTTTTGAGGCGCCTCAAAAATAGACTCCTCACCCTTCACGTGTGGTGGACTGCTATGGGAGTCTATTTTTGAGGCGCCTCAAAAATAGAATCCTCACCCTTCACGTGTGGTGGACTGCTATGGGACGCGGCGTACATTGATGGGTATGGGGGCCGGGCAGAGTGTATATCGGGCAGGATGGCGAGGCGGTGGTAACTACTCAGGAGTTTGACTCGTACGTCGCCTCTGGTAACCAGGTGGGTCTTCTCCTAGTTCTCTAGGTGCGTCCGTCCGTGCGTCCTTTCCGTACTGCTAGTGCTTTGGTAACCAGATGGGTTCTTTTCTTTATTCTCCTTTCATCATTTCCGTCCTTTCTTATCTTTCTGGTATTCGCTTCCCCTACCCCGCTACCTGCACTACCCCTCTTCCTGCACTACCCCTCTTCACCCCTCTTCACCCCTCTTCACCCCTCTTCACACCTCCCTCTCGTGTCTTGTGCAGGCCAAGGGAGGGGCGGGGTTCTACCAGTACGGTGGGGGCCTGGCGACCTGCTTTTACCTCACTACCCTTCTTCACCCCCCTTCACACCTCTTCACCTCTCTCCATCCCTCTTCACCCCTCTTCACACTTCTCTCTCGCGTCTCGTGCAGGCCAAGGGAGGGGCGGGGTTCTACCAGTATGGTGGGGGCCTGGCGACCTGCTTTTGTCTCACTACCCCTCTCCACCCCTTTTCACCCCTCTTTACCCCTCGTCACTCCTCTCTCTCGCACGCATCTCGTGCAGGCCGAGGGAGGGGCGGGGGTCTACCAGTCCGGTGGGGGCCTGGCGACCTGCTTTTATCTCACTACCCCTCTTCACACCTCTCTCTCGCGTGTCTCGTGCAGGCCAAGGGAGGGGCGGGGTTCTACCAGTCCGGTGGCGGACTGGCTATCTTCACCAACACGGTGTTCCGCGACAACGGGGGCACTGGCGAGCTGGGGGGCGCGAGTGAGTAGGGGTTAGAAAGACGGGGCGACGGGTTGGGCGGGGTGGGGGGGGGGGGAGAAGCGGGAGGGTAAGGGGGGGCCTGGCCATCTTCTCCAACACGGTGTTACGCCAGCGACAATAGGGGCACTGGAGAGATTGGGGGAGCGAGCGAGTAGGGGAAGGGATGGAAGGGAAGGTGGCGAAGGGGTGGGAAGGGTGGGTGGGGAGAGTCGAAGGGGTGGGGTGGGTGGGGAGAGAGGCAGGGGCTCAGGTAATCGGGGGACTGGCCATCTTTACCAACACGGGGGCCATCTTTACCAACACGGGGAACTAGCGAGCTGGGGGGGGCGAGTGAGTTGTGGGTTGGAAGGAGGGGGCGAAGGGGTGGGGGTGTGGCGTGGGTGGGGGGATTGTGGAGGGGAAGGAAGGGGAGGGGGTAGTACGCAAGAGAAGGTGTTGCTAGCCGTCTTGAGAAGCACTAAGTGTCTAGGCATTGGCGTTGGCTTTTCTCGCTCCAAACGCCATGGCATCTGAGAGAGTAGCAAGGTTTCCCTCCCGCGCCATACTCATGCACCCACCTTCTTTTGCCTCCCCATTTCACCTTCTCTCACCCACCCTCTTCTCCAATTCCCCGCAAAACCACACTTCCTCCCTTAACCCCCCCCCTCCCCACTCCCACACCTTCCCTCTTCCCTCCCCCCTCTCCCCCCGCCTTCCCCCCTCCCTTCCCCTTCCCCCCCTTCCCCCCCTTCCCCCCTTCCCCCCCTTCCCCCCCTCACCTCCCTTTCCCCACTTCCGTTTCTCCTCCTGCACCCGCCAGTGCTGGCGCTGACGTCAGCGGAGGTGCGCAACTGCACGTTTGAGCGCAACAGTGCGTCGGGGTCGGGAGGAGCCATCTACAGCGAAGGGACGGGGTACCTGCTCATTGTGGACTCCACGTTCACCCAGAACTCCGTTCAGCTCAAGGACGGGGGCGCTATCTACATCATTGCAGTGAGTGGCACGTGGTGAAAGGGTGGGGGTGGGGAAGGCGGGGGGCAGGATGACGAGGGGGAAAGGGACCATCCACAGCGAGGGCACGGGGTACCTGCTCATAGACGACTCCACGTTCACCCAGAACTCCGTTCAGCTCAAGGACGGGGCCCTTTTGAGTCGACTCAAAAGCGAACTCCGTTCAGCTCAAGGACGGGGGCGCTATCTACATCGTTGCGGTGAGTGGCATAAGTGCCGCGCGTGTCATTATGGTGGTATGCGGCGGCATGAGCTCACTCAGCCCACACTTGTGTTCCCACTGCTTTGCTCCTCTCCCTGCTCCCTCCCCCTGCCCAACCACGTGCAACCGCAGGCGGACAGCAATGTGACTGGAGAGGGCAGCATGCTTTTGAGCCGACTCAAAAGCCTCCCCCTGCCCACCCACCTGCAACCACAGGCGGACAGCAACGTGACCGTGCAGGGCAGCACGTTCACGGGCAAGAGGGCCAACAGCTCGCGCGGGGCCGCCAACTTCAGTGGTAACAAGGCCAACACCCTCTCGTCTCACACCCTCTTGCCCTCTCTCCTCCCCTGCAACCACAGGCGGACAGCAACGTGACAGTGCAGGGCAGCACGTTCACGGGCAACAGGGCCAACACCTCGCGGGGGGCTGCCATCTTCAGCGGGGGCTCGCTGCTGGAAGTGAAGGACACCGTGTTTGAGGATAACTGGTCGTACCTCAAGGGCGGCGCCGTCACAGGTGAGGGGGGGTGAGGCTTGTACGGTTAAAAAGAACCTGCTGCTGCTAGTGAGAGACTAGGTCTGCTGCAAGTGTTGGTCTACAGCAGATGGGTTTTCAAGCCTGGCTGTCAGAGGATACTCAGCCGAAATCTCCCTCTCTTCTCCCCACCCGCCTCCCCCTTCTTCGCCCCCCATCCCTCCCCGCCCTCCACCCCCCTGTTTGCTCTCCCCCTATCCTGTGAGGGGTCTCGGGGGGCAGAAGCAGCCACCCTGGCGCGCTTCTCAAACACCACCTTCACCAGAAAACGCCTCTGTAGTTGGGGGAGGGGCCCTCCTCTGCAGTCTCAACTGCACGGCGTCCCTCACCAACTGCACCCTCACCGACAACAACAGCACGGCTGCCGGCTTTCATCCTCTCCCCCCACTCAAGTTTCTCTCTTCTTGCCCTATCCCCCCAATCCCTCATCCCCCCCCCTTTCCCCCTCCCCCCCCTTCCAACCCCCTTCTCCCTCTCTCTCCTTCCCTCTCCAGTGGAGGGATCCCGAGGCACAGAGGCTACCACCCTGGCGCGCTTCTCAAACGCCACCTTCACCAGAAACACCTCCCCGGTGGGCGGAGGGGCCCTCCTCTGCAGCCTCAACTGCACGGCGTCCCTCACCAACTGCACCCTCGCCGACAACAACAGCACGGCAGCTGGCGCCCTGCTCGCCCAGGAAACCTCGACCCTCACCCTCACATCGTCCACCTGCCAGGGTAACACCGCGGACGCGGCTGGCGGGTGCCTGCTAGTGACTGATTTTGCGACGATCACTGCACAGCGAAGCACGTTTAGGGGGAATAAGGCGGGCAGTGGTGGCGGGGTGGGGAAGGTGTCTGGGTCTGGAAGGCTGGTGATGACCCGGTGCCAGGTGGAGGCCAATGAGAGCCCGACAGGTGGCGCGCTGTGGGTGGAGATGGAGGGGGCGGTGGAAGACACTGGGAGCGGTTTTTTTGGCAACAGCGCGAGTTTTGAAGGAGGGGCGGTTTTTGCGACGCACAGCGCGTCTGTGAAGCTGCTTTCCTCGGATTTCGAGTCGAATTCGGCGCTGAGAGGTGGTGCTATGTTGTTGGACACAGACGCTAAGCTCACCTCTGCCTCCTCCTCCTTTATCAACAACTCTGCCTCGGCTCTCCTTATGAGGGGCAGCACGCAGGCCACGCTTACTCAGGCGCGTTTTGCACGTAATTCTGCCCCTGAAGGCACCGGAGGGGCTGTTTGGGCAGCTGCCGAAACTTCTCTGACCGTCCGATCGTCCAATCTGACGGGCAACACTGCTGTCACGGGCGGCGGAATCTTTTCGGAAGGGTCTACCCTGGTGACCCTCGACGCGTCCCGATTCGAGGGCAACAACGCGGTTACCGGCGCGGCGCTGGCTGTGGCGGGCAGCTCGAAACTTTCCGGCGGTAACCTGACGTTTGTGGGGAACAGTGCAAGTGCTGCAGGAGGGGGTGTGGCGTTTTTGGACCAATCAAACGGGGTGTTGAAGGGGGCGTGGATGACTGGAAATAGGGCAGTGGTGGGGGGTGCTGGGGTGTATGTAAAGCGAGCAGAAATGCTGGGAATATCTTCTTCTGGGGCTGGCGCTGCTGGCAACGCTGGCAATACTACCAGTGCTACCAATACCACTGCTGGTGCTGGACCATCATCTAACACTTCCACAGCTGCAACTGCAACTGCTGCTGCTGAGAATGCTGCGAGTGGCACAACCAGCACCGCCAGCAGCAGCATGGGGGTGTCGAAGGCTGACCTTGCGCCGCTGGTGTGCGGCAACCTGGCGTTCAGTGAGAACCAGGCCATGTACCAGCAGGGCGTGGCCTTCTACGAGGCGTCATTCGACCCCGCGGTGCGCATCGGGTGCGAGGAGTGTGTGCAGGAACAGCCCAGCCAGACCATCGGCAGCATTCCCAAGAACTTCTACTTCACGTACGTCTCTATGTGGTGCTCTATAGGTGGCGTTTTCTTGGTGAGTATGGATAGGGGAGTGCTGTGGGGAGTGTGTGCAGGAGCAGCCCAGCCAGACCATCGGCAGCATTCCCAAGAGCTTCCATTTCACATAAGAAGGGGGCGTTAATAGCCTCACCCACAGTCTAGGCGGCTCCCTATGTGAGCATGTTATCTTGATGGGAGTAGTGTGAGGAGTGTGTGAAGAAGCAGCCGAGCCAGACCATTTGCAGCATTCCCAAGAACTTGGCAGCAGCAGCAGCAGCAGCAGCAGCATCCCCACCAACTTCTACTTCTCGACTTCTCTAGGTGCTGCTCTTTATTTAGACCAGAAGTCTCACTCTCAGTGCCATTCTTGCAAGCCGTGATACCCTATCCTCTTCCTCCCCACACCCCCCCCTCCCCCCTCCCCTTTCCCCTGCTCTATCTGTCCCTTCTTCCCCTTCCTCTTCCCCTCAATTTCTCCGGCATGGATCAGGGGCCCAACAATCTCACCACAGTGCCATCTTCTGTGGCGCTGTTCTCGGCAAAATGTCTCTTCTCCCGCCTCCTGCCCCCTTCCCTTCAACTTATCCCAGTTTCTCTGGCATGGATCAGGGGGTCAACAATCTCCGCCTGCTTTTCTTGCTCGTTCTCTCTCCCTCACACATCCGTCCCTTGCCGCCCTCGCCTCTTCCCCTCAGTTTCTCTGGCATGGAGCAGGGGGTCAACAATCTCTCCACAGTGCCGTCCTTCATGGCGCTCACACCTGTTGGAACCCCGATCGCTGGGCTCAGTTTCTTACTCCTGCTTTTCTTGTGCTTCCTCTCTCCCTCACACATCCGTCCCCTGCTCTCTCCTCGCCTCGTCCTCTCAGTTTCGCCGGCATGGAGCAGGGCGCCAACAATCTCTCCACAGTGCCATCCTTCGTGGCGCTCACAGCTGTTGGAACCCCGATCGCGGGGCTCACTGTGGTCATTGTGGATGACTACGACAACACTGTCGTTCAGGTGAGCCCTCAGGTGGTTGCAACAGAGGGTATGCTGGAACCCTGATCGCCGGGCTCACTGTTGTCAACGCTTTTTGAGTCGACTCAAAAGTCATCTTGACGTACCTGTACTTGACATGGGCAAAAAAAATCGCATCGCATTTAATCGCGTTTTTGCGATGGCGATGTTTTTTTTTTTTTTTTAATCATCGCGCGATGCGATGAATGAATATCGCGCGATTTACTTTAAATCGCATTTTAATCGCGCTTAAAAAACGCGATTTAAATGCGATATGCGATTTTTTAAAAATCGCGCGCGATATTGCACTGAAACCCACTACGAAACCACACTGGTTATTTGCACTCTAGCTTACGACTGCCCGTGAGTCAATTTCCCCGCAGCCGTGGTTTTTTTCTCCTTTTTTGGGGTGTTTTTCTAATTCTGTTTTAAAACGCGATGCGATTTAAAATCGCATTGCGCGATTTAATTAAATATCGCATACGATTTTTTAATACATCGCGGGTAAACTGTGATGTGCGATTTTTTTTGTGTTGGAAAAATAAATCGCGCGATGCGATTTAAAATCGCATCGCTTTTTTAAACATTGCACCTGCATGCGATGCGATTTAAATCGCAATCGCGTTTTGATCATGTCTACCTGTACTCCTGAGTAGATCCCAATGCCACCCCCTCTTTTCCCTGTTCCCTCCCCCCTCTCCCCAATACTTTCGCTTTGCCAACGCCCCCACCTTTTGCTTTCACGTTGATTGCAACGCTCCCCTATTTTTGAGGCGCCTCAAAACCAAGGTGGAAAAATACGGTTTTCGTATTATACGGTCGTTTATTTCGGTTCGTTTTATACGGTTGTATTTTGAAAAATACGGCCGTTTTTTTATTAGACGGATTTTCGACAAAAAAATAATAATCAAAAATTGCGGACATGCGGTACAACTTGCCTAAGGTGGACGACACGACGCTAAGGTGGTCAACTACCATGACTAGAGGTACGTTTAATCTACCTCCTACTCCTCCTCCCCCTCCTCCTCGGCGTACCACTCCCCCGGCCCCTACTCCTCCTCGTGGCGCGACCTCCTCCTCACACTACTACTCCTCGTCCTCCTCCTCATCCGCCCCACTGTCACCATCGCTGCAATCCCAGGGGTTGCTCCCCTTGGCCCTCTTGCGAGGCTCCTTTGATCCACTGCCCTCGCCCTCCTCCTCGTCCTCGCCCTCCTCCTCTTCCTCATCCTCCCCCTCCTCCTCCTCCTCCTCCTCCTCCTCCTCATCGTAGGCCACTTTCTCCTTCCCCTTACGGGACCCCCTACCCTTCTTGGCCCGCTTCTTGCCCCGAGCCTTGGATGCCGCCTTCTTCTTCCGCCCGCCGATGTTGCCAAAGGCATCCCAGTCGATGGTACACACCTCCCCGCCCTCCTCCTCTACCTCCTTGTTGGCCTTGCCTTCCACACGGGGGGGTGGGGTGATGTTGGCACCCTCCTTCAGAGTGCCATTGGTGAGGTCGTCGTACAGCTGAGCTCGAGCCTCGACCTTCTGGTCAAAGGCTGTTCGCGCCCGCCTGCCGAACGCGACGAACGTCACGTCCGTCATGGTGGAGGCGTTCAACCTGTTGCGGTCGCGCGTTTGGACACGAGCCAGAGCCGACCAGTAGCGCTCAACCTCGCAGGATGTGACTGGCTGTGACAAGATCATCACAGCCAGCTCCTGCAAGGCGGCCACCTCGCCGCCGTACATCCACCACCACTCGGCGTCGGAGAGCCGCCCGCTCTCCACCAGAGCCGTCGCTGCCCAACGGGCCTCCACAGATCCCAGGCGGCCCTCCCCCTTGTGGAAGGTTGCCAGCTGAGCCGCGAGCATGGTGCGCCGAGGTACATCCCCTCCCCTCGCCAAAAACACCTCCTCTGCCCCCTGCCTCACCTCAGGGTCGTTCCGCACCTCCCCCACGTACTGGTTGCGGGGATTCAGGAGCCACCCCGCAGCGTGGAGCGGGTTGTGCAGTTGACCATCCCAGCGGTTGGCGATGATCTTCTTCACCGTGACGAGGAAACTCGCCTTGTCCTTCGCCTCGAGCAACGCCGTCCGCTTGACAAAGAAGGCGGCTGCACGGGGAGCAGACGTGCCGAGGGAGGGTGAGATTAGGTACAGCTAAGAACGCCCATGGGAATGACACATGAGTGCCGCTCGCACGCCGCGGGGGGAAATGGGCAAGCAAGAGGTTGGCTTACCTGCCGCCTCTGCTGCGTCGGTGGTCTTGACAGTGGCCTCCAGCATGAGGCCATAGATCTGGCCCATGAGGAGACATCGCTTGTCGACCCGCCTCAGGACCTCGTAGATAGGTGTCATGAGCTTGAGCACCACGGCGACGCTTTCCCAGAAAACGTCCTCGAGGAGGAGGCTGCGAATTGCTTTCCCCTCCTCCGTGCGGGAAACTAGCACCTCCTCCCATGCATCGCTTATCACCATCTCGCGCAGGGCCTTCTTCACTTCGAGGAAGCGCCCGATCATCAGCACTTGCGTCCCGAAACGTGTAGCTCCCGGGCGCACAAGCTCCAAGGAGCTGAAGACCTCGCGGAACAAAGTGACCGCGGAGGCTGACTTCTTCACCATCATCACCACCCTGTGCACCTGCCCGAGGATGCGCTGCACGGCGCGGATTGCTCCTATGTCGTGCAGCATTAAGTCGAGGCAATGGGCGGCGCAGTTGGTGTAGAAGATTTGCGGGTACCCCTCCTTCAACAACGCCCCCGCCTTCTTGTTGTTGGAGGCGTTATCCATGACCACCTGGATGACGAGCCGGTCCCCCACGTTGCAGATCGACCGTCGAATAAGCTCCGCGAGGTAGCTCCCCGTATTTTTCGCGGTTTTGGAGTCGACGACGTCGACGACTACGGGTGCCGTATCGTTCTGAGCGATTACGCCCACGAATCCGCGACTCTTAAGGCAGGACCAGCCGTCGACGGTAAGAGAAGCGCCACTGGTCCTCCACGTGTCCTTCAGCGGCTGCAGCAACTCCTCCGTGTCGGTCTTGAGTTTCGCGAGCAGCGGCCCGCTGACCTTGTACGCGGATGGAAGCTTGTACGGCTTCCCAAACTGGACTGCCGCGTTGACGAAGGCCTGCAAGGCCGGCGACTGTGATGTCCGAAACGCGAGGTCGTTTTCAGCGACCACTGTCGCCCAAAGATAATCCAACCGCTGGCGGCCAGCCACATCAGCTAGCTCGCGAATGTCTTGCTGACGCGAGCGCGGGGCAGAGTGCACCGTCGAGGACGAAGCTCGTCCTTGCGTGTCGTCAGGGGACGTGGAACGTTCTTCTTGGTTGCTCTCACGCAGCTGCTTTGCGTAGTCCGACGGGCAAGTGGAGACATTCTTCTCCATCGAGCTAGGGGTGCCATAGATATGCTGCCCTATCCTGGTCGCGTTTGGAGTGACACTAGAGCCACAATGAATGCAAACTGTGCTAATAACAAGGCCGGTCGGCTCCTTCACCTTCTTAACATGCTCCCAAATGTCGGATAGCTTCCTAGGCATGGCGTACACAGTAACGCCAGTAGCTGAGAAAATCGTGCGGTGGATTCGATCGTGCGAGGTGAGCTGCGTACAAGACTGTGCTCACCTTTCTGGAAGTGCTCCAAGTTTGTACCTGGTGGCCAACCTGCATTCTTGAGCGACGTGGAAAGACCTTGTTGGTAGGGATCGCAAATGACCAAGTGTGATTGGTCACGATTCGAATTTGCGACACGCGATTTTTTGGGGAGGTCGCTTGGCCCGCGAAAATTGAGTCTACAGGGCGGGAAGCAACCCAACGACACAGGCGAAACGGGTGTACAGCCCGTTCTCTCTTCGTCAAATGTTGGCATCAGGCGGCTCGACAAAATGTTGGAATCGCGCCTCGGCGAAAAACCATCACTTCAACCTGACAAACATTCAAGATCCAACCAACCCACATTGCGATTTCGTTACAAGCCCTAAGCATGCAAATATTGGTTGGTTCGAAAAATACGGTCGTATTTTTCGACCGTATTTTTGCACCAACCAAAAAACACAGCTTTTGACCGTTTTAAACCGTTTTATACGACCGTATCATACGATTCCGTATAATACGGCAAAAAAAATAAAAAACGACCGTATTTTTGCACCTTGCTCAAAACTAGACTCCTTCCACGTTGATTGCAACGCTCCCCTATTTTTGAGGCGCCTCAAAACTAACTCCTTTCACGTTGATTGCAACGCTCCCCTATTTTTTAGGCGCCTCAAAACTAGACTCCTTTCACGTTGATTGCAACGCTCCCCTATTTTTGAGGCGCCTCAAAGACTCCTTTCACGTTGATTGCAACGCTCCCTTATTTTTGAGGCGCCTCAAAACTAGACTCCTTTCACGTTGATTGCAACGCTCCCCTATTTCCCCTACCCCCATCCCCCCCAGGACAACTCCTCCCTGGTGGCCATAACTCCCGACCGCCGCATCTCCGGGTCCCTCCGCGCCACAGCAGTGGAGGGGCAGGCAGAGATGCCCGAAGTGGCCGTCGTGGTCACTCGAGACGAAGCCACGCCCTTCCGCCTTGTGGTCACCATCACTTGCTGTGCCAATCCAATAGTCAACCCCACTCTTCGTCTCCCCCTTCCCCACAACCCCTCCTCCCCCTTCCAACCTCCCCAGGACAACTCGTCACTGGTGGCCATATCTCCCAACAGGCTCATCTCCGGGTCTCTGCGCGCCACAGCGGTGGAGGGGCAGGCAGAGATGCCGGAAGTGGCCGTCATGGTCACTCCAGACGAGGCCACGCCCTTCCGCCTCGCGGTCACCGTCTCCAGCCCCACTAATGAGTTCCCCGATATAGTGCACGCGTTCACTGTAGACTTCTGCGCCGCCGGAACCTTCCTTAATGTTTCGGATTCCGGGAATGGCGTGGCGGGGACGTGCGAGCCCTGCCCTGTTGGTAGCTGGTGCGAGGCGGGGCAGCCGTCGAACCCCTGTGACGATGGCAGCTTTACGTTCTATCCGTATGCTACAACCCCGGACGAGTGCGTGGCGTGTGGTGATGACAACCTGGATTGCACAGGTGGCGTACTGACGATCGGTGTTCAGGCGTGGCTGGACCCCCGCACGTACAACGATACGCCCACCACGTACAGCTGTATTATCACCAATGGGTGTATGGAGCACCAGTACGAGTACAACCTCACCAGCAACACCGGCGACGTGGCGATCTGCCCCCCGGAATACAACCCCTCCTCCCCGTAAGTGCTGGCCTTGGCCCCTCCTCTCCTCCCCTTGAGTGTTGTATCTGTGAATCCCTCCTAGGTCGGCTGACTGTGGCCAGTAGCCCACCCAGTGGCCCAACCAATGGCCCACCCAGTGGCCCACCCAGTGGCCCACCCAGGCCAGTGGCCCACCCAGTGGCCCACCCAGGCCAGTGGCCCACCCAGTGGCCCACCCAGGCCAGTGGCCCACCCAGTGGCCCACCCAGGCCAGTGGCCCACCCAGTGGCCCACCCAGGCCAGTGGCCCACCCAGTGGCCCACCCAGGCCAGTGGACCACCCAGTGGCCCACCCAGTGGCCCACCCAGTGGCCCACCCAGTGGCCATCCAGGCGTGGCTGGATTTGAGTCGACTCAAAAGCAGGTGGCCAGTGGCCCAACCAGTGGCCACGCAGGCTTGGCTGGACCCCCGCACGTACAATGCCACACACTGCAGTATGTGCTGTCTCTGCGCCAACAATGAGTACTCCTTTGATTGTGCCTGAAAAATCTCATCCTTCCGTCGTCTCCCCCCACCCCCTCCCATCCCCCCTCAGCATGTGCTGCCTGTGCGCCGACAACTACTACTCCTTCCTGGGAGACTGTAACTCGTGCGGCGATATCTTCAAGAAGGTAGGTTGCGCCTCTATGCTTTTAGCGGGGTGTTGTTGAGAAAGGTTAAAAGCATGTGCTGTCTGTGCGCTGACAACCACTACTCCTTTCTGGGAGACTGTAACTCGTGCGGCAAGAAGGTAAACTGTGCCTTGTGAGTCTATTTTTGAGGCGCCTAAAAAATAAACTGTGCCTCTAAATTTTTAGTCGCGGCTTCTTTCGCTAGTCAACTCCGAAGGTAGATCCAGCTTTATGAACTCTTAACAACAGAAATTCCCATCAATCAGGATTTTCCATCAGCTTGAGTTTCCGTTAGCTTGGAGTTTCCAGCCTCATGCATCGCTATCCGTACGTGTGTGTGTATGCCTGCACAAATCTCGCAGTTGATCCCACCGCTCTTCATCCTGATGGTGGGAGTGTGGGTTTAGGTAGGACTGTCAAGTCAACCCATTCAGCAGCTTCCATCCCCTTGAATCACAAGCCTCATATCCTCCTGCTGTGTGTTTTTGAGGCGCCTCAAAAATAGACTCCCGCTGTGTGTCTGTGTGCTGTATGCCCGCACACCCCCCGCAGCTGTTCCCACTGCTCTTTATTCTGATGGTGGGAGTGTGGGTGGCCATGTTCCTCCTCGCCAACAACTACGATAACATCGACATCTTCCTCACTGAGGTACGCCTTGATGGTTGCATGTGTGTTGCTGGTTACATGTGTCTTGTTGCTTACATGTTTGTGTAAGTCTCATGAACAAACCCATCGCGCTCATCGCAAACAAACCCATCGCGCTCCGTCCATTGCGCTCTATTTCGGTCGATGCACTTTGCTGCACTGTTGAGCGTGTTGTGGGATTGTGGGTCCATCTCTCCAAACCCTAGTGTCTATTTTTTCTCGAGTTGAAAGTGCACCCTGGTTGGGTGGTGGTAACCACTAGTCGCGAGATTCCTCTGGGAGCTTCCTGAATGTCTTTTGAGTCGACTCAAAATTCAACTCGACTCAAAGTGCACCCTGGTTGGGTGGTGGTAACCACTAGTCCCGAGATTCCTCTGGGAGCTTCCTGAATGTCGTCAACGTCGACGTGGACGTCAAGTGCCTGTAGAACCCAGCCAATGTGTGTTGCTGGTTACGTGCCTGTGTGAGTGAGTCTCATGGCACTGCTCAATCGTGCCTCAGCTGTCCTGTCTCCCTGTCCTCTTCCCGCTCCTCCTCTCCCCCCACCAGATGCAATACCTCACGGTGGTCGCCTCGCTGAGCCTGAACGCGCCAGCAGCACCCACTGGCTGGGTGGGGTGGCTCATCAAGATCTACAACCTCTGCACCCACACCTTCTGACCCCAATTCTCGCCCTCTCCTGTGCTCTGGAAACCCCCTACACTCCCTCCCTCCCCCCACCAGGTGCAGTACCTCACAGTGGTCGCCTCGCTGAGCCTGAATGCACGTCCTGCCCACACCTTGCAAGCCCCTGCTGTCCTGTCTCCCTGTCCTCTTCCCGCCCCTCCCTCCCCCCACCAGGTGCAGTACCTCACAGTGGTCGCCTCGCTGAGCCTGAATGCACGTCCTGCCCACACCTTGCAAGCCCCTGCCCCTGATTCCTCTACTCTCCTGTACGCCTGTCCCCCTCTCCATCCCACCAGGTGCAATACCTCACGGTGGTCGCCTCGTTGAACCTGAACGCGCCAGCAGCACCCACCGGATGGGTGGGGTGGCTCATCAAGATCTACAACCTCTCCGTCTTTGACCCGGTGAGTGCGATGCCCTTGCGTGCGTGTGCCATGTGATGTGATGTGAGGCCCAGTCATGCCTGCATCGCATGCGGTGTGCGGGGGCATGCATGCCCCCGTGCATGCCCCCATGCATGCCCCCGTGCATGCTCCCGTGCATGCCCCCATGCATGCCCCCATGCATGCCCCCATGCATGCCCCCGTGCATGCCCCCGTTCATGCCCCCATGCATGCCCCCGTGCATGCTCCCATGCATCGTGTGAGGCCCCTCATGCCCGCATGCTCTCATGCCTCAGCATACTCTTGCTGTTCATCAGATCTCCACGCCTCTGCCCTTGCATCCCTCTCATCCCATGCCCCTTCCCTCCCTATCCCTTGTGCCAGTAGGACGTGGTTGGGCCCAACGGTGTTAGGACCCACTGCGTTCGTGAAGGCTAGGTGCACACACATCCCCTCCTCCCTCCATCCTCGTCCTACTCACCTTCCCCCTTACCGCTGTGTCCCCTCCCATACCCCACCTTCCGTCCCTTTCCCCATGTGCCACCTACCAGGACGTGGTTGCGCCCAACTGTGTGATGACCTACCGCTTCCCCCAGCAGTTTGTGTTTGGCATCCTCATCTTCGTCGTCGGCTTGGCGGTGTACGCGCCGCACTGGTGCTTCTTCCTCCTGTGCGAGCACATCAAGCTCATCAAGGCCAAGCGGGCGGCAGAGAGAGGCAAGGACAGCAGTGAGGGGGAGCTCAGCAGCACTCCTCCTCTCTCCATCCTCTTCCTACTACTCACCTTCCACTTGCTTTTGCCACCCTACCATACCCTCTCCTCTCCACCCTCCCCATCCCCCCGCCCTTTGACACCAGGACGTGGTTGGCCCCAACTGTGTGATGACCTACCGCTTCCCGCAACAATTCGTTTTTGGCATCCTCATCTTCGTGGTTGGCTTGGCCGTGTACGCCCTCCACTGGTGCTTCTTCCTGCTGCGCGAGCACATCAAGCTCATCAAGGCGAAGCGGGCGGCAGAGAGAGGCGAGGACAGCGGTGTGGGGGAGCTCAGCAGCACAGCGGCGAAGCAGCAGCGGCAGGAGTACTACAACGGGCTGGTGGGGGGCGTGGCGAGCTGGCTGGACGTTTGTTATATGGGTATTCTGGCGCGCGTGCTGCCCGTGTTCCAGACTCAAATGCTCGGTGACACGCAGGTATGTGCATGCGTGTGTGCGTGTGTGTGGTGTTATTGACACGGATGTGGCATGCACGTGGGGGTTCTACTTTTGAGTCGACTCATGAGCAAATGCTCAGCGCCACGCAGGTGGGGCATGTGGGAGTGCGCGGGAGGGGGGGTTTGGTGATGTGACATGCATGTGAGGGGCTCTATGGTAAGCAGTTGAGGTGATCCTATGGTAGGGTGTGCATGTGAGGGACAGCTGAGCAGCACAGCGGCGAAGGCATAGCAGTGCTGACAGGGGTATAAAAATCGGCTGGTGGGGGGCGATTTTTGAGTCGACTAAAAAATCTCCTGCGAAGCGGTGCCGGCAGGGGTATTGAAGTCGGCCTGTACTACAGCAGGCGGTTGGGGGGCGTCGCGAGGTGGCCGGATGTGTGTTGCATGAGAATTGTGGCCTGCATGCTGCCTGCCTGTGTTCCAAAACTGGGTGCCTGGGTGCTGCCTGCCTGTGTTCCAAAACTTGGTGCCTGTGCTGCCTGCCTGTGTGCTGCCTGCCTGTGTTCCAAAACTAGGTGTGCCTGTGCTGCCTGTCTTTGTGCTGCCTGTGTTTGAGGCGCCTCAAAACTAGGTGGCTGGACGTGTGGTACATGAGAATTGTGGCCTGCGTGCTGCCTGCCTGCGTGCTGCCTGCCTGCGTGCTGCCTGCCTTTGTCCCAGAAGCAAACGACCGACACGCAGCTGCGTGTGGTGTTTGGGAGTGCATGGGGGGTTTGTGTTGGTTTGTGATGCTGTGACATGCATGCATGCATGCATGCATTCATGCATGCATGGTTTACTCTGTCATCCATGTACGTTGTACCATGCTAGGGGTGCATCCATCCAACCAACATATGTGGGCACTCACCTCCTCTCTCTCCTCCTCTCTCCCCTTCTCTCTCCCCTCTTCACTCCCCTTCTCTCTTCCCTCCTCTCCCCCCTCCTCTCTCCCTTCCTCTCTCCCCTCCTCTCTCCCCTCCTCTCTCCCCTCCCTTAACCAGGTGATGCTGTTCGCGCCTGAGATCGAGTGGCTGTCCCCCACGCACGTGGGCATGCTCATCCCCTCGATCATAATCCTCATTGTGTATCTCGCCGGAGTGCCGCTGCTGTACGCGTGGCTGCTCTTCTCGGCCAAGTGGAATCGCACACTCTTCACGCCAGAGTTTGACGACAAATACGCCTTCCTCACTGAGCGATTCGCACGCAAGTTCTACTGGTGAGAGGCGGGGTGCTGCTCGTGAGGGCAGCTGTACGCAAATGTTATGGAACACACACCCCTCCCGTCCCCACCCCTTCCCCCCCTTATCCCCCCCATGAGAGGTGGCATCTGCTCAACATGTCCCTGGGGTTCATCTACGGCTGCATCCTCGTGTTTCTCTACGAGAGCCCCGAGGCGCAGATCATCAGCATCATCATCATCATCATCATCATCATCATCATCATCATCATCATCATCATCATCATCATCATCATCATCATCATCATCATCATCATCATCATCATCATCATCATCATCATCATCATCATCATCATCATCATCATCATCATCATCATCATCATCATCATCATCATCATCATCATCATCATCATCATCATCATCATCATCATCATCATCATCATCATCATCATCATCATCATCATCATCATCATCATCAGCATCAGCATCCATCTCCCCCATACCACATTCCCCCCCCCCCCTGATTACAGGTGGCACCTTCTCACCATGTCTCTGCGAGTCATCCAAGGGTGCATCCTCGTGTGTAATGAGTCTATTTTTGAGTCGACTCAAACATGAGTGGACTCATTGCACTGTGAGTCATCCATGGCTGCACCCTCGTGTTTCTCTACGAGATTCCTTAGCCTCACCCACGTCCCTCTCCCCTCCTCCCTTCTCCCCCCCTCCCCCCCCCCTCTCCCCCTTTCTCCCCCTGATTACAGGTGGCACCTGCTCAACATGTCTCTGCGGGTCATCTACGGCTGCATCCTCGTGTTCCTCTACGAGAACCCCGAGGCGCAGATCATCATCATCGTGGTCTTGCAGATCCTCCGCATCGTCGTCGAGTACCGCTTCGCTCCTTTCACCTCGTCGTCTGTCGAGTATCTGCAAGCAACTCTGAACCTCGGTAAGCAGCAGGCTGTATGCATGTATGCGTGTGTGTGTGTGTTCACGTGCTCTGATAACAGCCATCATGCCGACTTTTGGGTCGACTCAAAAGATACCAGCCATCATGCCGACTTTTGAGTCGACTCAAAAGATACCAGCCATCATGCCGACTTTTGAGTCGACTCGAAAGATACCAGCCATCATGCCGACTTTTGAGTCGACTCTAAAGATACCAGCCATCATGCCGACTTTTGAGTCGACTCAAAAGATACCAGCCATCATGCCCAGGCGCATATCATCATCATCGTGGTCCTCCAGACCAGATCCTCCGAATCGGCGTCGAGTACCGCTTCGCGCCCTTCACCTCCTCGTCTGTTGAGTACCTCTAGGCGACCCTCAACCTCGGTATGCAGCAGGATGTCTGCCTGTAGGGTTGTGTGTGGGTTGACGTGCTCTGACACCAGCCAACCATCATCATGACTCTGGTGCTCTTACACCAGACCAGATACTCCACATCGTCGTCGAGTACTGCTTTGCGCCGTTCGTCTCCGCTCCTCCCAACCCTTTCCCCCAGGCGAGGTGTTCTTCTCTCTGAGCCTCCTCATCTTCAACTACACGTGGGAGGCGATTCTCTCGGAGAGGTGATCACGGGCATCAGCACCACGCCATTCATTCTCTTCACCTCACTTAACCCCCCTCCTCTCCCCCCTCCTATCCCCCCAGGCGGGGTGTTCTTCACGCTCAGTCTCCTCATCTTCAACTAACGTCCGAGGCGATTCTCTCGGAGAGGTGATCATGGGCATCAGCAGCACACTGCTCATGCTGCTCACTCGCCTCCCGCCTACCCCGTCCCCCCTCCCTCTCTCTCTTCCACAGGCGAAGTTTTTTTCACGCTGAGTCTCCTTATCTTCAACTACACGTCGGAGGCGATCCTCTCAGAGGTGATCATGGGCATCAGCACGCTGCTCATGCTGCTCCCCGCGCTCGTGGCGATCAGCTACGAGGTGTCAAGCAAGCGCATGGAGGCGTTTAACAACGGTGTGCTGGACGACATCTGGGAGAAGGAGAGCTGGAAGAGGGAGGACCAGCTCAGGGGGCTCGACCCGTACCAGATCGTGCAACTCAGCCAGGTGGGTGGGTGCGGGTGTGCGCTTCTGTGTGTCCCTATGTGTGTGTTTTGGTGAGGGAGTGAGAAGGGATGAAAAGGCGCGAGAGAGGGAGGGGGGGGGGAGAGGTGGAGAGTGCGCTGGTGGCGATCAGCTACGACGTGTCGCGCAAGTGCATGGAGGCGTTTAACAACGGAGTTCTGGACGACATCTGGGAGAAGGAGAGTGGCAAAAGGGAGGACCAGCTGAGAGGGCTCGACCCCTATCAGATCATGCCGCTCTTCCCTCACGCGAGTCCCCCCTCTCTCTCCCCAACTCTCCCTCCCCACTTGATGCACCCCTCCCTTATCTACCCCCCTCCTTCCCCTTCAGATCGGAGGGTGGTTCCGCCCTCAAGCCCTCTTCCACTTCCTGCACCACCGCAAGGGCATCGACCTGCTGCTTAAGGTGCGCGATCGCGTGCAGGCGTGCTCCCTGGCCGGGCTCGGTGAGGTCGAGTGGATTGAGCAGCTCAAGAAACCCCAGCAGTATGCCGGCCTCTCGCAGATCCTCCTCGGAAACAAGAAGGGTTACATTCCCGTCGCGCGGTTACCACCGCAGGGCGTGTACTGCATGTTACACGGGGTGTGGCACCCGGATGGGCTGTGCACTGCTGCCCAGGCTGCGGCGGCGGCCCGGCGCCGAACCACCCCCAGAAGCAAGTCCCGAAGCAGCCGGGCTTCATTCTCGGGGGCATCGTTCGGGGGGGGAGCAGGAGAGGGAGGGGCGGAGACACCTGGGGGAGGGCTGCGAAGGATGGTGAGCTGGGGGGCGAACACCGCTGGTGGTAGCAGTATGAGGGAGAGAGAGAAGCCCGTGAAGAGCCTGAAGATCGCTGAGAAGAGCTGGCCGCCGCAGCTCGGGAGGAAGGTCCACTGGTGTGCTGCCTCCGGTTTCGACCCTCTTGCTGCGACAAGGAGGTTCGGGAGCGGGAGGCTCGGGACCCCTGGTGGGGTGACTGGTACCCCGACAGCGGGAGGAGGAGGCGGATGGGGAGGAGGAGAGGGAGGAGCTGGGACTCCCTTGGGTGGAGGTCGAGAGGAGGCTAAGTCCCCGTACCCTGTTGCTCCTGAAACGCCCACTACTCCCAGCACTATTGCCACTGAGTCTCCTGCTGCTGCTGCAGCTGCTGCTGCTGATGAAGCCAAGCCGAAGAAACGGCTGCTGAGGCAGATGTCTGATAGGGACGACAGCGACACAGAGGGCACAGGCGAAGGCGCAGGAGCAGGAGCAGGAGGAGCAGCAGGAGGAGGGGGGGGAAGCAGGCCGGGAACAGCAGGAGAAGGGATCATGAGGGGAGCAATAGGCCGGCCGGGCAGCGCCGGGGGAGGGGCAATAGGAGGGGGGGGAGGGATGGAGATGGTGCAGGCGAATTTGGATATGGCGGAGCTGACGTTTGCCTTCCAATCGAATCTGGCGCTGCTGGTGAAGTCGGAGAAGAAGCGCAAGGTGCAGAAGGAGGCGCTGAGGACGATTGTCCACTCCAAGGCCACGTACCACATCCTCAGCTGGTTCACGAGTGAGGAGAGGTGAGCCGACCCTAGAGAGAGGTGAGATATGTGAGGGGAGGTGAGGGCTGTGAGTTGAGGGGGTGGTAGGGAGATGTCTCTTGCATGCGAATCACTAGGCTGCTTGTCCAAAGGTCGTGCACTCCAAGGCCACGTACCACAACATCTGCTGGCTCACCAGCTGAGGAGAGGTGAGTGCTGTGAGGGACGGCTAGTGCTGTGAGGGGTGGTGAGTGCTGTGAGGGGCTGTTTGCCGAGCTGGTGATGGCAGTGCAACATTCAGCAAGTGATGGATCTCTCAACTGTGCCTTCTGCTCCTACTTACCCCCCCATTCCTTTCCCCCCATCCCCGTCCCACAACTCCTACCCACAACCCTCTATCAGCACTATGGACGACCAGCGGCTGTTTGCGGAGCTGGTGAAGATGGTGCGGCAGACAGTGAGGAATTAATGCTTCATCTGTCCCTTCCACTCCCCCTGCGATTCTTGAGGCGCCTCAAAAATGCTTCATCTGTCCCTTCCACTCCCCCTGCGATTTTTGAGGCGCCTAAAAAATGCTTCATCTGTCCCTTCCACTCCCCCTGCGATTTTTGAGGCGCCTCAAAGATGCTTCATCTGTCCCTTCCACTCCCCCTGCCTCCAACCCCTCCCGCCCCTCCCCCCGCCCCGCTCCCTGAGCAGCACTGTGGGCGACCAGCGGCTATTTGCAGAGCTGTTGAAGGCGGTGCGGCAGGCAGCAATAGGTTCCTGTTCCTGCTGTCCCTCTCACGCCCTTTCTCCCCCCCTCCCCCCTCGGGCCCCCCGGTTCCCCCGGCCCCCCTGACCCCCCTGGCCCCCGCCCCTTCCTATCAGCACTGTGGACGACCAGCGGCTGTTAGCAGAGCTGGTGAAGGCGGTGCGGCAGGCAGTGAAGGATTGGTGTTTCATCTGTTGCTTCAATTCCCCCCCATCCCAACCCTCCCACCCCTTCCCCCCCTTCCTGAGCAGCACTGTGGACGACCAGCGGCTGTTTGCAGAGCTGGTGAAGGCGGTGCGGCAGGCGACCAAGACTCGCAAGCGCACCATGCGCTGGCTGCAGGGCGCGCAGTGCTTCTACCCCGGGGAAGGGCGCCTCACCAACCGGCTGTCCAAGATGCTGTAAGCTTATGCCGATGCTTTTCTTGTCAGAAGCAGTGGGACAAGGCCACAAAAAAGAGAGGAAAATGTGATTCGGGTCATTCTTGTGTTTCTTGCCCCATGGTTCCCCTCAAGTGTTCTCGTGTATCGTCTCCTGATTCTATAACGTGGTTTTTTGCTTGGCTTCTGCATGTGTGCACGCAGGAGTGAGGAGCACCCACTTGACAACGATCAAACCAACGGAGCGCATGGGGAGCCATAAACGCTCCATATTGTCCGTACTCGAAGCTTCTGGTCTAATTCATTTGCACTGGGTACTGTATACAGGATCTGGATTGGAGAAACATGCGTGGTTGGAGGCAGAGGCTTGTCATGTCATATCTGCTTTACTACATGTACCATGCTTTTGTTTCAATGAGGTGGAATGGCTGGGAGGTACTCTAGTGGCCGACTGTTGGAGTCGTTGCTCTGATTTGCTTGATGCGTGCTTCATCCATTTCTTTATTCGGGAATAATGGTGCATGGTTATCCATTATTACAGCTGCTTTTGTAGAAGAAAATGGCTTGGTTATTGTATTCAGGATGAATGCCTCAACGCGTATGGTGATTGATTGTGAATCCGCTTCGAAATCTAGACGTCGTACACCGAGAGGCAATCTGTTGTTTGTTGGTTTCTTTGTGGCCAGCGCACGTCGCGGAGCTTGTGTCGGGGTTCATCTGGGCGGAATGAATCTGAACAACGAACAAAAAATCTTACGGATATGTGTACAGTAACGTGCCCTCCTTTGCTGCATTACACTTGTCCACCACCAGAAACCACACCCGCTTCCCTCGATCCCGGCCACGAGTACCCGCCAAGATCCCAGCATTCAATCTCAGCCACCAGCCTTCGCGTACAACGTGTGATTTGTGGCCCCATGCCCAGCTGCATCCCTTCCACCATGTCCTTGGTGCATGATTTGGCACTTCAAAACAGATCTCATCAGTCTCCGTGGTGGCTCTCGAAGCGCGCGCGCCTTGTAAAAATGCCACTTGTTGCAATGTTTCTTCAGGTTGTGGAGCAGGTTCAAATGAGTGTTGGAGGCGATTGCTTGTTTCACCCCAGGTTGGTTTGGTTTCCTTATCCACCTCGTTTCTGCTGCGTGTGACTAAGTATGTCAGATTGCGGTTCGATACGATACTCTGCTCTAAACAACGTTCAAATAAATACTTAAAGCGGTTAAATATGGTATTTTGCGAAAACGTACTTACGTATCCTGCTCCACTCATTGGGATGCTACCGTCCTGTACGGTACTAAAAATGAACCAACGCAAAGCAGCGACGACGAGGGAGGAAAGGGAAGGGAACAGTCGGGGCAAGAAGTCACTCCGTGTGGCACGCCTGCCTATCCTACACCAATCAATCCTTCAATTGCTGCTCTCTTTTGTCGGCTTTCGATTACATCCCTGAGTTATTTCTGTCCGTTGCGCGCGAGGATCGTATGTCCAGCCCCTGCGAACTGCAAGTCGACTAGAGCAAACTGCCTTTGCATCAATTCTGCAAATGGATGGAGAGTAAACCCTTGGAAAATGTCGCTCGAGGGCTGTGGCTGTCGCGGCAAGTTTATCCCCATCCATTCATCATCCACAAACCAAGCGGACGACATGATAGCGAGCACCATGGCTGAGGGCAATCCCTATGGCGATTGGCCAACCGAGAATCTCATGACTCATCGAGAGGCCTACTAGAAGGCAACGCATGTATTTCTCCTCCTATTCTAAGCTTAGATACGTCTCTGCTGTTGTGCGGTGGAGAGGGGACACGCCGCGAACAGCTTATCATCATTTCCGCCCTTTCTTCCTCTCCCTCACTCTTTCTCGCTCTCTCTCTCGCCCTATCCCTCGCTCTCTTTCACTTCGCCCTTCGCTCGACGCCGCACAAAGCAAGCACCGTGCAAGGTCTGGTCTGGACTGGAGTCTGTTGAACTCCATGAGCTCCCCTCCCCCCCCCACCGAGCATTTCCCAAAAGCAACATTCACCATAACTCCCAGTAAGGCCGTGCTCAAAGGGCCGCAATCACACTCAAAAAGAGATTGGGGCTACGAGGGGCGAAGTTTAGCTTGGCCCGCGTCGGATTGTCGGTCTGGCACAATCTGAGAGACAGTCCTGTGTCTCGAGCAAGTGAAGTGGGGCTTTCTTGAATGCACGGAACTGTAGCTACGAGCTGTAGTACACATCGGTTTCCTCGACAATCTAAGACCTTCGAAGCTGCAAGCCAGTTCTGCATAGTCTCTCAAACCCAAGAAATTGTCTTCTCCAGTCAACTCCTAACTTTCTGACTGCCTGACTGCCTGACGGCCTGACTGCCTGACGGCCTGACGGCCTGACTGCCTGACGGCCTGACTGCCTGACTGCCTGACGGCCTGACCAGACTAGTATCTTTTCCTGGGGTCGCTTTAGAACAGATAAGTCATCTTTTCCACATTGATTTCTTTTCGAGTAAGTGATGGTCGACCATGCAGGAACAGTCGATATTAATAAGTAATTTCCTTGCACTGGTTTCCTTGCACTCCCCCGCTCTCCATTCGAAGCACCGTGAGCGGAACGAGTAGTAGAAAAGTCTAGGTCTCCTCGAGCCTCGCGCCTTAGATTCCGAATCCGAAAATCGAATTCGAAATTTCAACCTGAAACCATCTCACCCGCGGTGTCACGCGCCAGCATCCATCTCACCACGCGACCCGTCCAGAGCTTATGGCTGGCGGAGGCGGCTCCATCGGCGCACATGGCGCCGCAAGTCCCGCCGCGATAGCCGCACCCAAGCCTACAGGAATGGCGGCGATCGTGCAGCAATCCATGGCGGTTCAGTTCATTGTCGACCCGTCCACCGCCGCGATTCTCGGCGCGAGTAAAGGCGCGTCGCGAACGCTGGGCCCGGCGCTTAACGACCAGACGTCTCTCCTCGATATCACCTTCCTCTCGCAAAACAAGTGGCGGCATCTGATTCGCCAGCTCAGCCGCGGGCAGGTGGAAAAGATTCACCTGCCCGGGATCATCCGCGCCAAGCAGCCTCGAGTGTCCATGCGACTGTCCACGTCATCAGCAGCCGCGGCAGCGTCGTCGGCAACCTCGAGGAAATCAGTGGGGGGCGTCGCGAGATCGAGGCCGTCATCATCCGACCGTCCATTACACCAAGCTGGAACGGCCGCGATTGACGCAGCCGCTTGCACGCGGCCGAGCGATGTCTTTAAAGCCGACTTACCGGAAATCGACATTCCTAAGAACGTCCCCAGTACACCCCCACTGCCGTCCGCGAGCAGTAGTACTACGAGTTCTAGTAGTGCTGTTAGGCGCGACTCTAGTGCAGGTCGCGGCTCGTATCCCCGCCGAATGCGGTCGACGTCGTTCGGACGCGGCGACGCGATTCCTGAGAATGGCAGCGGCTCGACGGTCAGCGCGAATAGCGCCGACATCGGCGTTACCACCGCCGTTTGCGGAGCGGAAGGCGCGAGTGCGTACTACAGTGAAGGTGACTCAAAGGGATGCGGTGAGAATCCGCCGCCTGGCGACAGGATGATCCCCTCGATATTGCGTGCCTCGCCAAAAGCCGCGTCGCAAAGGCTACCGTCACCGTCGTCCCTCCCGCCGCTTCTTCCGGCGACGGACTCAGCTGACAGCAGCAGCAGCGGAAGGAGCAGCGCCGGCAGCAGCAGTAGCAGCGGCCGGCACGTCGGCCAGCATAGCGGTCCGAGCCCGTGGGACGGCGGCGATTCCTCCCCCCCCACTCCCTCCCCGAACAGCATCATCGGGAACTGTCTTCCCGCCATTGGCGCCGCCATTGGCGGATCACCCAGCGCGGCCGGCGCGGGCCGGCTGGGCGCTATGATGGTTGCGCGCGCGACGACTCCCGCCCTCCCCGGTCCGCGGGAAGCGGAAGGGATGACGGGCAGCAACGGCTCGCTTTCGCCCGCGCCCAGCGGAGGGGTTGGCGGAAGCAGCGAGGGAGGCAGCGGAAGCGGGGGAAGGCGAGGGGCGGGAAGGATGATAACGATGCGCGGGCGCAAGGCGGACAAGCGGGGGGGGAAGGTTGCGACGGGGAGCGAGTCTTGCGCCATGAACCCGCCGGCGCTGCCAGCGCCGCAGCAGCAACAGGAGCGGATGCAGATCGACGGGGCCGCGGACACGGAAAAGCGCGGGGAACGAGCGCTGGCGGAAGGATCGACGGAAGGCGTTTCCGCGCAAGGGAGGCCCCCGCCACAGCGGCCAGCAGGGAAGGAGCGGGGGAAGGAATGGCGGAAAGGTCTGAAGAGCTTGTTCGGGTCAAACTCCGTCAAGCGGAGAGGGGATGCGGGAGAGGGGAGCGCTGGCGGAAGGGCGGGGAACACGATTGGCGGAGGAGAGACCGTGGCGAAGGGGGAAGCAGAGGCGGATGCGCGAGTGGGGGAGGTTTGCTCGCGTGGGGAGGAGGGGGAAATGGCGGGCGGCGGAGGTGATATTCTAACGGGGATGAATACACCGGAGGTGGATGAGTCGGGTGACTTTCGGAGAGTTACAGTGGAGCTACAGTTCTTTCACTTCAATTCCTCCAAAGACCTCGTCGCCACAGGTAATTATGTCGCTAAATTTCTTTCCTTTATCTCCACAATTCACTTGAACGTCCCTCTCTTCCCCAACACCAGCAGGAGGTCAGAAAGCACAGGCAATTCTGCAAATGCTGCAAATGCTGCAACTGCAGAACCACAAGTCTGCTGTTTCTATTATCACCCTGCTTTCTTTTCCCTCCCCCCCTTCCTGTTTCAACCCTCCCATCCCCTCTTCCCTGCAGTGCAAGTGCTCCCCTCTCACGCGCAGCAGCAGCAGGAGGAGCAGCAGGCGCAGGCGGTGCTGCAGCTGCAGCATCTGCAGAACACACACACCTGTTTCTCATCTCACCCCAGTACCTGCCCTCTTCCTTCCTGATACTCTCCTCTTATCCCCCCCCTCTCCTAACAGTGCAAGTGCTCCCCTCTCACGCGCAGCAGCAGCAGCAGGAGGTGCAGCAGGCGCAGGCGGTGCTGCAGGTGCAGAAACAAATTCCTCCCAATCCCAAACCTCCCTCTCCGTTCCTTCCCTTCCCTCCCTTCCTGTTCACCCCCCCTTCCCCCCCCCCTCTCCCCACCCCCCTTCTCCCCCCCCCCAGTGCAAGTGCTCCCCTCTCACGCGCAGCAGCAGCAGGAGGTGCAGCAGGCGCAGGCGGTGCTGCAGCTGCAGAACTACGCCGGGCTGGGGACGGTCGTGCTCGAGGGTGTCGACGGTGTGGTAACCAGCTGTAACAGCAGCGCAACGAGCATCTTGGGATTCCCGGAGCCCTACATCATGGGGCAGACGCTGCAGCATTTTGTAACAGAGGCTGAAAAGGCCACCTTTGCTGTAAGTTTGTAACAGGCGATTTTTTAAATTCTCAAAAAGCATTTTGTAACAGAGGCTGAGAAGGCCACCTTTGCTGTAAGTTAGTAACAACAACTGCCACCTCTGGACCCCTTACTCGCGCCCCGATTCTCCCCTTCGACTCCTTACTCTCGAACCCCCTTCCGTCGCCCCCTCATCCTCCCCCCCCCCCCCCCCCCCCCAGCCTCTCCTGCTCTTCGCATGTCCCACTCTCCTGTACGTGCACTACATGTATCCGCTTCTTTAAATCAAATCCAACCTTACCCTTTCTCCCTTCCCCTCCCCTCAACCTCACCTCACATACCTCTGTTCCCCCTTCCCCCTCTCTCTCCTCTCCCCCCTCCCTCCCCCACGCAGGAGGAGTACAGCAAGGTGCAGCAGGGTGTGGAGGAGTGGTCGCAGCAGGAGATTCGGCTGCGGAAGATCGACCGCAGCACTGTGGCAGTCCGAATCACGATGACCGCCCTCTCCACCGCTGCCTCCAACACCGCTGCTGCTGCTGCTGCTGCTGCTGCTGCTGCCGCCCCCCGACTCTCCACAGCAGCAACCACCCCACATGGCGCCACCACCCCATCTGCTGCCGCTGCAGACGCTGTTAAAGCTGCTGCTGCTGCTGCTGCTGCTGTGGCTGGTAAGGCTTCCGCTGCTGGTGAAGCGGACACGAGCAACATGAGTCGGACAAGCAGCCACGGGAGCGGTTCAAGCGAGAGCGAGGCAGGGAGGGCAGCAAGCAGAGAGCACACGGCAGTGCTGTGCATGTTCCAAGACATCAGCGCACAGAAGGCGTTGGTAAGCTCACCTCACCTCTCCTCCCTACAGTGTCACTCCTACAAACCTCCCCCCTCCCTGGTTGTCCTTCTTAACCAGCCCCTCTGGCTCGGCTCTCGCGTCGACTCGTGTAGAGCACGCAGCAGTGCTCTGCATGCTCCTAGACATCAGCGCGCAGTCGTTTTCACCCCCTCCGACGTTTCTGTCTCCTCCTCCCCCCTCCCAGGAGCAACACATGGCGAACTACCGCATGGTGGTGGAGCACCTCCCCCCAGGGGCCGTGCTCATCTCAACAACCTGCTGCTCACCCACTACCCCCCCTCCCCCCCTCCCCTCCTGTTCTCCTGTTCTCCCCACCTCCCCCCTCCCAGGAGCAACACATGGAGAACTACTGCATGATGGTGGAGCACTTCCCCGCAGGGGCAACCTTACCCTCCCTTCCTTCCCCCGTCTTCACCCTTTCTGCCTCCTGTTCCCCCCTTCCCTTCCCCCTTCCCCCCTTCCCCCTTTCCCCCCTTCCCCCCTCCCCCTTCCCCCTGCCCCCTGCCCCCTGCCAGGAGCAACACATGGAGAACTACCGCATGATGGTGGAGCACTTCCCCGCCGGCGCAGTCCTCATTTCACACAATGGGGAGGAAGGCGAAACCGTGCTCGTCAACAGCACGCTGGAAGCCATGCTGGGGTGCGACAAGGGCAGCATCGACAGCGTGGACAAGTGGTTCAGCACGCTGTATGCGGACAAGGCGCGAAGAGCGCGGCAGCTCCACGAGGCGAGGCGAGTGTCCGGGAGCAGCAAGGACGTGACCAACACGGTGCAGCAGATCAAGAAGAGGGACGGGTCCAAGCTCGTCGTGGACGTGACGACGTACCGCTTCGACCTCGGGGAAATGTGGCTGGTCAACGATATTACCGAGAGCCGCAAGAACCAGTTCAAGTTCAGAATGCTCTTTGAGCTGTCCTCGGTAAGATGGGGTGTGGTGAGGTGTAGTGCGGTGGAGTCACCTCACCATGTACCTGTTCGGCTTGGGGGAGATGTGGCTCGTCAATGATATCACCGAGAGCAGGAAGAACCAGTTGAAGTTCCGCATGCTGTTTTAACTCTCCTCGGTAAGTGCGGTTCTGATTAGTCAGGTGAGCCTTACAAGTCGATTTTGCTTCTTATAGGACATCTTAAGACGAAGAGGCGGATAGGTAGAGGCTGGGCCGGGTGTGGTGAGGTGTGGTGTGGACCATGGTGGGGTGTGGTGAGGTGTGGTGTGGTGGGAGTAGTATGATGGACGTGAAACACCTCTCTTGCCCTCCTCTCCCCTTAGTCTCTCCCCTTACTCTCCCCCCTTACTCTCCCCCCTTACTCTTCCCCCTTACTCCCTCCCCATACTCTCTCTCCCTCTCCCCATCAGGACCCCAAGCTGCTGCTCAACCAGGAGGGCCGGGTGTTCGACTGCAACCAGTCAGCCATCCGCATCCTCAAGTGCGGCACCAAGGAGTCGCTCCTCGGGAAGACCCCCTGGGAGCTCTGCCGCCCGCAGCAGCCCTCCGGGCAGCGCTCGTCCTTCCTCAAGGCCGTCCTGGACGACCTCGCCGCCAGCAACAACGTCCCTGCTGGGGCCACAGCCCCCCCTGATGCTACAGCCGATGCCACAGGCTCTGCTACAGCCACACCTAGCGCTTCAGGCTCGGGAGGAGGCTCGGGAGCAGCAGGGAGCGCGACGGTGCTGGGAGGGGCGTCGGCGGTGGGCGGGGAGAAGCGGTACCGGTTCGACTGGCTGTTCGAGGACGAGGAGGGGCAGGACGTACCGGTGGAGGTGCTGTGCAAGATGGTCAACTTCTTTGGCGAGCCGGTGTACCTGATGGTGTGGCACGACATGGCGGAGGCGCGCAAGCAGGAGGCGGAGCTCAGGCGCGCCAAGGCGGAGGCGGAGAAGGCGAGTAAAGCCAAGACGCAGTTCCTGGCTAATATGAGCCACGAGATCCGGACGCCGATGAACGGTGAGCCCTCTTTCCCCACGCGCATGAACGGTGAGAGATGCTTTTGAAAGCATGGGAATGTGGCTTGCAGCACATACAACAAGGCGGGAACCCGAGAAGGCGAGCAAGGACAAGACGCAGTTTTTGGTCAACATGAGCCACTAGATCCGCAGATGCTTTTGACGAGTGTCCTTTTGAGGAGCGCGCTTGTGACAAGACATTATCGGCGTCGCGGAGCAACGCTCCGTTCTCCGTTGCTCCTTCCGTCATTCCTCCTAACCCCCCCCCAAACCAACCCCCCCCTCTCCCTTCCTGCCGTCTGTTTCCTCCCCCCTCGCCAGGCATCATCGGCGTCGCGGATCTGATGCTCGCGACGCCGCTTACTCCGGAGCAGTGCTCACTGCTCGAAACCCTAAGATCGTCCTCCGAGGGCCTCCTGCACATCCTCTCGGACATCCTCGATTTAAGCAAGATCGAGAACGAGAAGATGGACCTCGATTTTAGCAACTGGCGGTTACGCGAGAACGTGAGCAACTGCGTCGCGCTCTTCCACGGATCCGCGCACGAGAAGAGCATACGCCTTAAAGCGCGCGTCGATAAGGACGTCCCGATCGAGGTCTTCGGCGACTGCATGCGCGTCCGCCAGGTGGTCACTAATCTCCTAAGCAACGCGATTAAGTTCACGTCGGCGGGGGGACACGTGTCAGTGCGCGTGAGCCTCGTCGATCCGCACGCTCCGGGCCGCGGAAAGCGGCGGGAGTCGTTTTCGAGTTTGGAGCCGCTAAGAGAGAACTCGGAAATGGATAAAGTGGTGGTGCAGTTCGAAGTGAAGGACACGGGGATCGGAATTCCACCAGATGCGCAGAAGAACCTCTTTCAAGCGTTCAATCAGGTACGCGTTGCAAGCACGTTACTACAAACACGTTACATATGTTATACCTTGCTTAAAGCATTTTGTGCTTGTAAATTTTCCGTTTCATTTATTTGTTTTGGGATCTACACTCTCGTGTCATCTTACCTGCTGTTGTTTTTATTTGAAACTTTGTATCTTATGCAGGCTGACAACTCCACATGTCGTCGATTTGGAGGCACTGGCCTTGGCTTGGCCATCTGCCGGGCACTTGTCAACCTCATGGGTGGCGAGATTAACCTTTCAAGCGAAGAGGGGAAAGTGAGTCCATTGCCAAGTAGTTTCTTCTCCTGCTTTTTTCATGATATGCTATATGCATTTCATGATTTGTTAGCATGGAAGTGTCTAACTTAAACCTTCTCCTCCACTTTTCTTGCAGGGATCCTCCTTCACCTTCACTGTGTGCCTTGGAGTTACCGAGCCCGCTCCCAGCGACGCAGAGAGTGCAGGGGAAGAAAGCCTCCTAGAGGACGATGAGGAGGAGGAAGAGGAGGAGTGGGATGAGGAGGAGGATGACGAAGAAGGGGAGGAGGATGACACTGATATGGAAGGAGGTCACGAGGGGGAGAAAGGACCCGAGGAAGGTACAACTAGTGATGATGACGACGACGAGCATTGGGCGGCTCATCTAGTTCGGGCGGCAACTGAGATTGCCATTGGACGGTCCCGGTCGGCACGGAGGCGGGCGAGCAAGGCAGCGACAAGTGGAGGGAAAGAGAGCATGGGGGGGCTTGGCGAGAAGACGACGAATGCAATGGACTGCGATGGTGAGGCTTTGAGAGAATCGACAGCCCCCAGGTCCCTGTGGTCCGCCCGAAGCCGCACGCTTAACCGCAGCCCGACCCCTCGGCATAAGAAGGCCCTGCGCCGGGCAGATTCGAAAGAGATTTTCCTGCCCATTGCTCTGCCTGCTGATACCAGTATCAGCAGCAGTACCAGCAGCCCGGGCAACAATGCCAGCACTATTAGTGCTGCAACGAGCGCTGTTGCAGTTTCTGCAGGTCACGCTCGGCCCTCTACCTCCCCATCTTTATCGCAAACCCTTGGAACTATCCCCCCTTGCCCCACTCTCACTTGGCCCCCTACCCAGTCCGCCCCTCCCCCTGCTCAGCCTGCCCCTTCTGCAGCTCCCACTGCTGCCAGTCCTCCTGCATTTAGTTCTGCTAGCCCCTCAGCAGTTGCTGCTGTCAGGAGTCTGTTCAGTAAGTCTAGAAGCGAAACCAATCTGCTCAAGTCGGGTGTATCGGAGGGCAATTTCCTCATAGGCAGCAGGAGGAGTCAGTCTGGCCGTCACAACAACACAGGTTTAGACAACGGTAGCAGAGCCAGCATTGACAAGCGCGCAGACAGCAGCAGCAGCAGCAGCAGCACGAGCGATCTGAAGGGCGGGACTCACGGTAACAGAAGCGTCGGCAGTAGCAGCAGCGGCAGCAGCAGCATGCGCAGCAGCAGCAGCACGAGCGATCTGAAGAACCAGGCTCACAGTAACAGAAGCGGCAGCAGCAGCAGTGGCGGCAGCGGCAGCGGCAGCATCAGGACCAGCAGCAGCACAAGCAATCTGAAGGACCAGGCTCACGGTAATAGAAGCGGCAGCAGCAGTGGCGACGCCAGTATCAGATGCAGCAGCAGCACAAGCGACCTGAAGGACCGGGCTCGCACTAACAGAAGCGGCAGCGGCGGCAGCAGCGGCAGCAGCAATGGTGGTCGACGGGTGTCAATAGCACTGAACAAACCCTCTGCATCCTTCAAGTCACATTCCTTGCAAGAAAGCTCCAGCCCGACGCCTCGGCGGTGTAAGACACAGGAGCGCCCCCCCCGCTCCCCCTGCTCCTCTTCCTCCTCTGCTACACATGGCGGGCACAAGAAAGTTTTCACGGACGAGCTGCCCGAGCAGCTGCCCGAGTGCGTGAAATCGTGGAAGGTTCTTGTAGCTGAAGACAACATGGTGAACCAGATGGTGGTTACCCGCATGCTCAAGAACCTTGGGATTGCCGCTGATATTGCGGACAACGGGCTGAAGGCGCTGCATGCCTGCGAGGGGAACTACTACGACTTCATTCTTATGGTGAGTCCCCGGTCTATCCATGCTACAGTGATGGTAGGCGCCATGCGCAAGAACCTTGGGATTGCCGTCGATATTGCAGACAACGGGCTGAAGGCGCTGCATGCATGCGAGGGGAACCGCTACGACTTCATCCTCATGGTGAGTCCTCACTACCTAAGCTGCAGTGACCGCAGGTCCCATACTTGGGAGCGCCGCTGACATTGCTGAGATGAGCGGCTTGGAGACGGCAAGACTGATCCGGCAGGCAGCCCCATCGCTGCCCTCAATCAGCCTCACTCACTCAACCCGGTTTACCAGTCCTCCTCACCCCTGGTGCCACTCATGAGGAGTCTATTTTTGAGGCGCCTAAAAAATGGTCCTCCTCACCCAGTGTCACTCATGTCGCCCATTCCCTCTGCCCACTCTCTCCCTCCCCCTCGGACCGCCACATGCCTGACATTGACAGCCTCAAAGCCACGGGACAGAGTCAGTGTCAGAGTCACTGTACTAACCCCAAGTCTCCTCCCCCTTTCCCCCCATCTCTCCCTCCCCCCAGGACTGCCACATGCCTGAGATGGACGGCTTGGAGGCCACAAGACAGATCCGGCAGGCGGAGCAGCTGCTGCCCAGCCGGCCACCCAAGTTCATCGCGGCGCTCACTGCGAGCGCGTTTGACTTCGAGCGCGAAGCGTGCTTCGCTGCTGGCATGAACCACTTTCTGACCAAGCCCATCCGGCCGAAAGACCTGGAGGACCTTGTGATGAAGCTGGTGGAGATGCGGAGATGAGGAGAGAAGAGGAAAAGCGGAGTGAGGGGCCTGTGTGTGAGTATGGTTACATGCTGCTGGCATGAACCACTTTCTGACTAAGCCCATCCGGCCCAAGGATTTGGAGGATATTGTGATGAAGCTGGTAGAAATGAGAAGATGAGGAGAGGGGGTGATGATGATCCTGCACAAGGGTGGGGAGACGAGAGAGGTCTGTGTGTTAGTAGGTGAGTCATGGCCAATCTTTCACCAATGCGAGCCCATCTGATCTGACCCAAGGGCCTAAAAGCTGACCCCAGCAATGGGAGGACGTAGCATGGCATGACAATCGTATGGCATGTGACCAGGTTAACGACACCCGTTTTGTCCAACGTATGCTTGACTGGTGTGCCTTGTTTGTATCTTTAACAAGCTTTCGTTTTCTTCAGGGGTGTTGACAATGACGGATGGAGCCTGCATTGCATACATTTTTCTGTCAGCATTCTATTGTGAATTTACAAAGTGGCCCCTTTTACCACCAGTGGCAGAGCCCTCGTCTTCAGCTGCCTTGTACAGTACAAAGAATGGAAGACGCTGCACGTAATATCCTATCATTCGTGCACCTATACCGTAACTACTTTCGGTAGGTCAGGTCACCTGCCCGAGATTGGTTTTGGGACACCCTTAGGAATCAGGGTAGCATGACGATTCCACCCTGATTTGTAAGGGTTCCAGGTGCAAATTCGCCCCCAAAACACATTTGTACCATTGCAAAATCAGGGTGAAATACCCCTGCTCGACCTTACTCATGAGTCATGATAATTCTATGGAACAAGTGTTTATTGAGGTGTCTCCTAGACGTGCTTTGTGCGTGACACCCGAATGTAAAGAAATGTAATTATTTAGGCTAGCTAGTTTCTATTTTTTTAGCCTTAGTTAGGTCAGTTCTTAGAGGGTACAGCCCTATATTTGTAACCCTCGACATTTCTCCCTAGTTCACTATTCTCTCTACATCCTAAAATGGCATCTAGAGCCAAGTCCCGCCCTCTCCTCACGCTTCCGCCCTAGCACACCCTAGCCTAGCGTGCCTCGCCCCTCACTGCGCGCTCTCGTAGTTTGTCCCCTCCCCGCCCTCTGCTATTTGTCGCGTAGCTCACGCCAGCCGTCGCTGGCCCGCGCCTGCCAGCGCCTTCGTTCGTAGCCGTCCCCCCCTCCTGCCACCCGCTCATAGCCCGCGCTAGCTCGCGTCAGCCCGCCTACTCGCCTGCTCACCAGCCCGCCTGCTCGCCAGCCCGCCTGCTCGCCAGCTCGCCTGCCCGCCTGCCCGCCTGCTCTCTTGCTCGCCTGCCCGCCTACTCGCCTGCTCAACAGCCCGCTTGCTCGCCAGATCACACGCTTGCCTGCTCGCCAGCTCGCCTGCTCTCTAGCCCGCCAGCCCGCCTGCAGCCAGCACCGCCAGCCAGCGCCAGCAGCCAAAAGCGCCAGCAGCCAGCTTGCTGGCTCACCAGCGCTACTAGCGCCAGCAGCCAGCGCCAGCCAACGCTAGCAGCTAGCAACGCCAGCAGCTCGCAACCAGTGGGTACAAGCCATGGAGGCTGAAATATCATCCTACAGATCTGCAGGCACGTACGTCAACGCAGTTCCCCTGCCTGGGGCGAACGTAGTTGATGGCATGTAGATCTACAGGGTGAAGCGCGCACCGGGAGAGCCGCCAAAGTTCAATGCGCGTTACGTGGCAAGAGGTTTCAGTCAGCAAGAGGGTGTGGACTTCATCCAGACCTTCTCCCCAACCCTGAAGATGACTACTCTTCGGGTGCTCCTTCACCTTCGGCACAGTCCCTGTGGATTTGTTCCAGCACGGCGCATGAAGTACAGCGCATGAAGCATGGCGCATGAAGCACGGCGCATGAAGCACGGCGCATGAAGCATGACACAGGAAGCACGGCACATGAAGCACAGCGTGTGAAGCACGGCGCATGAAGCAAGGCGCATGAAGCACGGCGCACGGAGCACGGCGTATGAAGCACGGTGCATGAAGCACGGCGCACGAAGCACGGCACATGAAGCACGGCACATGAAGCACGGCACATGAAGCAAGCCGCATGAAGCATGGCGCATGAAGCACCGCACATGAAGCACAGGACTTGAAGCAGCACGGAAGATGAAGCACGTCGCATGAAGCATGGTGCATGGAGCACGGCACATGGAGCACGGCACATGAAGCAAGGGGCATGAAGCACAGCGCATCAAGCATGGTGCATGAAGCACGGCGCATGAAGCACGGCTCATGAGCAGGCGCATGAAGCACGGCGCATGAAGCACGGCGCATGAAGCACGGCGCATGAAGCACGACACATGAAGCACGGCACATGAAGCAGAGCACAAGAAGCACGGTGCATGAAGCACGGCACAAGAAGCACGTCACATGAAGCATGGCGCATGAAGCACAGCACATGAAGCACATGAAGCACGGCTCATGCAGCACGGTGCATGAAGCACGGCACATGGAGCACGGCGCATAAAGCACGGCACGTGAAGCATGGCAAATGAAGCACGGCGCATGAAGCACCGCAAATGAAGCACGACACATAAAGCACGGCACAGGAAGCACGACACATGAAGCACAGTGCATGAAGCACGACGCATGAAGCACGGGGCATGAAGCTTGGCACATGAAGCACGCCACATGAAGCACGGCAAATGAAGCACGACACATGAAGCACGGCGCATGAAGCACGGCACAAAAAGCTTGGCACATGAAGCACGGCGCATGAAGCACGGCCCATGAAGCACGGCAGATGAAGAAAATGTATGAAGCACGGCGCATGAAGCACAGCAAATGAAGCATGGCGCATGAAGCACGGCACAGGAAGCACAGCACAGGAAGTACGGCGCATGAAGCACGGCTCATGAAGCACGGCGCATGAAGCACGGCGCATGAAGCACGGCGCATGAAGCACGGCACATGAAGCAGAGCACATGAAGCACGGTGCATGAAGCACGGCATAGGAAGCACGTCACATAAAGCACGGCGCATGAAGCACGGCGCATGAAGCATGACCCATGAAGCACGCCACACGAAGCACAGCACATGAAGAAGAGCAAATGAAGCACGGCGCATGAAGCATGGCACAGGAAGAATGGCACATGAAAAAAGACCCATGAAGCAGGGCACCTGAAGCACGGCACATGAAGCACAACACATGAAGCAGGGTGCATGGAGCACGACACATGAAGCACGGCGCATGCAGCACGGCACATGAAGCACGGCGCATGAAGCATGGCACATGAAGCACGCCGCATGAAGCACAACGCATGAAGCACGGCGCATGAAGGTAGGCACATGAAGCACGGGGCATGAAGCAGGGTGCATGAAGCAGGGCACATGAAGCACGGCAAATGAAGCACGGCACGTAATGCACGGCAAATGAAGCACGGCGCATGAAGCATAGCAAATGAAGCATGACACATGAAGCACGGCACAGGAAGCACGACACATGAAGCACAGTGCATGAAGCATGGCGCATGAAGCATGGCGCATGAGGCATTGCGCATGAAGCATGACGCATGAAGCATGGCACATAAAGCACGGCGCATACAGCATGGCACATGAAGCACATCACATGAAGCACGGCACATGACGCACGTCACGTGAAGCATGCCGCATGAAGCACAGCGCATGAAGCACGGCGCATGAAGCTTGGCGCATGAAGCACAGCGCATGAAGCACGGCGCATGAAGCATGGCGCATGAAGCACGGCACAGGAAGCACGGCACATGAAGCATGGTACATGAAGCACGGCACATGAAGCACGGCACACGAAGCATGGCGCATGAGGCACGGCACATGAAGCACGGCGCATGCAGCATGGCACATGAAGCGCGGCACATGAAGCACAGCACATGTAGCACGGCAGATGAAGCATGGCGTATGAAGCACTGCCTATGAAGCACGGCACATCCAGCACAGCGCATGAAGCACGGCACATGAAGCAGAGTGTATGAAGCACGGCGCATAAAGCATGGCGCATGAAGCTTGGCACATGGAGCACGCCACATGAAGCACGGCAAATGAAGCACGACACATGAAGCATGGCGCATGAAGCACGGCACAAAAAGCTTGGCGCATGAAGCACGGCACATGAAGCACGGCCCATGAAGCACGGCAGATGAAGAACAGTGCATGAAGCACGGCGCATGAAGCACGGCGCATGAAGCACGGCGCATGAAGCACGGCACATGAAGCAGAACACATGAAGCACGGCGCATGAAGCACGGCGCATGAAGCACGGCACATGAAGCACGACGCATGAAGCACGGCGCATGAAGCATGGCGCATAAAGCACGCCAGAGAAAGCATAGCACATGAAGCACGCCGCATGAAGCACGGCACAATAAGCATGGCACATGATGCACGGCGCATGAAGCACGGCCCAAGAAGCATGGCACATGAAGCACAGTGCATGAAGCACGGCGCATGAAGCACGACGCATGAAGCATGGCGCATGAAGCACGGCGCATGAAGCACGGAGCATGAAGCACGACGCATGAAGCATGACGCATGAAGCACGCCACAGGAAGCACGCCACATGAAGCACGGCGCATGAAGTACGGCGCATGAAGCACGGCGCATGAAGCACGGCGCATGAAGCACGGCACATGAAGCACGGCACATGAAGCACGGCGCACGACGCACAGCGCATGAATCATGGCACATAAAGCACGCCACAGAAAGCATGGCACATGAAGCACGGCGCATGAAGCACGGCGTATGAAGCATGGCATATGAAGCCTGCCGCATGAAGCACGGCGCATGAAGCACGGCATAGAAAGCACGGCACATGAAGCATGGCACATGAAACATGGCGGATTAAGCATGGCGTATAATTCATGGCACATGAAGCACGGCACATCCAGCACGGTGCATGAAGCAGGGCACATCCAGCACGGTGCATGAAGCACGGCACATGAAGCACAGCGCATGAAGCATGGCGCATGAAGCACGGTGCACGAAGCATGGCGCATGAAGCACGGTGCACGAAGCATGGCGCATGAAGCATGACGCATGAAGCACGCCATAGGAAGCACGGCGCATGAAGCACGGCTCATGAAGCATGTCGCATGAAGCATGGTGCATGAAGAACGGCGCATGAAGCATGGCACATCCAGCACGGCGCATGAAGCATGGTGCATGAAGCACGGCGCATGAAGCACGGCGCATGAAGCACGGCGCATGAAGCACAGCGCATGAAGCATGGCGCATAAAGCACGCCACAGAAACCATGGCACATGAAGCACGCCGCATGCAGCACGGCACAAAAAGCTTGGCACATGAAGCACGGTGCATGAAGCACGGCCCATGAAGCACGGCACATGAAGCACAGTGCATGAAGCATGGCGCATGAAGCATGACGCATGAAGCACGGCACATGAAGCACAGTGGATGAAGCCCGGCGCATGAAGCACGGCGCATGAAGCACGGCGCATGAAGCATGGCGTATGAAGCACGGCGCATGAAGAACGGCGCATGAAGCACGGCACATGAAGCACGGCACACGAAGCACGGCGCATAAAGCACGGCTGCATGAAGCATGGCATATGAAGCCTGCCGCATGATGCACGGCACATGGAGCACGGCATAGGAAGCACGGCACATGAAGCACGGCACATGAAGCACAGTGCATGAAGCATGGCGCATGAAGCACGGCGCATGAAGCATTGCGCATGAAGCATGACGCATGAAGCACGGCACATAAAGCATGGCACATAAAGCACGGCGCATGCAGCATGGCGCATGAAGCACATCACATGAAGCACGGCACATGACGCACCGCACGTGAAGCATGCCGCATGAAGCACAGGGCATGAAGCACGGCGCATGAAGCATTGCGCATGAAGCACGGCACAGGAAGCACGGCACATGAAGCATGGTACATGAAGCACGGCACATGAAGCACGGCACACGAAGCATGGCGCATCAAGCACGGCACATGAAGCACGGCGCATGAAGCACGGCACATGAAGCACGGCAAATGAAGTACGGCGCATGAAGCAGGGCACATGAAGCACGGCAAATGAAGCACGGCACAGGAAGCACAGCACAGGAAGCACGGCACATGAGGCACGGCGCATGAAGCACGGCACATGAAGCACGGCGCATGAAGCTTGGCACATGAAGCACGCCGCATGAAGCACGGCACAAAAAGCTTGGCACATGAAGCACGGCGCATGAAGCACAGCCCATGAAGCACAGCACATGAAGCACAGTGCATGAAGCACGGCGCATAAAGCACGGCGCATGAAGCACGGCGCATGAAGCATTGCGCATGAAGCATGACGCATGAAAGCACGGCACATAAAGCACGGCACATAAAGCACGGCGCATGCAGCATGGCGCATGAAGCACATCACATGAAGCACGGCACATGACGCACCGCACGTGAAGCATGCCGCATGAAGCACAGGGCATGAAGCACGGCGCATGAAGCTTGGCGCATGAAGCACAGCACATGAAGCACGGCGCATGAAGCATTGCGCATGAAGCACGGCACACGAAGCACGGCACATGAAGCATGGTACATGAAGCACGGCACATGAAGCACGGCACACGAAGCATGGCGCATCAAGTAGGGCACATGAAGCACGGCGCATGAAGCACGGCACATGAAGCACGGCAAATGAAGCACAGCGCATGAAGCACGGCACATGAAGCACGGCAAATGAAGCACGGCACAGGAAGCACAGCACAGGAAGCACGGCACATGAGGCACGGCGCATGAAGCACGGCACATGAAGCACGGCGCATGAAGCTTGGCACATGAAGCACGCCGCATGAAGCACAGCACAAGAAGCTTGGCACATGAAGCACGGCGCATGAAGCACAGCCCATGAAACACGGCACATGAAGCACAGTGCATGAAGCACGGCGCATAAAGCACGGCGCATGAAGCACGGCGCATGAAGCATTGCGCATGAAGCATGACGCACGAAGCACCGCACATAAAGCACGGCACATAAAGCACGGCGCATCCAGCATGGCGCATGAAGTACATCACATGAAGCACGGCACATGACGCACGGCACGTGAAGCATAACGCATGAAGCACAGCGCATGAAGCACAGCGCATGAAGCTTGGCGCATGAAGCACAGCACATGAAGCACGGCGCATGAAGCATGGCGCATGAAGCACGGCACAGGAAGCACGGCACATGAAGCATGGTACATGAAGCACGGCACATGAAGCACGGCACACAAAGCATGGCGCATGAAGCACGGCAAATGAAGCACGGCGCATGAAGCACGGCACATGAAGCACGGCAAATGAAGCACAGCACAGGAAGCACAGCACAGGAAGCACGGCGCATGAGGCACGGCGCATGAAGCACGGCATATGAAGCACGGCAAATGAAGCATGGCGCATGAAGCACGGCACATGAAGTACGGAAAATGAAGCACGGCACAGGAAGCACAGCACAGGAAGCACGGCGCATGAGGCACGGCGCATGAAGCACGGCACATGAAGCACGGTGCATGGAGCACGGCACATGGTGCACGGCACATGAAGCACGGGGCATGAAGCACAGCGCATCAAGCATGGTGCATGAAGCACGGCGCATGAAGCACGGTAAATGAAGCACGGCGCATGAAGCACGGTAGATGAAGCACGGCGCATGAAGCACGGCTCATGAGCAGGCGCATGAAGCACGGCGCATGAAGCGCGGCGCATGAAGCACGGCACATGAAGCAGAGCACAAGAAGCACGGTGCATGAAGCACGGCACAAGAAGCACGTCACATGAAGCATGGCGCATGAAGCACAGCACATGAAGCACATGAAGCACGGCGCATGCAGCACGGCGCATGAAGCACGGCACATGAAGCACGGCACGTGAAGCATAACAAATGAAGCACGGCGCATGAAGCACGGCGCATGAAGCACGGCAAATGAAGCACGACACATAAAGCACGGCACAGGAAGCACGACACATGAAATACAGTGCATGAAGCACGGCGCATGAAGCACGGCGCATGAAGCTTGGCACATGAAGCACGCTACATGAAGCACGGCAAATGAAGCACGACACATGAAGCACAGCGCATGAAGCACGGCACAAAAAGCTTGGCACATGAAGCACGGCGCATGAAGCACGGCCCATGAAGCACGGCAGATGAAGAAAATGTATGAAGCACGGCGCATGAAGCACAGCAAATGAAGCACGGCGCATGAAGCACGGCACAGGAAGCACAGCACAGGAAGCACGGCGCATGAAGCACGGCTCATGAAGCACGGCGCATGAAGCACGGCGCATGAAGCACGGCACATGACGCAGAGCACATGAAGCACGGTGCATGAAGCACGGCACAGGAAGCACGTTACATGAAGCACGGCGCATGAAGCGCGGCGCATGAAGCATGACCCATGAAGCACGCCACATAAAGCACAGCACATGAAGAAGAGCAAATGAAGCACGGCGCATGAAGCATGGCACAGGAAGAACGGCACATGAAACATGACCCATGAAGCAGGGCACCTGAAGCACGGCACATGAAGCACAACACATGAAGCAGGGTGCATGAAGCACGACACATGAAGCACGGCGCATGCAGCACGGCACATGAAGCACGGCGCATGAAGCATGGCACATGAAGCACGCCGCATGAAGCACAGCGCATGAAGCACGGCGCATGAAGGTAGGCACATGAAGCACGGCGCATGAAGCAGGGTGCATGAAGCAGGGCACATGAAGCACGGCAAATGAAGCACGGCACGTAATGCACGGCAAATGAAGCACGGCGCATGAAGCATAGCAAATGAAGCATGACACATGAAGCACGGCACAGGAAGCACGACACATGAAGCACAGTGCATGAAGCATGGCGCATGAAGCATGGCGCATGAGGCATTGCGCATGAAGCATGACGCATGAAGCATGGCACATAAAGCACGGCGCATACAGCATGGCACATGAAGCACATCACATGAAGCACGGCACATGACGCACGTCACGTGAAGCATGCCGCATGAAGCACAGCGCATGAAGCACGGCGCATGAAGCTTGGCGCATGAAGCACAGCACATGAAGCACGGCGCATGAAGCATGGCGCATGAAGCACGGCACAGGAAGCACGGCACATGAAGCATGGTACATGAAGCACGGCACATGAAGCACGGCACACGAAGCATGGCGCATGAAGCACGGCACATGAAGCACGGCGCATGCAGCATGGCACATGAAGCGCGGCACATGAAGCACAGCACATGTAGCACGGCAGATGAAGCATGGCGTATGAAGCACTGCCTATGAAGCACAGCACATCCAGCACAGCGCATGAAGCACGGCACATGAAGCAGAGTGTATGAAGCACGGCGCATGAAGCACGGGGTATGAAGCACGGCACATGAAGCATGCCACAGGAAGCACGTCACATGAAGCAGGGCGCATGAAACATGGCGCATGAAGCATGGCGCATGAAGTACGGTGCATGAAGTACGGGGCACGAAGCACAGCACATGAAGCGCGGCACATGAAGCACAGCACATGAGGCACGGCACATGAAGTAAGGCACATGAAGCATGGCGCATGAAGCACGGCGCATAATGCACGGCACATGAAGCACGGCACATGAAGCTGTTGTGTGATGTCATCATATGCTATCACATTCTGTCTGCCTCCCATCCCTTGTTTCAATTCGCATGTATGGTTTGACTGTGTGTGAAAGAATTTGTGTGGTGTGTGTTCTGGATTTTGGGATTGTGTTTTGTGTTATTTTGTCTGAGCAGGTATTTGTGATGATAGATCTTGAGAATATCTTTCTGACGCAACAAGAATCGCTTCAATCAGAGCAAGAACGCGAACGCTATGAAGATTCAAAGTTCATGAGCTTGCGTTACAATTGCGGCGGTTACAAAGTGAAGTTGTGGGGTGACTCTATATGGAGTTGGGACCTTTGGGGTTGGGAAATTTGTCACTCTACTGTAACAACTGCAAATTGGTTGGGAAAAACCAAGCTAGGTTGGCAAGGGTGGCCAACTTAGATGGATTGGTTGGGAAGGGACAAATGTCAAAGTTGGGGTTCCTATAGGGAGGGAAACTTTGTGCTTATGGGGTTTCCTTGGTTGGGGACTCTCTTAGGACATTCTCTCTCATCCCTCTCTTCTATCCCAACCTTTCTCTTGCTCCTCTAATTCCTTGTGAGATTCTTGAACTTTGATTGAACTTTTGAGATTGAGTTAAGTTCTCCTCCTACAGCTTACCCCCCAGTGCATCGAAAGACATAGCGTCGCGAATACTCCATCAATCAATGTGACTCAAATTGACAACGGTATCTAAGATTACAAGCTACAACATAGCCGAGTTTCGCGACATTCCAACGGCTATTGTTTTGTCGACGTCGTTTCTTGTGAAGACGACGTTTCTGTCCAGAATTTTGGATTTATATTTTGAGTAATTCTAGCTCCTAAGTTCACCTAGACTCCGTCCTTAATACCAACAAGTGGTATCAGAGCGATATTAAGGACATTGAGAGGAGTCTACAGAAGTGTGAAGAACCTTCTAGACCCACCATGGCCTGTGGGTGTGCGTAAGTGGTGTTCTAAAGGTTGGATGTGTCTTCCGCTAAGGGGAAACTCTGCCGAAATTTCGTGGACGCCGACACTTGTGAATATATCGAGGGAGCTGAGTGTGGACAGCAAAGGGGAGCTGAAATTCGTCATTTTTCAAGGAGAAGATGAATGAGAGAGGAGGAGATGCTAATGGAAGAGGAGCTGTACCTGAGAAGACAAGTGAGCCACCGCCATCAAAAGTTGAAGCTTTGGATGGCTCCAACTACGAGGAATGGAGCGGGCGGATGAGGAGTGCCTTCAAACACTACAAGCTCCTGAAGATTGCTGTTGGGGAGGAGAAGATGCTAGAGGAAGGCGAAGCACGCGAACGGTGGATTGAGAAAAGCGCGGTGCATGTCGACCTCATCCTTCAATCGGTCAACAAGGAGATGTTCGAGCACATCAAGGATCTTGTGGAAGCGGATGATTTTGATCCAAGGGCGTGGAAACTACTACGCGATGTGATTCAGCCCAACACTCTCCCGATGGTGACTGTGCTCAAGAAGGAACTTGCTGCCATCTCCATGCGACCAGGGGACGATGTGAAGCCGGTCCTTGACAAGATCAAGGACACCTATGCAAGGATGGCAGCAGCGGGCAGCAGTGTATCTCAGCTGCAGCAATGCACCAAGATCATCTCGGTGTTGGACAACCCTTGGGACAACCTCATCCCCACCCTTAACTCTCAGCAAGATCAATGGACACCTGAGTGGCTAAGGCGGCAGATTCTGCAGGAGGACTTCCGCAGACGCCATGTGGGAGGTGGTGCTTTCACTAAGACTGTTGAGGGGTATGGAGCTGCAGGGCGCGACAGAGGAAGAGGGGGTTGGAGAGGCCGAGGCCGTGGGAGGAGCTTTGGCAGAGGTAGAGGCCGAGGTGACTATAATGAGGGGCATGGGAGCTCTAGTGGCAGCAGCGTCAGGTGCTTTGCTCCCTGTCATTGGTGTTGGGAATGCCAAGGTTAAGGGAGCTAATGGGGAACTTGTGGGGCTTGGGAATGTTCTGCTGGTTGAAGGTCTGTCTGCTAACCTTCTCTCTGTGCGGCGGCTGCAGAAGAGTAAGGCCGAAGTGACCTTTGGACCAACCAGCTGCCGTGCTAAGCTTGGGAAGAAGATGCTGTGGATTCTGGAAGAGGAGACCAGTTGCATCAAGGACCTGTGGCAGCTGCCCATCATCCCTTGGAATGGGAAGACTCCAACAGCTGCAACGGCAGCAGTAGCAAAGGCAACAGCAAGAGGAGATGCAACTGCACCAACTGATGGGGTCCTGGAAGCAGTCAAGAAACACAACAGCATACACATGGGGAGGTGCTTGCTGGTGTGGATGCAAGCGCGGCATGGGCTAAGGCTTCATCTAGGAGTGGTGAGGCCGATTGGGAGACATGGCATGAGAGGCTGTGTCATGTGAACTTCCCTATGCTGCAGAAGTTGGTGAAGGATGGGAGCCTGAAAGGATTGGAGGTCAAGGGGGGAGTGAAGGAGATTGGGAGCTGCCCTACATGCTTGGAGACCAAGTTCTCCAAGTTCCCCTTCAACAGCACTACAGGACCAGCCAAGACCCCACTTGCACTTGTGCACATGGATGTGGTGGGGCCCGCTATTTCTTGACAATTGTGGATGATTACACTCGGGCAGTGTGGGTTTACCCTTTGAAGAGCAAGGGGGAGGTGGCAGCGGCTATCTTTAAGGAGTGGATGCCTAGAGCTCAGAGGGAATGCAGACACAAGGTGAAGGTGATCCGCAGTGACAATGGTGGGGAGTTCATTGGAGCTGATTTTGAGGGGGAGTTGAAGAGGAAGGGGATCCAACATCAACTGACAGTACCCTACAACCCGCAGCAGAATGGCGTGGCTGAGACGTTCAACAGGACCCTGCAGAAGGGGGCACGCACTCTCCTTGGGCGTGCAGGGCTGCCTAATCCGTTTTGGGTGTCTGCACTAAGGCAGGTCGCCCTTGTGAAGAACAGGGTGCAGGCTACAGTTAGGGATAAGGAGTGGATCCCATATGTCAAGTGGTATGGGAGTGCTCCAGCTGTGAACATGATGAGGGCATTTGGGTGCAAGGTGGTGTTTCATGTGCCCAAGGAGAAAAGGGGGAAGTTGGAGGCTTCTGGAAGATGGGGTGTGCACTTGGAGATTGCAAATGATCACAAGGGGTGGCTGCTATAGGACTTGACCACCCAGAAGCTGACAGTATCAAGGGATGTAAAGTTTCTTGAGTTCCTGTACTACAAGGAATGGAAGCAGCAGCAACAGAAGCTTCCATCTACACCGCTCATTGTGGAGGCAGATGAAGTGCAGCGGCCTTCAAGACAGGTGGAGGTTGCAGTGTCTGAGGAGGAGATGTCTGGGGTGACTGAGGAAGGGGGAGCAGCTGAAATGGAGCAGCAGCAGCAGCAGCATGAGTCTCCACCTCGAGTTCCACACCCGTCTGAGCGACCTAGGAGGGATGTGCGTCCTCCGGTGAGGCTGACCTATGGGGGAAGAGGCAAGCCGAATGTGGTGCATGCTGGGAGTGTGGTTGAGCAGATTGAGGAAGATGAGATCGCTCACTGCTACTGGGCACCAATCCCTGAGCCCAAGACTCGAGAGGAGGCCTTGAATGGACCAAATGGGGAGAAGTGGAAGACGAGTGAGGATGAGGAGTTCGGGTCCCTGATTGAGAACGAGACATGGGACCTGTGTGACTTGCCTCTTGGGAAGAAGGCAATCACTTCCAAGATGATCTACAGGCACAAGTATGGACCTGAAGGGGAGCTGACCTGCTACAAGTCTAGCCTTGTGGCACGGGGGTTTCAGCAGACAACGGGGAAGGACTATGATGAGGTGTTTTCTCTTGTGGGGAAAGGAACAACATTGAGGGTGCTGTTGGCGATAGCTGCACCCCTGGGATGGAAGATACGGCAGATGGACATTGTGACTGCCTTTCTGAATGGGATCATTCTGGAGGAGGTGTACATGAAGCATCCAGAGGGGCTTGATGATGGGAGCGGCACGGTCTGCAGGCTGAAGAAGGCCATCTATGGCCTTAAGTAGGCGCCTCGTGCATGGTATCACAAGTTGGAGGAGGCGCTGTTGGCTGGGGGTTTCAAGAAGAGTGAGTGTGACCCCAGCCTGTTCCTGCTGCAGGAGAAGGATGAAATCCTCATGCTCTTGGTGTATGTGGATGATATCCGTCTCTTTTCTGCATCAACCGCTTTGCTGGATAGCGCAAAGCAGATGCTGGAGATGCAGTTCAAGTGTTCCAAGATGGGTGAGGTGAAGTACTACCTGGGGATGCATGTGGAGAGAGATGTGGAAAAAGGTGTGCTGAGTTTGCACCAGAGGAAGTACTGTGAGGGGCTGGCTGAGAAGTATGGGCTGCAAGATGGGGGAAAGCCAGCAACACCACTACCTTCGGGGTTTACTGTGGAGCCATGTGCTGATGAGGAGGTAGTGCGTGAGAGTGACAGGAAGCTATTTCATTCGATGGTTGGGTCGCTGAGTTATGCTGCAAATCATACACGGCCTGACATTGCATTTGCTACATCACGGTTGGCTAGTGTGGTCTCACGCCCTAGTCATGAGCAGCAGGAAGCGGCCAAGAGGTTGGTTCGCTATGTGAGCGCTACGGCATTAGTGGGATTAGAGTACAGTGGAGTGAGGCAGCGGTTGCAGAGAGGTGCTGCAGATGTGAAGAGTGGAGAGATGCTCTTGAGTTGCTATACTGACGCTAGCTTCAACTTGGTGAAAGTGGATGGCACTAGCATTGGGGGTTATGTGTGCTTGCTGGGAGGTGCTGCTGTGAGCTGGCGTAGCAAGAAGCAAAATGAGGTGGGATTGTCCTCATGTGAGACTGAGTACATGGCCTTACACCATGGGGCCAAGGAATTGGTGTGGCTAAGATGCTTGTTGGAGGAGTTGGGAGTTGGTCAGAAGGAGCCGACGGTGATCTTTTGTGACAATGAGTCTGCTTTGAAGCTCGCCAAGAATGCTTGTCTGCATGGGCTAACAAAACACATAAGGCCTAAGTGGCATTGGGTGAGGAGACTCCTGGATAAGGAGGTGTGGCTGGAGATAGTAAAGACCCATCAGCAGGCAGCAGATATTTTCACTAAGCGTCTGGCGGACGCGGATCATTGGAAGGGCATGAAGCTTGCTGGGATGAGTGTGCATTGAGTATGCATGCTTGAGATGTTGGTATGGTGGATGATGGTTGGCAGCCAGAGGGGGAGATTGTTGTGTGATATCATCATATGCAATCACATTCTGTCTGCCTCCCATCCCTTATTTCAATTCGCATGTATGGTTTGACTGTGTGTGAAAGAATTTGTGTGGTGTGTGTTCTGGATTTTGGGAATGTGTTTTGTGTTATTTTGTCTGAGCAGGTATTTGTGATGATAGATCTTGAGAATATCTTTCTAACGCAACAAGAATCGCTTCGATCGGAGCAAGAACGCGAAAGCTATGAAGATTCAAAGTTCATGAGCTTGCGTTACAATTGCGGCGGTTAGAAAGTGAAGTTGTGGGGTGACTCTATATGGAGTTGGGACCTTTGGGGTTGGGAAATTTGTCACTCTACTGTAACAGCTGCAAATTGGTTGGGAACAACCAAGCTAGGTTGGCAAGGGTGGCCAACTTGGATGGATTGGTTGGGAAGGGACAAATGTCAAAGTTGGGGTTCCTATAGGGAGGGAAAGTTTGTGCTTATGGGGTTTCCTTGGTTGGGGACTCTCTTAGAACATTCCCTCTCATCCCTCTCTTCTATCCCAACATTTCTCTTGCTCCTCTAATTCCTTGTGAGATTCTTGAACTTTGATTGAACTTTTGAGATTGAGTTAAGTTCTCCACCTACAGCTTACCCCCCAGTGCATCAAAAGACATAGCGTCGCGAATACTCCATCAATCAACGTGATTCAAATTGACAACGGTAGCTAAGATTACAAGCTACAAGCTACAGCTATTGTTTTGTCGACGTCGTTTCTTGTGAAGACGATTTTTCTGTCCAGAATTTCGGATATATATTTTGAGTAATTCTAGCTCCTAAGTTCACCTAGACTCCGTCCTTAATACCAACAGAAGCACGGCAAAGGAAGCACGGCACATGAAGCACAGCACATAAAGGACGGCGCATGAAGCATGGCACATGAAGCACGGCGCATGAAGCACAGCCATTGAAGCACGGCATAGGAATCATAGCACATGAAGCATGGCACATGAAGCACAGCACACGAAGCACGTCACATGAAGCATGGCACATGAAGCACGGCACATGAAGCACGGCGCATGAAGCACGGCCCATGGAGCACGGCACATGAAGCACAGCACATGAAGCACGGCACATGAAGCACGGCACATGGAGCACAGCAGATGAAGCACGGCGTATAAAGCACTGCGTATGAAGCATGGCACATCCAGCACTGCGTATGAAGCACGACACATCCAGCACAGCGCATGAAGCACGGCACATGAAGCACGGCGCATGAAGCACCGCCCATGAAGCACGGCGCATGAAGCACGGGGCATGAAGCATGGCACATGAAGCATGGCACATGAAGCACAGTGCATGAAGCACGGCCCATGAAGCAGGGCGCATGAAGCACGGCATGAAGAACAACGCATGAAGCACGGTGCATGAAGCACGGCACAGGAAGCACGGCACATGAATAACGGCGCATGAAACATGGCGCATGAAGCACGACGCATGAAGCACGGCACATGAAACATGGCGCATGAGGCACGGCACATGAAGCATGGCGCATGAAGCTGTTAGAAATAGATTGCAAATCCCACTTTTGTATTTGTACTTTTATATCATAGTTTCGGTTAGGAATGTTCTAGTAGGTTGGGGTGTAGTCACAAATCCCAACCTCACCCAATTGCGATCCCCTCAATCTCCAATTACCCAAGTGGAGATCTCTATGGGGATTCCTTTCGATTCCCCCTTCATCCATTTTCTCTCACCTTGCCATGTACTTATAGAGCCTTGAGCTCCTTACCTAATTAATCATTTCAGCTCTATATCTTATATGGTATCAGAGTGACCTATTCACACATGCAGATCAAGGTCTTAATCTTGACGTGCTCGCGTTACGCCCACCTTATCGTCGCGGCATTCTTCTCGAGTCATCGGAATTTTCGACGTGCTCCACCCTGCATTTGCGCCTCTCATCGTTGATTTCCTCCTCGGTTCTCCTTGGTCGAATCTCAATTTTGACCATCTCTTCAAACTCGTTTCCGAGTTTCCCATCGGACCTCGCCAGAATAGGCAAACTCCCCCCTCGCGGAATCACCTCCACGAAGGTCTCGCGTCAAGCAAGAGCAGGTACACAGGTGGAAGCGGAGCGGAGCTGGTTGCGGAGCTGTGTAGCTAGGGAACAGGGCCTGGGGGTGTGTGGGTCCTGGGTTAGACATAGTTTCAGATTCAGTTTCAAGTCGACGTTTAAGCAAATTTCCGCCGACGCCACTTCCTTCTTAGCGGCATTTCGACGAAGCCGCCGTAGTGATTTTCAGCAATTTTTGTCGACCGATTTCCAGAATTGCCACGCTGCGCAACGAAGTTCCTATCGGTGACTTAAGAGCGTCTCTTCAATGGCTTACTCAACCCACTTCAGTCGCCCATCCGATCCCGCTCCTTCGTCTCGAGCCGGACGGTACATGCTCCAACTACAAGGCTTGGCGCTATGGTGTGGACAAGCACCTCCTCAGTCGCGAGGTGAAGGGGCTCGAGCTCACCAACGTCCTTCTTAACATCGGTGATGGCAAAGAGCCTCCTATACCCGAGAGGTCGGTCGATCCAGCTTATGCCGCCGCCGAAGCAGTTTATGCTGCTACACAGCTCAAGTACAAGAATTGGGAGAAGGCTGATGGCGCGGTCATTAGTGTCTTCATGTGCACCACTCCTCCCGAACTCGTCGAAACCTACCACAACTACCCGTCTGCCAACGCCATTTGGCTCTACCTCGAAGACTGCTTCCTGAACAAGATTGAAGTGGGAGTTGCTATACTCATCCTTATTATGTTCCAAGTGCGGCTCGAGGACTCGCCAGGCATGGAGGACTATGTCACCAAGGTGTAGTCCATTCATGGTGAACTCAAGCAGTTGGGGATAGTCTTCCCCGAGTAAGCCCCTGCAGCCACTCTCCTAGTCGACCTCACTCCGGAATACAAAGTCACACGCAAGATGCTCTCGTGCCTTGCTCTTGCGGACCTCACATTTGCCAAGGTCTCATCCGCGCTCGTTTCTATCAAAAGGACAACAACACTCAAGCCAAGGCCAATGCAATCCGTGCTCCCGTGCCTCAGGCCTATGCCGCTTCGCCACCATTCCAGCGCAACCGCTTCCCCCCGTGTCCCTACATCATCAAGCACGTCCCTCATGCCGGCCAGGTGTGTGGCGGCACCAATCACGCACTCGCCTCCTGCTTCAAGAAGAAGGATGATGAGTGGTATGCCGTCAATGGGACCGCCTCGAAGCCGACAAGCTGGATGGTCAATCGTGCTCCTCGCAAGGCCAATCAAGTCAAAGCACAGGAATCCATGCAGGCTGCTGTGTCTCCCCCTGCTGATGTGCGCCTTAACATGTTGTTCCCTGGCACTGCCATGATTAATGAGACAATTTTGCAGTGTCCTGTCTCACAAAGCACCTCAGCCACAATAGAGTTCACCCTTGACACAGTTCTCAAGAAAGAACACTCCTTCAAGCCATACGAGACACCAATCCCTCTACTAGGAGCAGACTTTAGTTTCACAACATATGCCAAGGGCTCCTCCACAGTTCCGTGCCCAGCTTTCCCTTCGGCCAATGTTACCGCATGTGTGTTCCCACACTACGCCACAATCTCGTGGCCCAACACTAGCTCCAACCGGCAGGCGTCACCACGATCTTCCCAGCACACTCGGATCACTGTGACTACCTAAGTCCAACAAGCTCCTAGCATGCTTCACACCCAACAGCAGCAAGCTCTACATGCTGCGTTCACCTGCACCTCTCGTCGCTCTCTCCCAAGCACACGCTGCCAGCACCACTCTGTGTTCCTATCGCAACTGCGCCAATCCAACCATCCTCTACCACCATCGCTTGGGTCACCCCAACTTCCGTACGCTTGCCGACATCGCTTCCAAGAAACTTCTTCTTGGCCTCCCGTCGGCGCTTCCTCCACCAACAGACTCACTTGCACCCACCTGCCTGGACTGCACCAAGAGCAAGCTCAGGCAGCAGCCGCACCCTTCCTCCCCATTCATCGCACCTAATCCGTTGGACCTAGTGCACATGGATGTCTAGGGCCCAGCTCCGGTCGCATCCCGAGGCGGTCATTGGTACTTTATTACATTGGTTGATTACCACTCACGGTATGTTTCCGTGCACCTCCTGTATACCAAGGCGGAGGCACCTGACCTCATCATGGCATGGGTGCGCAGGCTCAAGTCACGTTCAGCACTCCTCTGAAGTGCCTCCATTCTGATGGCGGGGGAGAATTTTGCAATGGCAAACTCGATAAATTTTGCACAGCCCAAGGGATTCGGCAAACCTTCAAGCTCCTCGAAAGCCCGCAGCAGAACGTCATTGCAGAGGGCTGCTACCACACCTTGGTTCAGATCGCTCGCTGCCTTCTCAGTCCTACCAACGCACCACAGTCACTCTGGGGATATCCTCTCTTCCATGCAGCATTCCTCTACACTCTTTATCTGCATCCCCCCTGGCCCGACACAACACCTACCACTCTCTGGCTTGGGGTTATGCCTTCCGCCCGCTCTCTACGCGTCTGGGGGTGTACTACGTATGTGTAGCTCAGCTCCCACATGCGCAAGAAGCAAGGTGGCAAGCTTGGTCCCAAAACCCAGACCTTTATGTACCTGGGGCACAACTCTGACTCCCCAGACTATTTATTCCTCCATCCCATCACCGGACAGCTGATTCGCAGCTGTGATGCCATCTTCGATGAGACACGCCCCTTCCACTCTGCGACCATGAGCGAGCCTCCTCCACCTCCCTAGACGCTTGTATGGGCAGATTTTGATGCCCCACCTCCGGCCGCTACCCCTCCTCCGGGGCCTTCTCCATCCGGCGTGTCTCACCCGGCCTCCCCGGTATCCTCCGCAGCGGCACCTCCTCCTACTCCGCCCCCACTTAGAGATCCCGTCGTTGCATGATGCGCGGAGGAGTGGCTCTACAATTTGGTTGAGACGCTCGGTCTGTCCGTCTGTCTGCGGATGGTAGGCGGATGACATGCCGATTTTGGTCCCGAGCAGAGACATCAGTTCCTTCCAAAACTTGCTGGTGAACTTGGGGACTCGGTCGGAGATGAATGTGGTTGGAATGCCATGATGGAAGATGATGTAGCGAACAAATAGTTGTGTGTCGGGATGAAGTGTCCCATTTAGGAGAATTTGTCGATGACGACGAGGATTGCGCCATGACCGCTTGTGGTAGTTGGTAACCTGGTGATGAAGTCCAGGCTCATTACTTGCCATGGTTGTTCTGGGACAGGAAGAGGCTGTAGCAGTCCTGCCTTTTTTTGTTTTTTATCTTTATCCGCTGACATGTAGTGCACGAGGTGATGAATTTCTGTATGTCGTCTGCCATGTGGGGCCAGTAATATTGCTTTGCAATATTGGTGAGCGTCTTGTTGCTACCGAAGTGTTCTGCATATAGGACATTGTGGTATTCTTCTAGTAGTATCTCGCGCAAAGGAGGGTAATTGGGTACCCAGATTTTGGTTGATCCTTTCCGATACGTGATGTCACTGTCCCACTATAGCAGGTGTTGCTTTTCTGCCAAGTGAATTTCGGGGTCAATGGTGTACCCGCGTGTGAAGAGTCTCTTGAGTAGTGAGTTCATCCCTTCGTCCTGGATAGCGGCAACGTCTGCAGGCCGGATAAGAGCGTCTGCTTTGTTCTTGTGGCCGGGCGCTTGTATACGATATCGTAGTGGAAGTGCATCTCAAGGAAGTCAATCCACCACACCTGCCACATGGAGAGGTTTGGTTGTCTTCAAATATTTCAGGCTGCAGTGGTCGGTGCAGACGGTTGTTTTTTCTTCCTTCGAGATAACATCTCCACATTTTGAAGGCGATGATAATAGCGATGGCCTCCTTGTCGTGTATCAGATACTTTAGTTCTGCCCCGTGTAATTTCTTGATGAGGTAGGCGATTGGTTGCCGTCCATTCCCCTAGTCTTGAATCAAGTCTGCTCCCACTGCCTGGTCACTAGCGTCAGCTTCAATAACGTAGTCGCGTTCGGGGTCTGGCAAGATGAGTACAGGTGCGGACGTGAGTGCTTATTTAAGCTGCTCCACGACTTCCTAATGTTCTGGTTCCCACTTATGGGGCGTGTTCTTCTTCAGCAAATTCGTGAGTGGTGTTGCGATTTTTGCGTACTATGGCACGAACTTGTTATAATAGTTAGCGTAGCCTAGGAACGGCTGCAACTCCTTCACGTTCTCGGGTGTCTTCCACGTGCGTACGGCTTCGATTTTCTTGGGGTCGACGTGAACTCCTTGAGCGCTCACCATGTGTCCAAGGAATTGGATCTTCTCGAGGGCGAATTCGCTCCTGGATACAGTAATTTGATGCAGAATCGTTCTCGTAGAAGAATGTCGAAGACGCGTCGCAGGTGTTCGACGTGCTGCTTCATGTCGCGCGAAGAGGTGAGGAATAGACCCTTCTAGAAATAGAATCACTATGCGTATAGCCACGCGAGGCTATTGGCTTTAAGGGGTTATGGCAGGATTACGCTAGATATAGCGCGCCAGTACATTCCGAGCCTGGTCGGTGATATAATTATAATAATAGAATAAACCAAATGATAATGGAAAATGAGGAATAGGAATCCAAATGAGATGAGAGAAATACCAAATGAATCTGGAGAAAAAGGAGAACGAGATAGAGGAGAATGGTGGAAATGAGGAATAAGTGTAACGGGGTCGTACTCTCACAGTCCCATTGCTTGCCACACTACCTTTTCCTATTGCTTTGCCGCACTGCCTTGCCCCACTGCCCTGGGGCACTGCCTTGCACCGTTGCCTTGCCCGAGTGCCTTGTCAAACTGCCTTGCCCGACTGACTTGTCGCACTTCCTTGCCCCACTGCCTTGCCCCATTGCCTTGCCGGACTGCCTTGCCCCACTGCTTTGCCCCACCGCTTTGCCCCACTTCCTTGCCGCACTGCCTTGCCCCAATTCCTTCCCCGACTGCCTTGCCCCGATTCCTTCCCCGACTGCCTTGCCCTACTAGCCACCAGATCGAATTGTGTTGAGGAAAAGTTGCACTATCGATCGATTCAGGGTGCTTTGATACTTACAATTAACATCAGGTAACCAAGTTTATCCTGTCCGTAGGGAATAGACACATGAATAATATATACTCGCCCTGCATATAGTCACACGAGGCTATTAGCTTTCAGGGATTACGACATTATTACACTAGATAGCGCAAGCCAATAGATCTTGATCCTGGTTTGTGATAGAATTGTAATAAAAGGATGAGACAAAGGATCATGGGAAATGGAGAATAGAAAACCAAATAAGACGAGATGAATACTAACAATAATCAGATGGAGAAGAGATAAAGAAAACATAAAGAAATGGAACGGGGTCGTACCCTCATAACACTGCCTTGCTGGACTGCCTTGCCCCACTACCTTGCCCCTCTACATATGCAACCAGCTCGCCTGGTCCCTGCTGCAGGGCATTGGCCCGTCCATGCAAAGACTCGGTGGTGCTGAGGAGGATACTGGTCCGCATCACACGTGTGTCCTTCCTCCCTTTGATTTCCTTCCTCTCACCACCTTGTCATCTTCCATCCACCATGTCATCCCATCCCAGGTTTGTCATCTAGTCCCCACTCCTAGTGGGCTGCGTTGTCTCCATCATAGCAGACAGACCTTCCCGCCTCTCCCTTTGCTCTGCGTCCCCCTGTGATGAGTTTTTCCATAGTGCATGCACAGGGCCTAGCACATGTGTACGTGTAGACAAATGCTAGCATGCACATATGTGGCTATGCAGTATATGTCGCTGCCATATCACTGTGTCCCACCTCTCTCCCTCACCTCCCCCTTCATCATTCACCTGCCTCCTCGTCTCTCCCAGTTGTTGCTCTCTTATTCCACTCTCTCCCCATGCCCGCCTTTCGATATTCATCAATCCCCTCCCCGTCCCTATCGCCTTCACTCATGCAACATCGTCACATTCCTGGCGGACTACTTTTGACACCATGCTCTAGCGTGTGTGTAAGGAGTCAGCACATGTGTGAGGAGTCAGCACGTGTGTGAGGAGTTCGTACGCATGTGAGGAGTCAGCACACACTGAGATATGCACACACACAGACATGCACAAGCACAGACATGCAAACACAAAGACATGCACACACACATATACACACACACACACACACACACACACACACACACGTGTACACACACACATATGCACAAACACACACACACACACACACACACACACACACACACACACACACACACACACACACACACACACACACACACGTGCGCACGCGCGCACACACATACGCATCCTCCTCACACATGTTCACATACAGACGCACTAATTCCCACGTTTGATATCCTCCTCCAACGCTTTGTATTCTCCGTTGCATTTTCAGCAGCCCCCATCCTATCCGTCCCACCCTCTTCCACCCTCCTCCACTCCCGCCCATCGCATGCGGCACCCCCACCCCTCATCATGGAAGGGTCAAGAAGGAATGTGCGTCAATTCTCGTCGAGACAGGCTACGCTGGCACATCATGGGCCATGGCTTCAAGGCAGCATTGTTGATGCGTGTTGCGCACTCTGATTGGTTTTTTTCCCTTGTGAATGTGTGACAATGCATATGCGTCTTCAACATAGGGGCCTTATTGTCTAAAATACAATCAGGTGCAATCAACAAGACATCTTGTCTCTGGAGAGGTTTGTGAAACATGCACACTATACGGCAATCTAAGTGAGTGATATGCACATCCCATAACCCATTGCCTTATGTAAAACACGCCTATAATTATACCCTAAAAAAAAGTGGCAGCATTTGTGCTACCACTCGAGGTGCTTTGTCTAGAGGAATATGGTACGATAGTTGCAACTGTTTATGATTTCAACAAAGTAGTTCATTTGCATAAATGTTAAATAACTTCTACTACGACCATTCATGCTGTTATTCGTAGGTGTTGTTCACCTTGTAGGCACTTGCTAATCACCCCGTTTCTGTATTTGCCAGGCCAAAGCCCGTAGGGTGCTATAGCCAATATTGAGTTCATGTGAGGGGAATGTTACTGAGGGCGTGTCTCGCGCGTGCATTGTGCACCAGTACGAGGCTTTAAAAACAAGACTAGAGGTTGTGTACCAAAAAGTGAAAACGCATAGGCCCATCTCTCACCATGAAGAAAGCTTCCCTGTTCGCGCTGACGACTTTTTGTTATGTGCTTGCGAGTGTCGTTCGGGACTGGCGAAACTACGTGAGCGTTTGGGATCCAATGGCCAGCTGTATTTGTTTATGCTGTTCAAATGTTTTTGGTACTGTATGTACGTGTCTGTTTACAGGGTGAGCCACGCCCCACGCAAGTCAATTTAAGGTGTGTTGTAAGGAATTTTCATTCCTTACAGAGCTGTACTGCTTATCGGGTACACTCAGTCGGGGCGCAGCCGAATCTTAACCTGTGGCAGATTCGATGGTTGGATTATCTAGAGTCGAATTTCACGTACCGGATCACGTACAAGAAGGGTGCCAACAATATTGCTAACGCCCTCTTCAGACATCTGCCCTGAGAGCTGCCGTACTAATTGCCCAGACAACCCTGTTGCTAGGCGGACTATTCACCCACGGATATTCGACCGACCCCTTTTTCGTAAATGACGCCCATCAGCATGGTACGACTTCGCGAGGTGCCTACAACGTAAGATTGGGAACCGATCGAATTTGGGTCCAGAGCTATTGTCTACTTCACGGATTATTAATTCAAGAAGTCCAAGATTTGAATTTATCGGGACATTGCGAGGTTGACAAAACTATGAAGGCACTGGAACGGTACTATTACTGGCCTGACATGATGACGGACATGCAGAGATACGTGGCTGTGTTTCCAATTTGCTGGACCATGAAGTCATCACGCCAGTGGCCAATAGGACAGTTGCAGCCTCTCGAGCCACCCCGATGACCCTGGTAACACGTAACAATGGATTTTGTCACGGGCCTGCCGGCTGTACCGAGCAGAAACGATGCGGTTCTGGTTGTCATCGAATGACTCATGAAGATGGCTCATTTCGCACCATGTCGTACGACAATCACACCCGAAGAAACTGATTGCCTGTTCATCTCGACTGGCGTCCACCTTCATGGTATCCCTTTTGCGATCATTAGTGACAGGGATACGAAATATACATCAAAGTTTTGGCAGAATACGTGGGCTCGATACGGCTTGCGACTACAATTTTCGTCTGTGTATCACCCCCAAACGGACGACCAGACGGAGCGGGCCAATCAGACGATGGAGCAGCTGATTCGTACGAACTGCCCGGATACGCACACGCGGGAGGACGCGCTACCCATGTTGGAATTTTCGTACAACAATGCGCCCGCAGCCATGACTAATTACTCTCCATTTTATCTTAATTATGGGATGGACCCAACAGTTACCGTCTCCACCAAAGTTGAAAGGCAAGTTCCAAGATCGCAGCAGTTCGTGGATGATCTTCAAAAGGCCTGCGACAAAGCTATTGAATTTTATTCGAAAAGCAAATATCGTTCCCCGACGCTACACCAATTTACACCGACGATATATTACCACGGCAGCACGGCAACTAGTCCTCTTGGACACGAAGAATTTGCGCTGCAAATACCAACAAAGTTGCAACCTCTTTCAAGACGATCAAGATGCTGACGCCCATAACTGTCCAGTTGCGACTGCCTGACGATTGGCGAATTCATAATTCGTTCCACGTCAACCTCTTGCGACCCTTCATCATCGATACATCGGGCATCGCTCGATAGCAGATCTCCAAGGATGTATGGCTACCAGTTGAACCAGTCATCGAGCCGATGAAAATCCTGAGTCATCGCGTGCGAGTCAATGGTCAAGGTCGCCACGTTGACTTTCTGATACGATGGACCAACCGTTCCAGCGAGGACGACACGTGGATACCCTCGGACCAGGTACAGTCATATTCGGTACTTGGGGATTCTTTATCCCGCAAGCACGTGGCTGATTTCGATCCCCTTTGCTAGGAAGGGGGGTAGTGGACAGAATTTTCATCCCTTACCGATTTGTACTGCTCATTACGTACACTCCAACATGTGTGAACCCTCGGGTCAGTTCCGGACCTTTCGATCCAAACTTTCGACACTATTCAAAGACCTTTGGACTGAACCCTCGGGAGTTCTCCAGTCCTCTCGACGACCTCTCGAGATCCTTCGATCCCTTTCCCGGCCCTTCCCATCTCACGGCTAGGATAGCTCAGGCGTTCCTATATATTGCCTCACCACTCATTGCATCGTCATTCGGTTATTCACAACTTCGCTATCTCATTCCGCGCTACTCTGCAAGTTCACCCATTATATGTGTCATGTTGAGCTTTCAGGGTTACAAGCCTAAACTAAAGTAATTGTAAGCCTATTTCAGGTGTAAACAAATGTGCAAGTCATGCTGGAAGGAATTTTATTCCTTAACGGGTTGTGCTGCAATCGCATGCACCCGCACTCTCGGAAGACCAAGCTCGGTCCGATTCCGACGCAACCTCGAGGCTGGCTCGCGCCGCCTCTTACCCTTTCAACTACCCCTGTGCCCAACCTAGCCCTCCGAGGTCGTCGCCTAGCTAGAGCTCTCGCTATATAGTGCTATGCTCCCATTCTTGTACTCGTCATTATTATCCCGCGCAGTCTCACTTATTATTCATAACATTTGGAATCATAGATACTTTCCTGGTTCACCTCGCTTTCTCGAGATAGTTGATCTCCAAGGCGTCGTTAACCCTACGGGGCTGCAAAGCGGTTATCCGTGAGCTAGAGTTATTAGCTCACACAGCTACGATAATGTTTGCCCCCCTGCAGTTCCTTACCACAGCCTTCCCCCTGCCCGAAAGGCGAAGCATTCACATCATGGC